TCACACCTAATTTTCGTTCCTCCCCGCTCTTGCCCATCCATCAACTGTTGCCAAGCCAGGGGTCACAGGTCGGGTGTCACCTGCTCCTCCGGCGCCCATTTTATTCATTTTCCTGCTGCTCCTTTTTGGGACTTCCGTCAAACTATAAAAACATTGTTGTTTGCATGTTGGTCGGCCATTAATGAGCGGTGGATCCCCCGTTTCTGGTTGTGCAATGTCCTATTTTCGTGTTTCGTTTTGTTGTTATAGTATGTTGATACCTTGGAGACGTTTCCGCCTTCACCACTTCCGAATGTGGTCCTGTTTACTTTTGTATTATATCGAAATACAGGCAATACTGCAAAAGAACATATTACGTTTTCGATCTCCGATTTGGCAGAAGCTTTTTACATAGCTTTTAAGCATTGATTTGTATATACATTTTGTTCTTTACCCAAAGAAAAGAGTTTTCAGTTTTTGGGACAAAATTTACATTTTTTAGGTTACACAAAATTGTAATCGTGTTTGTTCCAGTTGTTGAAGTTCCACTTTAGTGTTTTTCGGTGTCATTGCACTTTTGACATGCAGAAATTGTCAACAAAAATGACGATGATAGGCCAGCATGTCCAGTTTCTTGCGAATTTCAATTCCATTTGTTGGGCCTTCTCCCTGCCTTTATTTTCCTAACCCTCTTCAGCTGGATTTTACCGATATGGTATTAGCCGAAAAAGCTTTATCCTGTTTCGCCAGCGGCTCAAAAACGGACTTCGGTCCTTGGGCCAACCCTTGTCGACAGCTCCTCTATTTCTACACGGTTTCCTCCTTCGCTTAAAACCCGGAGGCCATTTAAAGTTCTGTTGCCATTTGGCCGCCGACAAAATTCACGGAATTAATTCCCATAGAAGTCCAAGCCAAAAGGCAATGTACCCTAATGTCTCTTGGGAATGTGGGAAACGTGACTAATTTGGGTAATGAATTGCAAGAAATGCCTAATTAATTTAAATGTTCTAAGTCAAGTACTAGGGGAGCCATAAAAAATTAATTTAAATAAATGTCGTTAGTTGTAGGGAGGTAAAAATTAATTTTAGTAAAATCATAATCGATTTGTTTTTCGTTTTGAATAAATATTTATAAGGTATAACAATAGTATTCTTTAATTTATCAAATACCTTTATTTTATATCCAGAATTGCCTTATAGTAAGAAAAAAGAGATGGTTCTTAAATCACAAATAAAACAATAAATTCCCGCCTGAATGGAATATTTTCGAAGTGAGGTGCGCTCACTCGTTTGATCAATATTTTTTATGGCTAATAATTGTGCGGCCTCAACCTGTTGCTTAGGGTATACCAATTTGCGGCTAAGTGCAGGATGCGGATTCCTTGGACCTAATACTCATTTTGTCCCCTCCTGTTCTCCTTTTGTTTAACTTTGGTCTGCCCTCCCACCACTCTGCCCACTGTCTCGCCGTCTCCCCATTTTCTTCCGGCCCCTTTTGCCACTGTTTTCCCCTCTTTTGTAGCTTTTCCCTTCGGCTAAAAGCGGTTTTGGCTTTGGCTTTGGCTTGGCCTTTTTCCTTTTACTTCCAGCTACGAAAAACACACAGTTGCGGACAAAATAAAATAGCTAATGGCAAAAATCCTTAAATAAATCATAAACGAGTTACTTAAAATGGTCTGTAAAGCTGAATACAAAAAGGTACAAAAACAACAAAATGATAAAACGGATAACAGAAATATTTTATTAAGAGCAAACCGATGCTCAACACAACTGTTTATAAAAAATGTTAAATTGCTTAACGCAACAGCTGCTATAAAGATTTTAAATTTTGATTGTTTATTTATCAAATTTTAAAAAATAAGGAGTTCGATATAGTTAAGTAAGGATTTTTCCTAGAAGTTTTAAAAAGGCTTTCAAGCAATGAATTTTTAGAAAAATTATTCGCATCCTAGTTTAATGCTCTTATATGTAGGTCTGGTAGGAAAATGTATCGTAGTATATATATAACTGGGTTATACATATACATAGCTGCCCTCCCTGTGTCCACTTCCCTTCGTCTGTGAGCGCGCGAAAAAGTATGCTACGGCATTTTGTTATTTTGCAACCCCAAAAGTAATGCAAAGAGGGAGCCCAACCGGCAAAACCCCACCCACAATTATGCAAAGCAGCGTTCGTGTGTGTGTGTTTTAGCCGGGCTGATGAGTCATCTGCAGCCATATCCTGGCACTTCTTGGCGCATTTTCCATACAGATTTCTATCGCTGAAAGGCCCGGCAAACAGCGGCTGGCAAAAGCAGCTGAAGAAGTCTTTGGGGGAGTGGCAAAAGCTAGGGGGTGCACTTTTGAAAGAGTGGGACAAAGTTAAGTGAAGCCAAGTCAACCCTAAAACTATCAGTGCACTTTGGGGTTAAGTGGTGTCGAGCTAGAAAAAGAAGTAAAATAAAGGGCTTTACCAGCAGTCGTAGTAAAACTAAGTAAACAACAGATACCCTGGCGATAATATTTAAATCAATGCTTATGGAATTTTAAAATGTCTCATGAAACATCTTGATTACTATCACAGTTAAATGTAAGTATTACTTTTTTTTTTGTATTAAACCAAATGTTTTTTTTTATATATAATTAAAGGTAATAATAATTGTAAAACATTGTTTCTAGTTATACCCTTTAGGATAGCGATATCCTTTGAAAAAGTCATAAGAATAAATGCACAAATCGTTCAACTTGCAAATGGGTGAATTCCTGGGGGCGTGACTGTGTGGGCGTTGAGGGGGCGTGGTCGAGCAGCTGTTGTCTGGCCATTTAGCTGTTGTCTTTGGCAACCGTTTCAGGTGACCGCTTCGCTGGCAACGGTAAAGGTAACGCTAAAGTTTTGATGGTGTCGAGCGATGGCGACAGACGCCGTGCTTAACCGCTTGACTGCCTTTCCACTATCCTTGTATTTCGATATTCCGGTATCCTTCTATCCCTTCTGGTTCGTTATCCTGCCCGTCCACCTTTCTGCCACTTGGCCATTTGGCCAACAATTTATTGACCCGCCGACCAGTTTGTTTGGGTGCATAGTTTACAGTTCGTCGGGGTTGCGATGGCTTAATGTGTCATTGGTAACTGCTTTCAGACTGTTTTCAGCGGGGTTTCTTCCTACCTTCGATGCACGTCGCCTGATATGGAATTCCCTGCTTCATAAGTTGACTTTTTGACCCCGGAAAAAGGATTGGCCAGGGGTTCCAATTCACTTTCCATTGGCACAAATTAACGCGTATATGTTTGGGAGTTGTACAACTGAATTAAATGAACATTAAAAAAATGAAGAAAACCATTTAAACCCCATCTAATTATATAATTTAATTACACTTTTAATTAATTCAATTAGTTCAATTGCACTAAGCCTACATTTTTTGAAATAGAGTTTTTAATTAACTTAACATTAGCCAATTGAGTCAACTAATAATGCATAAACACTCGACATATGTAAACTCACATATTTCTAAACATTTTTTTTAAATATGTGGCAAAATCTTAAAACTAAATTGATTAGCGCTTAAAAAATAATTGAGATCATAAAGAATTTTCGTTCATCAACCAATTATTAAAATGTGTCGGACTGAGAACTTGCGTATCTAATTGGAACTCCGTAACAGTTTAAAGCTATCTTAATAATCTGCATACCGCAGACCAAGAAACCAGCTGAGTCACTTTGACTGCAGTTCAACAAACCCACCGATCCCCCCTCGCCACTCCAGACGCTCCAGAGTTCTCTTCACAGTTCAACTTACAACACTTAAAAACAATTCAAATGATTGACCTATTGCATGACCCGTCGTCAAGACCGAACCCAAAAAAGATCCGATGAAAATGGCTGAGAAGGGGGATACTTTGGAAAATACTGCTCAAGTATGGCAAACAAAAAAAAAGATGCTTAACAAGCTCAAGCAGCGCGGCTTGTTCACATAATTGACTCGAGCTTTTGAGTTTTATGTATACAAAAGCCTACAACTATTTACAATTGCGGTAAAAATAACAGTAAGGTCTACAAAATGATAACATACTATTTGTAATTTAAACATATTTAGAATATTGTTTGATGAAAATACCTTTATTAAATAAAAACAGAAACTGATAATATTGATAATAATTTTATTATAGCCAAGGCATATAAAATGTTTTTGGATATATACTGGCTTTTATTTGAGGTCCACCAATTGTACTTCCTCCTAAAATGCATATATGGATATCTATAACTTTTATATATACTAACGTCTGGCATAGTTACAGAACGGCAAAAAAGAAGAAAGATAAAAACTCGTTGACTTCCTTTTGCCGCTTAATTGCAATTACTTGAGACATGAAACAAGCAAAAATCTGCCACCCCCTCAATAACGCTCCCCCTTTCTACCACATCAATCAACATTTTTCGCAATTGGAAATTAAGCAAGTTGTCATAATTTGTGCATAAAAAAATGTCTTAATTTTCTTCTTTGCTCGCCGCTTCGAGAAATGTTGATTAAGCGAAATTAAAAGTGTAAATTAACTTGTTAGAGAGTCTCGATCTTAATGAGTCGAATGCCAGGGAGGAAATGCGGAAAACTGTCGAGTGACTAATGGAAAGGGGCGGAAAATGAGGCTTATGTTCAAATAAACAATTAAGGAAATTAGATAATCCCACAGGCAAATGGTGAATGTACTGATACGAAAAAATAAAATTATCTAAAAACTATAGCCTACATAATACTCAGCTTGGTATTTAAAAGATAATTATATTAATTGTTTAATTACTTGTTTGAGTCGACTTGTAAGCAGCTGCGAAATTTATTACATCAGTGTGAAGTTAGACATTTCTTAAAGAGGAAAGCTCTTATCATGAATTTAGTAGGGCTAATATTTGTTTTGATATTATGCAGAGTTAACTTTACATTATTTTGTGTTTTTCCCATACGCATTTTAACTTTTAAGGGAGCTTTTTGCCTAAAACTGTAATACCTTTGCTGACACCCTCCACTCTCTTCTGTTTGCTCCATTACAGGTATAGTTGGATCAAGAACGGCAAGAAGTTCGATTGGCAGGCGTACGATAACCGAATGCTGCGGCAGCCGGGCCGTGGAACCTTGGTGATCACCATTCCCAAGGACGAGGATCGCGGCCACTATCAGTGCTTCGCGTCGAATGAATTCGGAACGGCCACCTCGAACTCGGTGTATGTGCGGAAAGCGGAGCTGAATGCCTTTAAGGACGAGACGGCCAGGACCTTGGAGGCCGAGGAGGGCGAACCCTTCGGCCTGAAGTGTGCGGCTCCCGACGGCTTCCCCAGTCCCACGGTCAACTGGATGATCCAGGATTCCGTCGACGGTAGCATTAAGTCGATCAACAATTCCCGCATGACCCTGGATCCCGAGGGCAATCTCTGGTTCTCGAACGTGACCCGTGAGGATACCAGTGTTGATTTTTACTACGCCTGTTCGGCCACTTCCGTGTTCCGCAGTGAGTACAAGATCGGCAACAAGGTGCTCCTGGATGTCAAGCTGAAGGGCGTGAGTGCCTCCCAGAACAAGCATGAGCCTATCAAGCAGTATGTGTCACGTCGCCAATCTTTGGCCTTGCGCGGCAAGCGAATGGAACTGTTTTGCATCTACGGAGGAACCCCGTTGCCGCAGACCGTGTGGAGCAAGGATGGCCAGCGGATACAGTGGAGTGATCGCATTACGCAGGGACACTACGGCAAATCCTTGATCATTCGGCAAACGAACTTCGACGATGCCGGAACGTACACCTGCGACGTTTCGAACGGCGTGGGTAATGCCCAGTCCTTCTCCATCATCCTGAACGTCAACTCCGTGCCGTACTTCACCAAAGAACCCGAATTCAACACCGCTGCCGAGGACGAGGAGGTGGTCTTCGAGTGTCAAGCTGCTGGTGTTCCAGAGCCCAAGATCAGTTGGATACACAATGGTAAGCCGATCGAACAGAGTACACCCAATCCCCGGCGAACGGTCACGGACAACACAATCCGAATCATAAATCTGGTTAAGGGAGATACTGGTAACTACGGCTGCAACGCCACCAATTCGCTGGGATACGTCTACAAGGATGTCTACCTAAATGTCCAAGCTGAGCCGCCAACGATCGTTGAACCCCCCAAAGCAGTGAGCACAGTGGACGGCAGGAATGTCACCATTCGGTGCAGAATGTCTGGCTCTCCCAAGCCGCTGGTCAAGTGGTTGAGGGCCAGCAATTGGCTGACAGGAGGTCGTTACAATGTCCTGGCGAATGGTGATCTGGAGATCCAGGATGTAACCTTTTCGGATGCGGGGGGCTACACCTGCTATGCGCAGAATAAGTTTGGCGAAATACAAGCTAATGGCTCGCTGGAGGTCAAGGAGCACACTAGAATCACCCAAGAGCCACAGAACTATGAGGTCGCCGCCGGAAATTCGGCCACATTCCGCTGTAACGAGGCCCACGATGATACGTTGGAGATCGAGATCGATTGGTGGAAGGATGGCCAGTCCATTGACTTTGAGGCCCAGCCGAGATTCGTGAAGACCAACGACAATTCTTTGACGATTGCCAAGACCTTGGAGCTGGATTCTGGAGAGTATACGTGTGTGGCAAGGACGCGATTGGATGAAGCCACTGCCAGGGCCAATTTGATTGTCCAGGATGTGCCCAATGCCCCAAAACTTACTGGTATCACCTGTCAGGCCGACAAGGCGGAGATCCAGTGGGAGCCGCAGGGTGACAATCGCTCCCCCATCCTCCACTACACCATCCAGTTCAATACCTCTTTCACGCCCGCCTCCTGGGATGCCGCCTACGAGAAGGTCCCCAATACGGACTCTACGTTCGTCCTCCAGATGTCTCCGTGGGCGAACTACACGTTCCGTGTGATTGCCTTTAACAAGATCGGGGCCTCGCCGCCGTCGCCGCACAGCGATAGTTGCACCACGCAGCCGGAAGTGCCGTCCAAGAATCCCGACAATGTCGTGGGCCAGGGCACCGAACCCAACAACCTGGTCATCTCCTGGACTCCTATGCCGGAGATCGAGCACAATGCCCCCAATTTCCACTATTACGTGAGCTGGAAACGCGATATCCCGGCTGCCGCATGGGAAAATAATAACATATACGACTGGCGGCAGAATAACATTGTGATCCCTGATCAGCCGACGTTCGTCAAGTACCAGATTAAGGTCGTGGCCATCAACGATAAGGGCGAATCCAATACGGCCGCCCAAGTGATTGATGGCTACTCCGGCGAAGATCGTCCGCTGGATGCCCCCACCAACTTCACGATGAGTCAGATCACAACCTCGACCAGTGGCTATATGGCCTGGACGCCGGTGAGCGAGGAATCGGTGAGGGGACACTTTAAGGGTTACAAGATCCAGACCTGGACGGAGAACGAGGGCGAGGAGGGTCTAAGGGAGATCCATGTCAAGGGAGATGCCCACAATGCATTGGTCAGCCAGTTTAAGCCCGATTCGAAGAACTTTGCCCGCATTTTAGCCTACAATGGACGCTTCAATGGCCCGCCAAGTGCCGTCATCGATTTCGATACTCCTGAGGGTGTGCCGTCGCCGGTTCAGGGATTGGACGCCTATCCCCTGGGCTCGTCAGCCTTCATGCTCCATTGGAAGAAGCCCCTGTATCCCAATGGCAAGCTTACCGGCTACAAGATCTACTGCGAGAAAGTTGAAGGTAGTTCTGTGGATAAGCGTCTCGAAAAAATGCACATCAGCGATCCCAGGATCACACGTATGAAGCTGGCTGGGTTGGAGCCAAACTCCAAATATCGCATCTCCATCACGGCCACCACCAAAATGGGCGAAGGATCTGAGTAAGTATAATTTAATAATGCTGCCTTTTAGATGCGATATACCAAGTTACAAGAATATATGTAAAAAAAAAAAAAAAAAAGAGGAGTGGTGGGCAAGATCTAGTAGAGATTAAAATGAATTAATATTTATAATTTTTCCATAGGCACTATATCGAGAAAAGGACTCTTAAAGACGCTACGAATGTGGCCCCAAGCACGCCCTCTTTATCCTGGGAACAACTGCCATCAAAAAATGGACTGGCCAAATATCGCATCAACTGGATACCTAATACCGATGGTCACCCAGGCACACACTTCTACACCTTATACAGGTAATATTAAAATATATATTTGTATATATACATTAAAATGAAGTGCTAATCGGAATTTTCGCAACATTTTCCAAATTCAGAATCAAGGGCGAAACACAATGGAAAAAAACGGATCCCGAGATGAACTCGGACTACCAGGAAGTGGGCGGCCTGGATCCCGAGACAGCCTACGAGTTCCGCGTGGTCTCCGTGGATGGGCACTACAATACGGAGAGTGCCACGCAGGAGATCGACACGACAACCGTGGAGGATCCGATAGTGCGGCCCAATGAGACGGTGGCCAATGCCGGATGGTTCATCGGCATGATGCTGGCCCTGGCGTTCATCATCATCCTGTTCATCATTATCTGCATCATCCGGCGCAATCGTGGCGGCAAGTACGATGTCCACGATCGGGAGCTGGCCAACGGCCGGCGGGATTATCCAGAAGAAGGCGGATTCCACGAGTACTCGCAACCGTAAGTCTAGATATACTGGAATAGTGCCAAAATATTTCATTGGTTCTAATGATTTTTTAAAATATTAATTGAACCTCATTTTGCAAGTCATATAATGTTTGGTCCTGACATTTATAAATATTATGCATGCAGAGACAAATATTATTTACATGTGTAGTATTTGTATATTCGGTATTAAATCCTGATAGCGATTCATAATCGCCTTGCTTTCCGATAACAAATCACTCATATATTTAAATTCAATTGCAGGTTGGATAACAAGAGCGCTGGTCGCCAATCCGTGAGTTCAGCGAACAAACCCGGCGTGGAGAGCGACACCGATTCGATGGCCGAATACGGCGATGGCGACACGGGTTAGAGTCTTTCCTTTCTATTTATATCTATCTATCTATCACAGAGTGTGCCTAGTGCCTTCCCTATACTATCTGATTATCCTTGAAAACGGTAATGCTGCGATGGAATGTGTAGACTGTTTCTTTTTTACTTACTGCATTGCGAACAGTAGATTTTTTGAAATTGTAATCCATTTTTAGTTTTTTTTTTTAATATTAGAATACTATTTAATGGTACCAAAAAGCAAAATATTATTTAAAAGCATGTTTTACTTTAGGTTCGAATGTTGAATATAAAACTTGTTATCTTCATACGTATTCATACGTACATTAGATATGTTAAGGCGCTGCATTACCGTTTTTGGGATAAATCTGTGTACCAATAACAATTAACTTTTAATGATTAAGTCTAGTACCCCACCCAAACTCCTCATTATAATTTAGTTGTCTCTCTTTGGTTGTTTCACTCTCTTGATTTCTTTGCCACATTTGTTTTTGGTTTTTTTGTTCTCTTTGATGACGTTTGTGTGGGATGTGATGGAAATGAAAATGGATATTATGATCAATGGAATATATTGGATAATGAACAGCCGTGGCCACTGCCGCTGCTCGCGCCGCTGCCGCAGCCCGCAGCAAGTCAACGTCGCTGCCAACGTCATCGTCCGCGTCCGCCCAACAACAACCACTGCAACAGCAACGGCCGTCGCTGCCTCAGTCGCCGTCGACGTCGACGACAGCCGTTCCCACTCCATTACTCTCTTCGGTTTCCCCCACTTCCAGTCCTGTTGCTACCACTTCTGCTGCCCCACCCTCCTACGAACTTTGCATGGCGGATGCTGAGCACCGCAAGGCCTAGAAGAGAGCCCATTTCTGCCTACTCTCTCTATCTCTCAGTCCAGCGTTGTTGTTGTTATCCAATAAGTCAGGTAGCTCTTTTTTAAATAGTTTTGCGGATCTTTTGTATCCTTGCGCTTCAAAGAGACAGCTTATCATTACAGTGGTGGTCACTTAAAAGGCACTCAAACATTTTTTAGACTAATGGAAATTAAAATGCAAATGAGTTAGATACCAATTTAATGTACAAATGCCACATAAGAATTTTTAAAATTGGTTTACAGACTTAAATCATCTAGTTTGTTGTTAATTATCGTTTTAAAACAAGCTGCTATAGTTTGTATCAATTACCCTAGTTAAATAATTTTACTCAGATATCATATATTCATACTTTTCGTTTTTAAATTACAACTTTTACCCATTTGTTATACATAAATATATATGCTCAATTAATGGCCACAGCTGTATAAGCAGCACTTTCTCTTTTTTATGCCGCTTCCAAAATGCTGCATGAAGTTCAAAGCTGCTCTCTCTCGCGCTTTCCACAAACTCCTTCTAGGCAACCGAAGAGAGCCTCTGCTGTAAAGCCGCTCCTGCGCTTTTGATTGATTCATTGATCTTTGCACGAAGTTGTTTTCCTTGTTTGATTTGATTTGATTGTTCGTTTTCTTTTATTACTAACAACTTTCGCTACTCTCGCCAAGATGAGCCTTCATTCATTTGGTCTCCACTAGTGCAAACAAAAATCGAAAATATCGATGGAAACGTAATTTTGATCGGCGATATAAAAAACATTTCAGACATTTCACATATTTTGTGTTCCTTATTATGTGTTCTTCGTTTATGTGTTTCATATTTCTTATTATTTGTTACTGCACTATATTTTACTTATATTATATTTGTATCATTTTTTCTCTCCTAAAACACGTATAAAAAAAATATAATAATTCGACAACGACAACCAATATCCAGGCATGAACGAAGATGGATCCTTTATTGGCCAATATGGACGCAAAGGACTTTGATTTAATTAGTAAGCAGCGCGCCGCAACAGCAACTCAAAAAATATCGAAACCGAGCCCTTAACCCCAAAAATCAAGAAGACCAAACACCAACACAGCAGAAAAAATAAAAACTTATGGAATTATTAAAGAAATACTGCCCAACTATGAATGGGTATAAACTAATTATCATTCGATTAAGTGCAAAAACGACCATTAATTTTAAATATATATAAAAATAATGAGTTTTTATATATAACTATTAAAATTTAAAAATGTGTAAAAATCAAAAGCAAATCGAAACTGCCAAACAACATGAACAACAACGAGGATGCAGCAAAAAGGCTATTAACAAAATAAAAGTCTTCATCGGAAGAAATAGTAATCGACAAAGAAAGTGCATGCGAATTACAACAAACAATGAAACAAACATATATATATTTTTCTCGACCATTAATGGGCAGCTGCGTGTAATTTTTTTTGTTAAGAATTTTAAGAAACTATAAGGAAAATGAAGCTCGCTTTTAAAATCTATATATTGCGCACATGTCTACCTGTCCCACTCTATACCCTGCACTCTGTATATCTCTGTCCTGCTTTTTCCTTCTTTTTACTTGTAATGCATATATATTTATAAACATAAAGCGTAAATTAGTTATAATTTCATAATTTTTTATAAAACAACACTCGAATGTAAAATCTCCGTTTTAGCTTGGCCGAAAATCAAAAAGAAATCCTTTTAGCTTACTTGGTTACTACTTTATTTAAGTTTACTGTGTGAATTTTGTTTTTATTTCTTTATTTAAATTTTTTAGTTTGTGTAATGACCTTAAAACCTTTTTTCTTGTTTTTGGGCAGTGAAACAATGTTGTAAAATGTAAAAACGTTTCCTGTTTGTTTTCTGGGAACAGCAACAAAATAAGTCTATAAGAATGAATGACGATAACAGCATAATTATATAAAAATATAATTTTTTTTATATATGTATGATGTACTTTCGCATATTGAATTAGAAAGAAAAACAAATAAAATAAAGAAAACCGAATAATAAACAACGACAATTGTGTAGACTTGAAAATTATTTAAAATTTGCGTTTGACCACAACAAAGGTTAATAAAAATGCATGCTTAAAACAATTACATTTTTTGAGATTTTAAGCGCCTAATAGTTCATATAACTACCACAGTTTCAGTATAACCAAATATGTTTTATTTTACTGTTTGGAAATTTATTTTTCTTCATTTTAAGCTGACATATTTGCAAGGTAAAGTTGAGTATATTTTCAAGCATGTTTTTTATATTAAATAAATACTTATTTTTATTTGTAGTTTGCTTGCCAAAGTAGTTTTCGATTAACCAACTCCCTCCATCTCCAACTTAACCCAAATCGAAATTGATAAAAAAATATAACTAAACTAAAAATAACTTACAATAATAGAAATCGCGATTAAAACGAAAGCAAAACTGCACTGGTGTTGGTTGTGGTTAACATGAAAAATAAATAGTAATATTAACACAGAAAAAACTCTATTTTTATGTTGTTTTCATAACATAACATTTTGCACATCCTTTAAACAAATAATTATTGGTTTTAAAATATTAACATTACATTTTGGAAGTTGCCCTCGAAATCTCTGTAAATACTAAATTCCGCCAGTTACCATGACTAAACAAGAACAATAAAGATATTGCGCCTTTCAGACATCTTAATTATTGTTAAGTTTCAAATTTTAATTATTATTATTTTAATTATTAAAGCAAAACAAAAGACATTGTCTAGAACATCATCTAAAAGTTAAAAACAGAAAAAAATGTCTGTATAAATAACAACTAAGAAATTAACTCAAATATTCAATATTAAAAAAAGGACTTTTTACTTATGATTGATTCCAAACCTTTAAAGATTTCTAAGGCACCCTCCAATCATTCAAAACCCTTAAAAAACGATAATATAAGATAACAAATTTATGCTTTCCCTTCTGAAAAATTAATTTTGGAAATTTCTTTTTCACCCCAGGACAATTTACTGAGGACGGCTCCTTCATTGGTCAGTATGTTCCTGGAAAACTTCAGCCGCCAGTTAGTCCACAGCCCTTAAACAATTCCGCTGCGGCGCATCAGCCAACGCCAACCGCTGGAGGATCGGGAAGCGGATCGGCAGTGGCCGGAGCATCATCTTCCGGAGGAGCTGCAGCCGGAGGAGCCTCTACCAGCAACGGAGGAGCTGGAGCCGGTGCCGTGGCCACCTACGTCTAAAAGGCGTGGCTGGAATTTATTTGCCCCTTGTTCTCCTGGTTTTCTTCAAACGATTTAAACGCCCCTTTAACCAAAAACTTTGTGTAATTCTATGTGTAAAACGAAAACTGCTTTAAGTGTCTGCAAAAAAGGAAACAAAATTATAATTAACTAAAAAAAAAGGGAAAACAATTGTAAAGTAAAACTCGCATGAATTTAAAGCATATAATTTTGCTTCTTTTGGCTTATAAATTTATTCTAGCAAACAGTTAAACGCCTTTTCAAAAACAAATAACTTTTGTATAAGCTTAAAAAAAACGAAAAATTAATTTAACGTTGAAAAATGTATGAAGAAAAGAACAATTAATAATGATGCCTGTTTGCGTAATATATTTTTTTTTAATTTTAGTTTTAGTGGCACAAAGATATATATCTAAATGGAAATTGAACCGAGTTTTGTAAATCCAAGAGCAGGCCGAACTAAGTGATCGAAAGGAAATGGATGCAAAAGCGACAAAAATAACGATTCCAGTCTAATTCAAACTTAGATTTGTTCATAATGTACAAAAACCAAGGCTTAAATAAGAACCATCAGGCAGCTTCGATCAATGATTGACTGAATTGCGAAGATAATGCCTTGACTATTTTGCAATCAATTATACGGTACTGCTCGTATGTATGACTAACCAAATATCGATGTGTTCAATTAGCAGCAAGTCAAATTTTTTACTTGACAACGTTTACTTCTTGCCACAATCAAAGACTTAAAGGCAGAGCAAATTTTCCAGCGCCAGTTCAAGAAACCAAGGCGAAGCAGAAGTGACATATTCCCTTGGTCGGCAATTCATATATATAAGTTCCGATTTTCGTCCATAGTCTAATGCAATTTTTCGCGTATAGTGTTTAAACAGAATCCTTTCATTTTGTCCATTAATTCTTTAAGTAAAGCAAATTAGTTAATTAACAAATTAGTTGGCCCACTTTTACGAGTCGGTCATTGTAACCTATTATTATACGCATCAAAATACCTATAATTGTTCCATATAGTACTCCCTCTTATTTTAAAGAAAATGTTAAAACCGTGCAGATTCAATTGCATCTCTGGTTTCCACTTATTCTGTAATAATAATAATGTATGTATTCATATTTTTTTTTACTAAAAACACACAAAGTGGCATTAAAGTCTACACAAACACAATAAAATAAATGTAATAAAAAAAAGAACACCATTTTTTGTTTTTTAAAAACCTTGCCGCTTTGAAAGAAAAAAATGCTTTGAACCTTTTTTTATATATTTATTAGTTGACACACCACACGCTTTAATCGACACCCGAAAACAACCACAATTACAGAACGGGCTCAGTTTTTAAATCATTTATTCGAATCGGTTCAGTTTTATTTGCGAATTAGGCAGTAAATTAAGTACATTGGGTGGATATATAAGCTTATAATTATTTGGTCTTTAAAGAACATACAGGGTTGCTTAGTCAAATTTTGCATAGATTTAGAAAGGAAAAAGAGGAGGCGTGTAATCTGATAATTCATATTTTGTGCACTGCTTTCTGTTTGTTGTTATTTCAAGTAGCTATTTGTAATGAACTATAATCCCCGGCTTCTGCATAGCTTTCAATCGAATCGAATACCAAACACCCAATACCCAGACCTCCAAACAAACACAACCCACACAAAAATTGGGAGTCAAATCGAACGATCCACATACAATTCACCTGCACCACGCATATCCCAACGATTGATATAACAGATATACGAGGAGGAAGTAGAGCGAAGGGAAGTAGGAAACTAGATCAGAAAGGACATGCAAGGACAACAAGACAAAAGAACTACATAAAACAATACAAACAAAAATTGCTATACAAACGTATATATGGATATATGATATATATTTACAGTATAGAGGACAACGATCTAAATCTAATGTTCACGACAAAGCTATATACATAAATATATATATACAAAACATATAGAGAGATGTTTAAGATTTTGCATAGGTATTGTGATTTCCCAAAATAAAAACTCAAAATAGTCAATAACAATGTGAAAATCCAAAATTCAAAAGAAAACCAATTAAACTTAACTAATATTTCCTCTTTTGTCGTATGAAAAATAAACTAAAGTGTTCATCAGCGAAATTATCGAAATAATCGTTCGTTTTCAATGACAGAGCCAAGGAAAGCGATAACGAGATCGATAGCAAAAGTGAGAGAACCACAACAACAACTGCACTGCCTGTGTATGGTTCTATTTTACATTATAACATTAACAGAATCATAAACATTTACACACTTTAATAAGCGCCGCTTGAGGAATTCAGAAAACCGAAAGCAAGCCAACACCATGCAAACATTTTTAAAACTAATAAAGGTAATTTGCACAATACTGTGATTCCTAGCATGAAACATAAAGACACGATGAACAATTAACGATAAACGATTTATAATCGTCTTTTGTGTGTTTGTGTGGTTAAAAAATTAATGTGTTTGCATTGTATATTTTTCACAGCATATTGAAAATGTTTACAACAAGAACTACTAATCTAACCACTCAGTAATATCCAACTTGAACAATTTACTTGCATATGATTATAACTATTATTATTGCTAACCAACGGCCTATAAACAAATTAAATATTATGCAGAACGAAATCGAAAACAAATGAAAACACAAGAATACAAAGTACTTTTTTAAAATGAGTTTTTAGCGAATCAAATGTAAACTTAAGATTAACAAATTCATATACAACAAACAAGCGGCAAAAAAACAGCGTCTATAAAACCACAATCAGATCAGAAAAGCAGAAGAAAAATCTTTGCAAGAAAAATCAAAACGAGCAAATGGAGAAAGTGCTATCTTAAAAGATCAGAAAACGTGTAAGCTGTAAAACCTATAATGAGAAATAAACTATAGAAACTATATAAAAGACAAAAGAGTTGGTGTTTTTTATTGGCCAGGAAAAGGATTCATTTTTCAACTCTAAATATTTTATGATTTATTTGAAATCACAAATGGACCAAAGGATTCAGAATTTAAATTATAAATTAATTTCATGAAACAAGACCCTTTTGTTGTTGTTTAATTTTTAATTTTTCTTAAAACTAAGAAAATTATTTCCCCGAATGTACAATTGAAATGGTTTCAAGTTTGGAACCTGAAAATAAATCTCTTATTTACCCCATATACATGATTTCTCAAGTAAAATGCTCCTTTTTTTCTAATTAAAGAAATATTTAGATTTATTATTTTACAATACCAAATTTCTCGTACACAATTAAACTGGAAAAATACATGCTCCACAGCTAATGCCTTAAACAATCCGTTATTTGAATTTTCAAAAATACCATCCAATTGACACTCAGAACATGATATTTTAAACAATAATTGCTAGTCTGCCTCTCCAGCGGCTGTGTGGCCTTGTCAGCTTTTCGCTCCGCTCCTTTGCCGCCGGCGCCGTCCACTCGCAGTCCCGTCGATCTGCTCCACATTTAAGTTCCGAGGCCGTACCGCCTCCAGACTCGCATCCACAGCCAATCCACCTAGCCCATCCTCCTGGGAGTCAGGCTAAATGCCCCGTCTGACTGGTTTGGGTGCGAACAGCACCTTGGCCGGCTTGCAGAGCTCCAGTTCGCTGCCGGGACGAACGGCCAGGCAGAGCTGAATCTCCACCAGCGATGACTCCGTCCAAACGCTGTGGGACAGCAGGATTGTGGTACGCAGGCGCACATTTGTCTCGTGCTCTCCCTGCTCCGTCATAATAGGCTTGAAGTCACTCCTCTTCGGCACCACCGTGTGCATGTGCTGATCCGGATACTTAATCTTGATTCTCATGTCCGCCTTTTGCGACTCGAGCAGATTGTCGATCTCCGCCACAAAGGGAACTGCTGCTATTAGGCCCGCCGTAACCTTTATCACATTGTCCTGCGATTGCAGCGGGCATGGCTCCAGGATGTTGGCAACACAGCGGCGGATTTTGTCATTGGCAGGTGGCAATGCCAGCGGAGGAGCCTGTTGAACCAATGGCAGAATCTCGCGAAAGACGCGACCCGGTTTGGGATCCGATATGCCATCCAGTTTGCTCAGCAACTGACGGGTGAAGCTGTCCGGCTGGGCATCGCCACCGGTTGCCTCTTTCTTCGACTTCTCGGGCTCCAGCAATGGCAAAGCTCCCACCGGCGGCTTCTCCTCTTCATCCTTTGTATTCGCCTTTATGAACTCGCTGATATCGCCGGCGGTTTGCAGAAGCATCTGACAGGGACCCAAGGCACTTTGCGACCGATCCCTGACAACAAGGACCAAGTGCAAGGCACAAGCCCGCAGACGCAACTGCTTCACCTGCAGAATATCGCCGTAATTAAGACCGGAGAATGTGTGTTGCAACTTGAGGCAGTTCCTGATGAGAGCCGCCAGGGACTCCTTCAATGGAACCCTGCTCCTTTGCGTGCTGGCGCAACGCTGCATCTGCTCGATCTGAATCTGGGCCGCCAAGAAGGTCTCCAAAAAGTTCGAGGTGCCGTACATGCCCGCATCGATAGCTCCCAGACGCTAAAATGTATAAAAACATGTGAAATGTAAGTACGCTTAAATAATAATAAACCCTGAGGGCCAAACCCACCTGCAGATTCGTCTGGGCAGTCTGCAGCAGTTCCACGCGCTCATCAGCCATGGTGAATATCTCCTCGATGTGGCTGAGAATCATCTGCAGATATTCCGCCGAACTGCCCGCCTGGCGCAGGGCCGAGTCGATCCTGTGGGTGGCACTCGCCGAGGAGGCACCCTCGATGGGCAGCTGGGGCACGAGATGCGGCATCGAGTCCCTGAGGTAGGCGTAATGTCGATGGGTAGCCGTGGGCAATAGGCTGATGATGGGCACCAGATGCTCTGCAGCATTGAACACGAGTATCAGGACGCACAGATACGCCGGATCCTCGACATCCCGCTCAGGAGTCTCGAAGAAGGGATGTACGAACAGCAAGTGAACGGCCACCGCCATTACCAAATGCGGATGCTTCTGGCCGATCTTGCGCATGCAGGCGTACGTTGAGTGCCGATCCTGTGGGTACTTGGCCAGCACATCCAGCAGTTTCTGCACTACCATCAGCAGGCACGTTTGTGTTGACACCCGGCAGGCGCCCAGCATGAGATGCAGTCCCTCGCGCACGTCCACCGAGTAGTCTTCCAGCGAGCCCAGCATTATCTCCAGCTGATCCTCGCGGAGCACTATATGCCTGGCTATGGCCGTCAGACTGTAGATGGCCTTCAGTCGCACGTCCTCGATCTCGTCGTTGAACATGTCCACTAAAAAGTCCAGGCTGGTCACAGCGAAATCCGGCCGGGAGAGTGCCAGCTTGCACATGGAGGCCACGGCCGCTGTGCGCACCTCCAGGAACTCGTCCTCCAGGCCGTGGATAAGGGCGCCGCAGGCTCCACTTGCTATGATCGAGATGCTTCTGGCGTCCAGGTGTTCCTGCGGCGCATCGTCCGCCCACCGCTTGCCTGACGACCACTCGCCGCTGGTCACCAGGCGGGCGCCCCTTTCATGCGCCGTCCGTTTCCGGCGCAGGTTGCTCATCAGCTTCTTGTCCAGCGTCTGGTGCAGAAACTCCCTGCTGACGGCGGTCATTCCACCCAGCAATTCGGCTGCGAGAACGCGAATCTGCAGCGAGAGATCGCAGAGAGCTTCGCACACCTTGCTGAAGGCGGCGTCTATCATGCGGAGCTCCTCCTGCTGTCGGTCGGATGGTATTATGAAGTCCGGATGCCGGTTGCCCAGCATGAAGACCAAGCGCAGTGCCTCCTTGCGCACGCACTCGTAATCGTCCTTCATGGCCTCAACGGCGCGCTTGTAGAGCACCGCTGGTAGCAGGGATCCCCGCTCGCCGAGGGTCAGCAGGGCGTGCAGAGCCTGGGCTCGGACTCCCGAGTCCTGCGAGTCTATGTAGAAGGCTAGCTTCCACACGTAGTGACGCTCACCCTCCATTTTGGTGGCGAACCCACCGATCACCAGCATGGCGTTCTTCTGCGTGTGCGTGGAACCGGAGCGCAGCTGCTCCTTGGCCAAATGGGCCACCTGGGTGTTGTACGAGATGGGCACCAGGTGCTTCCGGCGCTGCCCGATCCGGAACAAGCACATCATGCCCTGGGCGAGAACCTTCTGGGAGCCCTCCTTGCGCAGCAGGTAGATGAAGTAGTCGATGATGAGTGTGACGGCCTGCTCGGTGGCACACTCACAGCCCAGTCCGGATAGCAGCTCCAGCAGCTTCACCCGAATGGAGGTGTCACTGTCGCGCTCCTGCAGCTGGTACAGCTGGAATATCTTGTTGGCCACCTCCTTCAGCTCGGCCAGTTCCACGTCCTCGTAGGATATCTCGTCGGTGATCTTCACGAGCAGCTCCAGCAGTTCGCGACTGTTCCCGGCCGTTAGCAGGGGAGTTCCCGTCGTGGTGGATGGATTGGCGCCGCCGGCGGAGGGTGTGGGTCCCGATGGAGCAACAGGTGGCCCAGGGGGCAGGCCCGACGACCCTGCGGGCAGGCTGCCCACGTAGGCGTCCAGTTGGGAGAGCGCCGTCAGCTTCCGGTCCGCATTTCCCGCTTTTCCGGCTTTCCCAGCCTTCGCATCGGCGGACAGTGTTTGCAGGCGCAGCTTCTTCACCGCTGGCGCTCCGTCCACGTCCACCGTCTCCACGTAGGAGCCGAACCGCTTTTTGATGGCCAGCGCCATGGTTTCCTTTCCAGAAATCAACCAATGGAGTCTTCCACCTGTTGGCAGTTCCGCGAAATAAATCCACTTTTCTTTTGTATTTTACAATTCGCGACGAAGTCAGTGTTACCAGATGGTGAAATTAGCCCAAATGCTCAATTCACACTACTTTTCTCTCCTCATGCCGCAAATTTTCTATCGAATTTGCTATCGATGGCCAATAGCAATTTTTAAAATTTTAAATAATCATATTGATTCTTTCATGTAATTTCGTTACCCCCTTAAAAAAATAAAATTATTAAAACCACGGAATAAGAATGCCCTAACATATTGCGAAGAATGGACAGTTTAATTTTATTAATGTATTAAATTTGATTGTTTGTATTTTGAATTTCATTAAAAATTGTTTTGCAAAATAAAGTATGGTGTTAAAGTAACTGGTGATCTCAGAAAATAGGTTTACTTAAATCCCAATTTGCATACTTATAATGATAATTTTAGAACATGTGGTAGTTGATTTATGTATAACCAGTTAAATCAAAAAATGTACTGATTTGGCATCGTTATTCTGATCTCTAAATTTGATCCTGATCTTAGATCTTTATCCTGATTTTGGATCTTTACCCTGATATCGGATCGTCAACAATCAGTTCACCATAAATGCGTATGCTACTTTATTGTTACTTATCCCAACATGACTCACTGCCTTGGTGTTCCCAAATATTTAAAAAACACAAAGCTAATTCTAATTTTTTTTCGTATGTACAAGAATTGGCCAATCCCATTAAATCAGACACATTAACCAAGTGGAACAATTTATTCGTATGCTCCAGCATACATGTGTAGTATAAAAAATTGTATACAATAAAAGGAGAGTCAGAAAGTGGGTTGACCGCGGCGGAATCTTCTAGAGCGCCGTGTTGCGACCGCCGACGACCATGGCGAGCAGGGCCATCCGGATGTACATGCCGTACTCCGCCTGCCGGAAGTAGGCGGCCCGCGGGTCCGAGTCGAAGTCGCGGCTGATCTCGTCCAGACGCGGCAGTGGATGCAGTACGATGGAGCGCTTCTTGGCCAGCGTCATCAGCTCGGGCGTCACCACCAGCTGACCGCAGCACTGTGGAAGAGAATATAGCATATGTATGATACAAGTCGAAGGAATGATGGACACTACTCACATTCTGGTAGTCCGCCTCGCTGTCGAACCGCTCCCGCTGGATGCGCGTCATGTAGAGCACGTCTGTGCTGGGCAGCACCTCCTCCAGGCGGCTGGCGAAGAACTGCTTGACGCCGCGCTGCTGCACGAACTGCACGATCTCGCGGGGCAGCTGCAGGCTCTCCGGCGCCACATACTGCAGGGTCACGTTGTACAGGGTCAGCAGGCGGGCCAGCGAGTGGACGGTGCGCCCGTTCTTCAGGTCGCCCACCATGGTGATGGTCAGGCCGTTGACCGTGCCGATCTCCTCGCGGATGGTGAATATGTCCAGCAGCGCCTGTGTGGGATGCTCGCCCACGCCGTCGCCGGCGTTGATCAGCGGCTTTCGGGAAAAGGATGCGGCGCGCTAGTATGGAATTTGGGAAAATGATCAGTTGTTTGGCCCTTATGAAATATATTCTGCTCAAAATGTGCTAAATTTTTCGGTTTTTTAATCGAAGCCCTGAGAAATAGTGGTCGCATGTTGAAATGACATACCTCGTTTAAATCGTTATAAAATTTCCAATCAAGTGACATTCACAGAAAAAATCTTGGGGTTACTCCTTATGAAATACATTTTGGCCAAAATTCTGTAAAAATCTGCTCGATTTTTCGGTTTTTTAATAAAAAACCCTGGCAAATAGTGGTCGCATGTTGGAATGACATACCCGTTGAATTCTTAACAAAATTTATAATCACAGAAAAAAAATAATTTTTTTAAAAGGGAGTTCCTAAAAAAAACATGAGGGTACGAAATATATATCCGGAAAAAATCTGCTCGATTTTTCGGTTTTTTAATTAAAGCCCTGGGAAATAATCATATAAATAGATAATATTCCAAAATCCATATTGTTGGCTGTGTGTCTTATTAAGGGAAAATTAAAATAAAAAACTCTTAACTTAACTTCTAAGCAAAGTTATAGCTGCGATTTAAGCTTCTGACAAAAACGATAATGCCCTTTGCAAGGGTATATATGTAAACATATGATAAACAATTGTATAGATATCCTTTTTGATTTAGAAAACATTTCGGGCAGGGGATAGTTGCAAAACACAACGAACATTTTTGTTTTCTACTCACCGCCACTGCTCCGGGAGTGGGATGACGGAGCACCATGACGTCCGCATAGCTGGCCATCACCTTGATGCTGTCCTCCAGGGTCTCGCCCTTCTTCACGGACGACGTGATCTGGTCCATGCTGATCACTCGACCACCCAGGCGCAGCATGGCAGCGGCAAAGCTGCACTGCGTCCGTGTGCTCACCTCGTAGAACACACTGGCCATGATCTTGCCGCGCAGCAGCTCGTCCACCGGACGATCCTTCGTGACCCGGGACTTGAGCAGCTGGGCCAGGTTGAAGATGTCGTTGAGGTGCTCCTTGTTGAACATATCGACGGCCAGGATGTGCTTGCCCATCAGCGAGTGGGCCACTGGATTGGGGCTGGAGGCGCGCTGCAAGTACTCCCGCAGCGTGGTGTTGCTGGTGGAGTCCAGGCGGACGCGTGGCGATGGCGAAGTGGGACGCAGGAAGTTGGCGCCGTCCACAAAGTGCACCTTGGTCGACGATCCCTGGGCCGCGACGGCTCCCTCGGCGGTCAGCAGGCGGGCAAAGGTGTCATTGGCATCGCTGTCGCTGGGCAGCAGATCCTGCGCCGCCTCCGACTGCAGCTGGCCGGGCTTGGCGCGCACATTCAGTCCGTAGCCGGGCTGTACCAGCACCTGGCCATCGATGAAGGCCACCTCGCCGCGCAGGACCACTCGGTGCACGCGCCCCTTTACCTTGGTGCCCTCGAATGGCGTCCAGCCGGACTTGCTCTTCATTTCGCTGCCCGTAATGGTCCACTCCTCGTCCAGATCCACCTCCACATAGGTGTGCAACTGCTCCGGCAGGTTGAAGATGTTCCTTGGGTTGCGATGGAACTTCCTCTTGATGTCCTCCAGCGTCAGACGACCCTCGTGCACCGCCTGAAGGAGGAGCGGCAGAATGGTCTCCACGCCCGGGAATCCCGGCGGCGGACGCTCCGAACGCTTCTCGGCCAGCGTGTGCGGGGCATGATCGGTGGCAAACACATCGATGTACTCCATGTGCTCCCACAGGGCCTCCTGATCCTCGGGCGAGCAGAGCAGCGGCCTCACCTCGGACATCCCATGACCCAGCCGCTCCACATCCTTGGTGCTGAGGAACAAGTGATGCGGACACACCTCGCAGGTCACCTTGATGCCCTTCTCCTTGGCGGCGCGGATCAGTTGGATCTCCTCCTTGCGGGCCACGTGGCAGATGTGGACCGGCCGGTCGAGCAGGTGGGCCAGCAGGATCACCGCCGCTGTGCTCTGCTTTTCCGCATGGCAGACGATCGGCGCCCGTTTCGGCCAGTGGGATAGGTGCCTCTGCCAGCTGGTCATGTCGCTCAGCTTGAGCGTGCCGAAGGTGTCGTTGAGATACATCTTCAGCCCGCACGCCTGGCTGGCCAGCTCGTGGACCTGCGCCCAGTTCCCATCCGAGGCACCCACATACAGGGCATAGTCGCAGCGGGCACCGGCCTTGGCCAGCTCCTGGAACTGGGTGAAGGTCTCCCGGTCCACGATCGAGGGATTCGTGTTGGGCATGGCGCACACAAGGGTCACTCCGCCGGCCAGGGCCGCTGCAGTGCCGCTGGCAAAGTCCTCCTTGTGCGTGGCTCCCGGCTCCCGGAGATGCACGTGCACGTCGATGAAGCCGGGCAGCTTGACGATCCGGCGCGACGTCATGCAATCCGTGTGCGTCTTCATCGCCGGCTTGCCACCGTTCATCCGCATCGATTCCACCAGCAGCTTTGTGCACTTCACATCGGTCACCAGCGGAATCGAGTAGTCCACGGCCAGGCGACGGGTGCGGTAGCCATGGGTCATGAAGGAGGAGACCCTGGAAAGACATGGAGGTCCAATGAATTTATATATTGATTGCAGATGTTAGGAACCTTATACATTTGCTTTGATCAGCATTAATATTATGTAGCCAACAAATTTAATGTATGAAATTAATCTTTATTAACCTTACTTTTTTGCAGTTATAATAATATGATTTTTTAACACGATATTTTGAAAGAGAAAAGGGAATATCCACTTCATTTAATAAAAACAAATTAGTTTTTCTTTTTAATAAGATTATAAAATGTGACTTCATTGGCCTTACATATTTTCATGATTATTAAACACTATGTCTAATAAAAAATTTAAGTAAGTAAATACCTTACTAAGGATTTTAAAAAGTTATTAAGTACGTTTCCCAGAAAATATACCCTGTTTCCTGATAAAGTAAACCAATTAATATGTTTTGACTCATCCAACTAAACTAATAATTGCGTAGTTCAATTGAGTTATAAATAATAAGCAAGTAAGTAAGTAAAACCATACTTATTTAAGTTGGATTTAATTCGACACAATAATTTGCACTGCACATAAAAATGTGAGTATAACTTATAGCAAGAAACTTAAGAAAGCAAACATATGGAGTAGCTAGGCAACTATCTTTATATTTAATATACTTAAATATTCAACAGGGTTTTGTATTTTAATTTAGTAGTATAAAGTATATGGGTATATATTAAGAAGGTATAATTTTAGTTATATTTTTCCTGATTGTTCCAATGGCAGCAATATGATATAGTAAGCCGATCGAGCCCGTTCTGACTTATATACTTCTTGCAACATAAAAAAGTTGCAGAAAAAAGTTGCAAGTAGCGTTAAAAATGGTAGGCACTTGTTTCCGTAAAAACAGACTGACTGACAGACAGACGGACTTGGCTAGATCGACTCACCTAATGGCGGTGATCAAAATATATATTAATATAATATAATATTTAACTTATAGTTCACTGCTTTGCAAACTTTTCACTGAAGTAATAACACCCTCTGCAAGGGTATAAAAGCACTGTACGATATGTATTTGGCGCGGCACTGTAATTAGAATGCAAATATTGGCACTCGTGGGCAGCCCTATCACTCGGGCTGTGACTGGTCCCCTAGATTACGAACTTAATGGGTCCACTCCACAGCGATCGACTGCATTAAGTTATCGGCTGGGAGGTAAATCAAGTCAACAAACAGAGCCACTCACCGCCGCGCGCCCCCGCCGCTCATCGGCAGGTTGATGACCAGGTCGAACTGCTTGTTGGCCAGGAACTCGGCCAGGTGCCGCAGCTCCCCGTTGATGTCGTCGGGCGTCGTCTTGTCGAACGTCCACTGCACGGATTCCACCTGCAAGGGGAAAGGGGAGCGGCCATTTAGACTGTGTAATGAGCAAGGAGCACGCCATCATCAAGGCCACAAAGTCACCGTCACCATCAACTTCAACTTCAATCAATTGTTTGCCCAGAGCACACTATAAAGATATCACTATTTATGGATGTTCCATGTCCACATCGAAGACAACAGAACAATAGTCCATAACAATGGCACAGTGGGGCAAATATAATCAAGAACAGTGCAAAGTATTCTTAGTTAATGTCGTTTTTGTGTAGAGAAAAGTATCAAAAAGAAAGTCAGTTGTAAAATCTTATTAGAGATTAGATATAGATTTTTTTAAGATTGTATAAATTTCCCTGTGAAGATGTACAAATTTTCAAAAAGAGAAGTAGCAGTGGTTCAAAAAGTTATAATACATTTAATTTTTAATTATATTCCCCTTTTAAAATTAATAAAACCTTTTAAATTTTCCTTCCTCATGAAAAGTGTACTTTGACTTTCAAACATTGATCTTTTAAGATCACGAATCGTCTGAAGTATTAAATTCTGCAATCGTAAATGCTTGCTTCAATTTTGTGTATGTTTTCGCAGCACAGTAAAGTGGAAATCGATTCCGTCAAAAATACCAGGAACTGACTGATAGTAGATAGCCGGGGCAGGAAGAGGTGGTGGCCAGCCGGAAGAGTAGTCCCAGCACTTATCGGTTCGATTGCGAGTGTCATTAGTAGATCGTTGATTGGTGAACTCAGATCGCAGATTGCCAATTTCATCAGTTCGAGCGGCAAGACAAGAGAACGTAATTCAGTCACACATCACCGATCGTCGCCATGGGCTGCTCCTGGTCGCGACCCGAGCCGGTGGACTCCAGTGCCACGCCCAATGCTCTGCAGGCGGGCATTCCCGCCCAGCGCCACCAGCGCCGGCGGCGCCAGGAGGAGAAGCGTCTGCGCCAGCTCCAGAAGCTGCAGAAACGCAATGCTCGAAAGCGTCGCCGCAAGAGAGGCTCCAGATCCAAATCCGGATCCGATCCTGGCGGACCAATTTCGGGTTCCATTCAGAGGCGCCGCCTCAGTGCACAAGCGAATCCCGATCTCGCCCTGCAACTGCGTCTGCTGGGGGGCAGCAATGGCAGCAGTGCCACCGAGTGCGTGAGTGCCCTGTATGCCAGGACATTGGAGCAGCAGCGCGAGGAGTTCCAGCGGACGGTGGAGCAGAGGACCCTGCACCAGTTGGACCGGGAGCTGCACACCTTCCTGCTGAACCAACTGCTCCTAGGCGTCCAGTTCTTCGGCCACTTCGAGGCCGAGATGGGGGTGGTCGATGCCCACCTGTTGGCCAGGCGGCGTAACTGCTCCGCCGAGAACCTGGCCGAGCACAGCCTGATCCAGAGCAGCGCCATCGACGCGGCTGTCGCAAGGAACCTGCTCTTCCAGCCAGCGTGAGTTTATCCTTCTGGGTTTTCCGGGTTTCCTTAAATTTTTTAATCTCTTTTGTTCCTTGATAAAATTAATAGACTCTTCTCTACAAAAACTCCCAACTTTCTTCTAATCTACTGTGAAATTCTATTATATTTTTATTACCCCTATTTCCTTTAACATTTCTACTGCTTTTTTTCTACCTTATTTTACATAAAAGTATGTCTTTAAGAAAACTTTCTTTTATCTCACACTTTTTACTGCTGACTATTCTTTTTCTAGCTTTTTTTCGATTACTTTTTTTTTTTTTTATAATAATTAACTTGAGTTTGCGATTTGCTCTGTACCATTTAAAAGTACTCCCTCTATTTCTTGACATTTTATCTATTGATACACTTTTGAACTGCTTTCTGTAAGATTTCGCGTTCATATAGAAGTACCTGCAGAAATCTTAACCTTATTATCCTAGATATCCTGATAGATATGTAGGTATTTTTTTTGAATCTGAATCTTAACCTTATTAACCTGTTATTCCTGAAAAGTGTTGATATATTTCTAAACCTCTAATATCTGTTGATATTAGTCTGATCCTACATTATCCCGATACCAGTTGAAATATTCCTGATCTCTATACATCCATCCATTTCCACTTGAACGTATTCCCTCTTGTAGATCCTCGAAGTCACCGCCACAGCCTCTGCAGAAGCCCCTAACCTATGTGGTCTTCGAGAACGTGGACGTGGCCCGACCCCACGACGCCAACTATGACACCGTGGCGGCGCTGTGCAAGGTGCTCCTGGAGACGGACTACTACAGCACCACGCCCTGTCGCTCCGAGTTCGTCAAGCTGATGGAGATCACCCGCTGGATGGGCTATGTGCGGCTCAAGCTGCGCGAGCAGACACCGAATCCTCCGGCGGACAGCGGATGCAGCTCCCCCCTGCCGGCCAGCAGCGATGAGGAGGGCATCAATGCGGATGCCTGCTCCTCATCCTCGGGCTACAGTTCGGGGGACTACGACTATGTGTACCTGGCCAGGTTGAATACGCCGCGTCCGCTGGAGGAGTTGCGACTTGGTGGGAAGCTTGATCTAAAGAGGAACGTCCTGCCGGAGAGCTGCATCCGGCGACTGGCCAACTGCCTGCCCCCCTGGCTGGAGCAAACCGACGACGAGGCGTCCTCTTGCGCCTCCAGCAGCGAGGAGGAGCAGGAGGAGGAGGAGGAGGAGGAGGAGGAGCACGAACACGAGCATAGAGGGGATCACAAGTACCCACCGGCTGGCTATGAGACCGTCCAGGTGCTACGCCAGTGCCAGGTGGAGCAACTGCAGCAGTGCTACCTCAGTTCGCAGCAGTTCATGCTGTATTTCGGGGAACTGCTCCGCCAGCACTTGGCCGGCCAGCTGGGCATCAGCCAGTCCCAACTGGCCGCCGGCTCCTATCGCGGCTGCAGTGTTTACACCGCACGCGAGGAGCTGGTGCCCGCCATCCATGTGCCCAACTCCTGGCCAGACTGCGCCTTCGAGTTCTGGCTGAGGGCCCGTCCGCGCCTGACCAACATCCACACCGCCGAGCAGTTCCAATGGCCCACGGAGCAGATGAAGAAGCGCATCCGATCCTTTGGCTTCCATGTGGTCCCAGTGGGCTATGCCCCGAAGCACTCGCGCAATCCCTTCAGGGAGCTGGAGTGGCGCATTGTCTTCCCGCAGGCGGAGCAGTTCCTCGAGCGCCACTGCCTGACGCCCATGCAACTGAAGGTCTTCCAGCTGATGAAGCTGCTGGTCAAGACCTTCGTGGAGGACACCTCTTCCGCCGGCCAATCGCCGGAGGCCCTGCTCGAGCAGCTGAGGGCCCACCTGTTCTGGCAATGTGAGGGGCACAGCAATGACTGGCCGGAGGAGTTCCTGGGCGAGCGCCTGGTTCGGTTCATCCGCTCGTTCGACGCCTGTTTGGCCAGGAAACACCTGAGCGACTACTTCATCGAGCGGCGGAATCTCTTCGAGCACGTTCCGGAGGACACGCTGATGAAACTGCGCACCATAATGGCTGGCATTGCGGAGCAGCCGCTGCTGCATGTCGTCCAGGCCTTGAGAAACCTCCGACATGCCCCGGATTTCTATCCGCAGCTGGACCACAAGCGGCTGTTGGACAATCTCTTCAGCCAGGACTACCTGGAGCTGCATGCGTGGGGCAAGTTTTCGCGTCCCCGCCAGGGATTTCCCGCCCAGGAGAACCGGGAGGATGACCAGGAGCAGCAGCTGGAGAGCGGAAAGGAGGACATCACCGATGCCCGGGGTCTTTTGGGATTGGCCCAGCATCAAGAGCGTTCGAGGGGAAAGCTGCGCAGGAAGACACAGCTCCTGAAGGCCACCAACCAGCAGCTCCAGCTCTCGGTGGCGGAACAAAGACGCTCCTCGCTGGACTTTCTGGACCTCCAACTGCTCCTCACGCGGCCCAATCCTGAGGCTGCCAGCCAGGACACGGCCAAACCGCAACTCAACAACGGCTTGGAGATCTTGCGACGCAGCAATCTGCTCGAGCTGCTGCTGGATCACCTGCTGGCCATGTTGGCCCACGCCACTCGCCTCGGCAATCGGGGACATGCCCAGCTTTACCTGGAGCAGGGCCAGAGGTTGTGTCGCCTCTATCAGCACCTCGGTTGCTCCCAGCAGGCGCAGCACTTCATCCAGGAACTTCAAGAGGCAGCCAGTAGAATAGAGGTCATGTCTAGAACGCCTTTGCCAAACAGAGCAGGAGGAAGTCCTCCGCTGGAGGACGAATCCCCGCCGGTGCGGAGAAAGTCCATCAAGTTCCAGGAGCATGTGGTGCAAATACACTCACCAGATCCGCTGGCGAGGCAGAATCATATGTCCCATCTTAAAACGCACAAACTCAATGGGATTCTAAGGGGGAATCACTATGAGGAGCAAATAGAAACCCCACAGGAGGAAGACAACAAAAGCACATTGCAGGAAATACAAATTGGCATGGAGGAGCACACAAAAAGAGTGGAAACTATGGAGGCCCCAAAAGAGGATGATATAGAAAATCAAACAAAAGATGAATCGGAATCGGGAGGAACTCCCAAGGGGGAGACTCTTCTCTCGCTTAACGGAATCCTCCAGAGACTCAATCTAGATACGGATAAGATGCAAATGCTGAGCAGCAAGACGGAGCAGCTGGTCCAAAAAGTCGCTCCTTCTGAGGCCAAACGGGATGAACTCAAAGATATCCTCAAGCGCAAGACGCAAAAGCTCAAGGGCGCCCTAAACTAAAGATAATACTTTAAAGATTAGCCCCCGGGAGATATTGATACAGATAAACCAGGAGTGATAAAGAACGCAAGAGATAAGGATGGGATTTACTAGTTACATAGGTCACAAACACTGTACATATGTTGATATTCTCTGATTCTAGAACATATACTTGTAATAACCAATCTGGAAATCTGATGATTCGCCCCATGATAGAAATGTTATTGAATATATTTACTAAATATAAGTCAGGGACAATAAATACTGAAAAATAAATATTAAAACTACTCAACTTTGTTGATAAACATCTTCAACTTTGTCTAATTAAAACAAGAAAGGAAAGCTAACTTCGGGCGGAGCCGAAGTTGAAATACCCTTGCAGAATATTCTGCAAATTATATTCTCCAAAATTATTCATATAATGCATTCTTAACACTCATAAAAAATCCCACCTTCCTAACTTTAAAAACACAAAAGTTATTTCAGTTCCGATCAATCAGTTATATGGCAGCTATAGGATATAGTCGGCCGATCCTTATGAAATTTAATATGTCGAATTGATTGGGCAAAAATAAAACCCATAGAAAATCCCAACTTCCTAACTTTACAAACACCAAAGTTATGGCATTTCCGATCAATCAGTTATATGGCAGCTATAAGATATAGTCGGCCGATCCTTATGAAATTTGGTAGGTCGGATTGATTGGCCAAATATAAAACCCATAGAAAATTCCAACTTCCTAACTTTACAAACTCCAAAGTTATGGCATTTCCGATCAATCAGTTATATAGCAGCTATAGGATATAGTCGGCCGATCCTTATGAAATTTGGTACGTCGCATTGATTGGCCAAATATAGAACCCACAGAAAGTCCCAACTTCCTAACTTAACAAACAGCAGAGTTATGGCATTTCCGATCAATCAGTTATATGGCAGCTATAGGATATAGTCGGCCGATCCCGGCCGTTCCGACTTATATACTGCGTGCAAAGGAAAGAAGGGTGTGTGCAAAGTTTCAACTCGATAGCTTTAAAACTGAGAGACTAGTTTGCGTAGAAACAGACAGACGGACAGACGGACAGACGGACAGACGGACATGGCTATATCAACTCAGGAGGTGATCCTGATCAAGAATATATATACTTTATAGGGTCGGAGATGTCTCCTTCACTGCGTTGCACACTTTTGACCAAAATTATAATACTCTCTGCAAGGGTATAATGATATGAACGTAATGTGAAAACAATGACCACTTAAAATCTATTTAAACGTATTGATTTTATACGGAAAAAAGGCCTAAAGTGTAAAATAAACTGACCTGAATCTAATTAATCAAAATATATTATATATAAAAAGGCTTTTCGTTTTTTTCCTAACAAACTGTTTTTCAGCAAAATTTGTACTTAGGTACAACTTGAAATTCTCCAAATCATTGTAATTTTTTGTATGTGGTGACCCCAAAAAATTCGATAATTAGGTTGCTCATAGTTTTGCACTTCCCTTATGAACTATAATCAAAGAATATCTATTGTACTCACATCAACGCCATGTTCCGCGTAAAAGTCACCGGTGCCCATGGAAGCATATAGTTTGTACCCCATCTTGGCCAGATCCCGTATCGAAGGCAGCAGCTCCATCTTGTGCTGCAGGTGGATTATCAAATAGGCAGTCAATAGATAACCCAGTTGATACTTAAATCGCAACAGACCTTGAAACTGCCAATAGACAGGAGGACAGCGTTCTTGGGTATCTGGAAGCCCGTGGACATCATGGCCTTGAGATACGCCTCATAGCGGTTGTCCCCGAAGCAGGCCACCTCGCCGGTGGAGGCCATCTCCACGCCCAGCTGCACATCGGCACCCGCCAGGCGGGAGAAACTGAACTGCGGCACCTTGACGCCCACCTTGCCGACGCCATGGAGCACATCCAGTGGCTCCACGTCGAGTCCAACTATGGCCCTCGTGGCGGTGGCCACAAAGTCGTGATCCAGCGTCTTGGAGACAAAGGGAAAGGATCGGGAGACGCGGACATTGCACTCGATGACCTTCAGCTCGTTGTTCTTGGCAATCAGCTGCATGTTAAACGGACCGGTGACATCCAGGACGCTGGCCAGATCGCACGTGATCCTCTTGATGGCCTCCAGCGTCTCGGCATTGAGATCCTGCGGCGGAGTGACCAGCGTGGCATCGCCCGAATGCACTCCCGCATTCTCCACATGCTCCGAAACGGCCATGCACAGGATCCGTCCATCGGCTGCCACTGCATCCACATCGATCTCCTTGGCCTCGGTGAGGAACTTGGATATGACCACCGGGTGCTCGCGACTCACCTCGGAGGCGGCGTTCAGGTACGTCTCCAGATCCTGATTCGAGTAGGCCACATTCATGGCCGCACCGGAGAGCACGTAGGATGGCCTGACCAAACAGGGGTAGCCCACCTCCTCGCAGAAGTCAATGGCCGACTGGAGATTGGTCAGCTCCTTCCAGCGGGGCTGCAGGATGCCCTTCCTGTCCAGCATGCGCGAGAACTTGAATCGATTCTCCGCACAGTCAATGGACTCCGGCGATGTGCCCAATACCTTGGCCTGCTGGCGATGCAGATCCATGGCTATGTTGTTGGGCAGCTGGCCGCCCATGGACAAGATTATGCCCTCGCTGTTCTCCATTTCGTAGATGTCCATGACCACCTCGAAGCTGATCTCCTCGAAGTACAGACGGTCGCACATGTCGTAGTCCGTGGACACCGTTTCCGGATTGTAGTTGATCATTATGGTCGGTCGCTGGAGTTTCCTTAGCTCGCGCAGACAGCCGACGGCACACCAGTCGAACTCCACGGAGGATCCAATGCGGTAGACGCCCGAGCCCACCACAATGGTGTGTCCACCGGGGAAGGCCACATCGTGCTCGCTGCCATTATACGTGTTGTACAGATAGTTGGTACTCGCCGGCCATTCGCCGGCCACCGTGTCGATCTGCTTGACGTGCGGACGGATGCCGAACTCCTGGCGCTGGTGGCGCACTGCCAGTTCGGTGCTCTTGGTGGCCTTGGCTATTTGCTTGTCGGAGAACCCGGAGCGCTTGGCCTGCAGCAGCAGGTCTGCCCCCGTCCGACTGCCCGTCTTGGTGAGGACCGAGTGCAGGTCGATGATCCTGTCCAGTTTGTGCAGGAACCAGCAATCGATCTTGGTCAGTCGATGGAGCTCGTCCACGCACATGCCCGACTTGAGGGCAGCGGCCAGGACGAAGGGACGACGATCCGTGGGCTCCGAGAGCTGCTCGGCCAGCTGCTCCTTATCCAGGGTGACCACGTCCGGATCGAAGCCCAGCACATCGCCGTCCACCATGCGCAGGGCCTTCTGGAAGGCCTCCTCGAAGTTGCGGCCGATGGACATCACCTCGCCGACGCTCTTCATAGAACTGCCGATGTGCTTGCTGACCCGCACGAATTTGGCCAGATCCCAGCGCGGAATCTTGACCACACAGTAATCCAGGGAGGGCTCAAAGCAGGCCGTCGTGTTGCCCGTCACCGAGTTCTTGATATCCGGCAGGGGCAGTCCCAGTGCCAACTTGGCGGCCACGTAGGCCAGCGGATAGCCGGTGGCCTTGCTGGCCAAAGCGGAGCTGCGCGACAGCCGGGCATTCACCTCGATGATGTAGTACTGCTCCGAGTGGGGACACAGGGCGTACTGGATGTTGCACTCGCCCACGACGCCGAAGTGACGGATCACCTTGAGGGCGGTGCTGCGCAGCATTTGGTACTCGCGATCCGAGAGGGTCTGCGATGGAGCCACCACTATGCTCTCGCCCGTGTGGATGCCCAGGGGATCGAAGTTCTCCATGTTGCACACGGTGATGCAGTTGTCGTAGGCGTCGCGCACCACCTCGTACTCCACCTCCTTCCAGCCCTTGAGGGACTTGTCCACGATCAGTTGGCTCGAGTAGGCCAGCGCCTGTTGGGCCAAGCTCTTCAGCTCCTGCTCGTTGTTGGCGAAGCCGGAGCCCAATCCGCCCAGTGAGAAGGCGGCCCGGGCCATCACCGGGTAGCCCAGTCGACTTGCCGCATCGATGGCCTCGGCCACCGAGTAGACCGCCTCCGATGGCGCCACCTGCTCGCCGATCTCGTTCACCCGGTCGGCAAAGAGCTTGCGATCCTCCGTCTCGATGATGGACTGAATGGGTGTGCCCAGGATGCGCACATTATACTTGGCGAACACCCCGGCTCGCTCCAGTTCCACGCCGCAATTGAGGGCCGTTTGCCCGCCGAAGGTGAGGAGCACTCCGTTCGGCCGCTCCGACTTGATCACCTGCTCCACATAGTGCGGGGTGAGGGGCAGGAAGTAGCACTTGTCCGCCATGCCCTTGGAGGTCTGGACCGTGGCTATGTTCGGGTTGATCAGCACCGTCTGGATGTTCGACTCCCGCATGGCTTTGATGGCCTGCGAACCGGAGTAGTCGAACTCTCCGGCCTGCCCAATCGAGAGTCCGCCGGATCCCAGGATCAACACCTTGCGCGGCTTCACCGGTGTGGGATCTTCAACTTTCCTAGCTGGACATAGTCGCTGAGCAATCAGCTCCGGAATGCGCACATCCTTCTGGCCAATGCTCTCCAGGAACACATCGAACAGGAATTCGGTGTCCTGGGGACCGGCATGGTGCTCCGGATGGAACTGCACCGAGAAGTAGGGCTTGGTGGCATGGACAATGCCCTCGTTGGTGCCATCGTTGGCATTCACGAACAGCTCAGACCAGCCGTCGGGCAACTGCTCCAGATCCACGGCATAACCGTGGTTCTGCGAGGTCATCAGGCATCGTTTGGTTTTGGGGTGCAGGCATGGCAGATTGTGACCCCGATTGCCGTACTTCATCTTGTACGTGGAGCAGCCGATGGCCTTCGCCAGCAGCTGGTGGCCCAGGCAGATGCCGAACACGGGTTTCCGCCCCTCCTCAATCACTTTGCGGACCTTGAACAAAGGATAAAACAATCTTCAACTGTGTTTTGTACTTGGATGAGGTGGAGGAAGGAGCACCACCTTCCCAGTACCTAGGTAATCCCTTATGCCCACCTGATCTAAATGCATTTGAACCCACCTGTTGGACGATCTCGTCGCAGCTCTCCGGATTACCAGGACCGTTGGACAGGAATAGGGCGTCGAATTGCTCCTCCTCGAGGCGCGCGCTCCACGGGAGCAGGGTCACCGAGGCGCCCCGTTTCAGCAGGCAACGCAGCTGATTGAGCTTCAGTCCGCAGTCCAGAACGGCGATCCGTGGCCCCTTGCCATTGGGATCCCCGTACACGCGCCTCTCCTTCACGCTGCATTCCCTGGCCAGATTCCTGGTGTTCGGGTCCACGAAGCTGGACTTCGGCAGCCCCTGAAGCGGCGGCTCCTCGTAGACGATCCTGCCGAGCAGGCTGCCCTGCTCCCGCAGCTTTTTGGTCAGGGCTCGGGTATCGATCCCACTGATTCCGGGCACCTTGTGCTGTTCCAGCCACTCGGGCAGCGTCTTCCAGGCGCGCCAGTGCCAGGCTGCGTCGGCCACCTCGCCCACCACCAGGGCGGTGGCCTGGACGACGCCCTGCATCCACTCGAAGTGCAGCGGCAGTCCGTGCTCGTCCTCGTCGGGCGCCGGTACTCCGTAGTTGCCGATCAGCGGGTATGTCAGCACCAGGATCTGGCCGCTGTACGAGCGATCCGTCAGCGCCTCCGTGTAGCCGACCATGCCCGTTTGGAACACCACCTCGCCGCCCACTCCGCCGGCCTTGTCCGAGGGAACGTGGCCGAAGGAGTAGCCCGGCATCACGGTGCCATCCTCGAGCGCCAGGTAACAGTTCGCGGGGGGCATTTCGGATTGGTTTCTGGGGAAGGCGGGTAAATCAGTTTTTAAATCATACGGTTTCAGGTGTGGGACATTCCCGGACATTTATTTTGCATTATTTTGCCATTAAAAACTGAATTTAATATTTAATAGCTTTTAGTTTTTGCAGAAATGTCAATGCAAATTAAAAACATATTTTGCCTCAATTTTTAAAAAACTTTGATATAAATGATTTGCTTCTTGGGCAAAAATCAAGAAATTTATTTGTATGAAATATATAATCAAAAACCAAATTTTAATGTTAATTTCTTTTTTATGTTATTGTTCGCTATCAAATGGGAATCATATTTCTCGTGAACAAGATCTTGAATAAACAAGTGAAGGTAATTATCAAAAGGGGATCCTATCTTTTGAAATGTGAGGAGTAACGAAAACACGAAGACGAAGATCTTTATGCCTACGAGCTGATAACGATAAACTATTCGAAGACTTGACTTGATTTGGTAAGTTATTGGCCTAAAAATAGATATTGTTGGAAACAAAACTAATAATACCCTGGTTTTTAAAATGTTTCTGTAATGTGGCTATTGCTAAGAGCAAGCTAATGTCGAATTAAATTATTGTCAACCCATAACAAAGATTTTGTTCATCAATTCCGCTTAACAATATATACAAATTTTAAAAATTTCTAAAACGCTAAAAAAATTGCATTAATTTTGAAAAATTAAATATATATGAAATGAAAATATATAAAAATAACGGCCAAACTAATATTAGGAACTTAGCAAAGTTTTAAAAACAATCCTTAAACTGTTGAGGTAAAAGATACTCTTTAATTGCATTTAAATATATGAATTTTAAATATTCGTTATCCAAAGTTGTTAAACTTTTTAAAGAATTTATATACAATTAATAAACTTAAATTATTTTGTATTAAACCTTGTTAGTTTTGAAAAGTGTAAAAACATTTCAATAACGTTCTTAGTTTTAATTCATGACTGATAAATATAGTGTTAAAAAAAAGTATTAAAAGGTTTTCTCAAACCGAATATTCCTTTGGCTTTTACAATTCAGGGTATCAAAATAACAAATGCGCCGCAAAAGCAACATGTGTTTTTTACACACACAGCTATTACAGTTTGCCGGTATTTGTTTGCATATAAAAAATCCAACTAGAAATCGTGAAATTTTTATGTATTTAGTGCATATACATATAAGCCTGTCTGGCAACATGTTGCGCGGGGGTGAAAAAGAACAACAACGGCTATAACACGATTCTGATTGGGAATGGACGGTGCTTATCAAGTGGCTTAATTTGTTGTTATTGCAATTCACGGTTTGTTTACACGGCAACCAACGGCGAATAGAGAAGAAGAGAAGCGACTCTGTACGAGTGTGCGTCCGCAAGCACGTGTGTAAACTTTTGGTTCGAACTGGAAACCGGTTTGTCTGCGATGGAGAATAACAATAACAAAAGTCCAATAAAAACAGTACAGCAATTTAATAATCTAAATGAAATGATCCTTTAATTAAGGTACACATAAATTGCTCTTTTTTTTCTCGTTTTTACATATATTACAATCACACTTACAATTCCGTGTACTTTCAAGAGAAGCTCTCTCTCTGCTGCACTTGTAGTCGTGAACACGTTTTAGTTTTAATTTGAACGCGCCCTTTGTTGATTTTTCGCGATACCGTTATCAGAACTGGTAATTTCTCGCTGCTCCAATATTGTTAACCATTCAACAGTGTTTGCTCGTAAATTGGCTCCAATTAGCGGACTGGAACGTGTTGCAAGTCGAAGTCAAACAACCGAATTCACCGCCTTCTTAACTCCGGCTCTGTTTCAATAAAGTCCCAAAAAATACCACAGGAAGAGGTAGGTCGGTTGAAAACTTTGCTAGTAATAAAATGGTGGTAAGGTTGGCTAAACGTTTAGTAAGTGCGCGATATACAGTGAACGCTCTGTACAGATAACCGAAAAATACAATGGTTTTCAACCGTCAAAGGATCTTCTCAAAAAATGAAAATTCATAATTGAGCATGTAAGAACATCAAAGAACATATACTAAATTAAATTCATTTTGTGCATAAAATTCCCTAAAACAGTGTTTAAACATAGATCAGGTAATATATCATGAAAAAATATTATATCCATTTAATTTAATTGTTGAGAGAGTACTTTGTGAGCGTCTTCAATTTTAAAGGTAAAAATGGTGAATTAAACAATTTGCTAAATCTACTTTTCAAATTAGTAGGCTTTGAATTTTATATATATTTCAACTATCTTCCAACAGTATGTTTTTGCTCAGTCGCTTTCCAACAGTGTTGGGATCAAAACATTTTAGTGAAATACGAATGTGCATAAAAACGAAACCAAATGCAAAAAAAGTTAAATAAATTCTAGTCATTACGAACCGAACCAGTTATCGATAACCGCGCAATAATCGCTTGTGCCATAGCCTTCCTATCGTTATCGCCGGCGGTTTTTGTGTGCAAATAATAATAATAAACAAATCATCACTTAAAAGGTGAGTGTTTTTGCAAGTATACAATGTGAAGTTAACGATAAGATACGCTTTTTTAGACCGTGTGAGAATGCAGTGGACGGGACTTTGTCTGCTGGCCGTGGCCGTAATGTGTACATCAGGGAATCCGATTTCCTCGGACACGGCCTTCCTGACGCCGGGTACGTCCTTAAATATTACGGAGAACACCTACGGATCGAAGACGTTGCGGACGTACTGCTATCAGGGCAAGCGCTATTCCATACTGAGTCTGTTCGAGTCGATGGAATTCGGTCTGGCGATCGGCAGCGAGGACTATGCCCAATATGGTGGCAAGACGCCGGAGGAGGTCCTGGAGCACTACAACCAACAGCGATCGCTTTTCAGCATTACCCTGTTTTCCCAGAAGCGTCTGCGTGTCCAGCTTTCGCCATTTGAGCAGCAATGCATTGGAATCTCCTCCCGGCAGCCGTATAGTGTCGTCCTGAACATTACCCAGTTGGATCTATGGCGATTTGTCCAGTTTTCTCTGGGCATCTTAACCTTTTGGAGCGCCCGTCGACTGGCCAAGAACAGTGTGTTCTACTATTTGGCCGGGGTCCTCATCGGGATCTGCGCCTCCCTGCTGGTGGTCATCTACCTGGCCGCCAAGCTCTTCCCGCGGCGCCCCATGATGTACGGCGTCCTGATCGGCGGCTGGACCATTGGCTTCTATGTCCTCAAGCAGCTAGCGGACAACATGCGACTGATCTTGCTCACCTACCGCGACCATGTAGTGTGGTACCTGGTGGTCACCGGACTGATCTCGTTCTTGGTGGGTATTTTATGGTATTTTATATCAATGTTCTATAAAAGCTAAAGAACATTAATTGTTTACGTTAGCAAAGCTTGTATAAAATCGTTAGTATAAAGCTTTACCTTTATACTAACGTCTAGTTACCACTTAGCCGTTATTCTTAAGCATATATCCTTAAAGAAACCAACAACTAAATAATGGCTTTAATTTTTCCTTATCAATTAGATTTGCTATCGCATTGGACCGCCAAAAAATCCGCGCTCCCAGAATATCATAATGTGGGTATTGCAAGCTATGGGTGGCGTCCTGGTTTACTTTAGTAGCTGGCATACAAGTGCGTTGGTCTTTCTCATGGTAATGGCCTTTGTGGCCCATTACTTTCCACGGTCGTGGGTGCGTTATGGTAAGAGTATGTACCGCCGTCGCTTTCCACCCAAGAAGCGACTTCTAACTCAGGAGGAGTACCTAAATCAGACGGCCATCGAGACCTCGAAATCTCTATCGGACCTAAGGAAATTCGTCAACAGTCCAGAGTGCAAGCAGTGGGCCGTGATGAGCAACCTGCGCAATCCTATGCGTTTTGCCTCATTCGCCAATGGAGCACCGCATCTCGATGACGAGGAGATCGAGGACTACTCACGGGCTATTGAGGAATCCATGGAGGCGGCACCGCAAGAGGATCCCGAGGAGTTCCTGCAGTGCAGCATGTACTATCGTCCGTCGGCAAGTCGCCGTTTGCTTAACCGTTCGCGTCACCGTGTCAATATACCACTGCCGAATTCCCAGCTTCGCAATCGCCAGACCGCTCGGGAGTCTGAAAACGAGGAGAGCGAGGAGGAATTCATGGAACAAAATGCAGACCAACCATAGCAGTACCCCACCAACAAACCAAAAACTCATTAGGCTAAGCTCAAACCATCCCAGTGTATTGTGTCGTAGCAGTTTTCGTTCTGAAATTCATTTAGTTTATGTTCATTTGTTTTATTATTTTTGTTTCTTAATATTTCCGATTAGACTGAAACGCACTGTACTTATTTGTAACATTTCTTGTGACTGGTTAGGAATAAATCGAAATTTTAAATGTTAAATGGTCCATTTGATTTTTGTTTAAAAGAAAAGAGGTAAGAAAAATACACTTAAGATAAAAAACACATAATCCATATTGAAAAAGTATATCCATCCCGCTCATTTCGGAGAAGCACAATCGATCGGCAACCACTGACAAGCCTCGGATGGAGGCGTGTGCATCTGTCCAGGTAGCATCTTCACCAGCCGGCGGTCGTTGTCGTGCTTTTCGGCGGCACACAGCGTGAGATCGCGCTGCCGGAAGATGAGGGCGTCCTCCACGTAGGCGATGGACCAGAAACTGGACGATGAACTAGGACTACCCGATCGCAGGGCCCCCAATCGGTTTCCCTCGGTGGGATCCACGAAGAAGTACCATTTGAATAGCTCGCTGCGCAGTGTGAATATCGGAGTGGAGTGCTGCTCCTGGACAAAGGCGCGTATCAGACCCGCGGAGTCGGTATAGTTCTGCTCGTGCCAGGCAAAGACCTGTCTGCCGTTCAGCCCGTAGTTCCATTCATCCGTTATGGTGGTGTATATGTATTCCCGATCAGATCGACTGAGCAAGCAGAAGCCCTGCGGATTGAAGAGTAGACCCAGAACAGGTGGCAGACTCTTCCCAAGCGCCTCCACTCGCTTTTGAAGACCTGCATCCACGCTGGCGTACATGTGATGGGTCCTTATCTTGCTGACCATATGGGCCATGTTGAAAAGGAACGATTCGCTACTGTCCTGCATGGCCTGATATCGCCAGAACAGCGTCAGCTGCGCCTCGATCATCATCCTAAAGCTCACTTCATCGCGATCTGCAAACAGTTGCTCCAGTTGCTGGACCAGCTTATCTGAGGGCCGATAGAAGTACACATCCTCGATGGCGTTCACCAGTACATCCCGAACCATGGCTGGCTCCACACTGGCCGCTATGTACATGCCATACGTCTGGATGCTCTCCTCGGCGTTCAGGAGATTGGCCAGGCGCTGAGACATGAGGGTCCTCAGGTGGCGCCGCACCTCCTGCTGCAGTTCGCAGGCAGATCGACCCGAGGCCCCACTGGTGCACTGCATCTCATCACGAATGAAAGTGCCCAGATGGCTGTACAGGCCCTTCACCTTGTCCGTATCGGTGGCGAAATCGGAGCGGATGGCGCCCCAGATGCTCTGGAACACCTGAAGCTTGTCTCCGCGATTGGCGCTCCGACGGATTGTCAACTGAAAGGTGAATTTCAAAGTTAATATATGTACATGTGTATATACATTTTCAGAGTACAAAGTTCAATTGATCTTTTTGTACCATATAATATTGTCTTTTGGCTTATAAAGAAATCTGAGTATTATAAAGACTAAGTATTGATTTTTTTATATGATTTCATTGGGCTTGTAAACAAGCCTGACTAATTTAAATATTGTTTGTTGACTATTTAAGGATCTATTTTCATTTGGATTATAAAGATTATTTATGGATCCTGTGATGTTATATGATATAATTTGGTTAATAAACAAACCTGAATGTTTTCCAAATCGGGTTCCAGGGGCAGAACCTCGCCCAAAACCAGTGGAACACAGATGAGGAGCAACAGGTGCATCTCGGCGGACGATCGTTTGCCTACTGATTGGGAGAACTGCATTGTGGTCTCCATCAGCTTATCGCCTTCCCGCCTGGAAAGAGGTCACTACAGGTCCATCTTGATTTGCTTGGCACAATCATCGCTCGGACTCTCTGGATGCGGTCGTTTTTGGCCCACCACGGCCACCGATTTAATGCGCTGCGTCAACTGTTCCATTTCTATGGGATTGGAAATAGGAATGAGATTGGTGCGATCGCGGGGTTCCCGCTCTCTTTTAGGCTTTGGGACAACGAATCCCCGGTGGATCTCCTCCAGCTGCCCAAGCGGCAACTTTTCCACATTTGGGAGGTATAGCTCCCTCTGCAATATTAAATAACAATAGATTTTCATAGTTAAGACTTAACGTTCAATAATTAAGTAACCTTTATGAGCTGTTCTATAATATCAGCACGGGAAAGATCCAAGTCCATTCCGATCTATTTATTATTTTTTAATATTTCCACTTGGTATAGAAAATTTCAAAATATTTATAACAAAATGTAAACAAACCTCCTATTGTATCGATATATATCGATTAGTTTAATTACTATCGTTCTAAGGAAGATATAGCTTATCCGATGCATCGATCATTCATTTTTATCTTTAACAATTAATGTCATTTTATTTTTGTTTTTAATTATAATTTAAAAACCATGTTAATTTATTGCTTAGTTAAAGTCTTCTTTTAAAATATGTTGGAAAATATCGTAAATTTCTGTCATAATTTTACCCGGCTTTACGTTAATAAAAACAAGCAATACCAATTTTTAATAATTTTTTGATGGGATTAAATAAAAAATTGTTTTCCGACTGATAGATCTAAGACGGGTAAATAGGAGGCTATCAAATCTTACCAAGTGTCCGAGACTTTAATTAAAAAATGTATTGCTAGTCAAAAATCAAATTAGTTGTTTTTATCTTTATTTGAAATCGATTTTTAGCAATCGCTATGTTTATATATAATTTTTCGACTATAATTTCATTTAAATATTATGGTTGTTGCGTGAAGGCTTAATCGATTAATTTAAAATAAATTCATTAACAATTCGTTTCAACAAAATAGGTTTTGTTCATAGATACATATATCTGATAATACGTAATTAGCATAAATAATTGGAACTCGCTGAAAGTCGATTTATGGAAATTCAGTGCCAAAACCTCCAGCGGTTTTTCCTACACACACATATATATATGTTCATATATATATATATACCGTCCAATCTGATATATTCTTACAATGTAAATTTTATAAGTTCTTTACACATAATAAAGGCAAACCTGCTCAAAATTCGGCTCTCCCCTGTTTGCAGTTTAAAACATAAAAACCAAGTAAAAATCAAAAAGAATAATAAAATAAATAAAACCATTTTGGGGTCTGTCTATGTCTTTCTCTGTAACGGTACTTCTATGTGCCTCTGTGGTTTGTTGATCTTTCCATTAACAATTTACTTGCGTTAAGTTTTTGAAACTCCTTAAACTTTGGTATAATATCGTAATCGTATTGATCAATAGCTAATTCCTCAAGATAGATGTGTTCCATTAAATCGTTAATCCTAAAAGAAATCGTTGCTTTAGCTACAAAATTGAAAAAGTCTGTGATGTCAAAAGTTTATGTCGGATTTCCTTGTGCGTCATCGTGTCGTTGTCTTAATTTTGGGATCGAATGGTTTCAGTTCAAGGAGGCGTTTTTAAAAAGTCTGTGCTAGCTTATGAACAAAGTCGATTTGGTTGCAGCTGCTCCAGGATTTCTCTGGGTCACCATATAGGTCCTATATATTAGGTAGATGCATATATCGCGGTGCAAAATTGAACACGTTTCCTAGACGTCGATCACGCTGTCATTCTTCTTCATCTCCATGAGATGGGTCTGCTTGAGCTTCTCCTGCATCTGGGTGAGCATGTCCTGCATCCTCCGTATCTCCTCGTCCTTCTGCAGGAGCAACCTGTCCGTTTCCGAGATGGCCGCGTCGAATCCGTTGGTCGAGCTGATCGAGTCCCTCTTCAACTTGCCGCGCTCGCGCAGCGCGTGCTGCGAAATCTGCGAGATGCATTGGGCCCGGAAGTTCTCGTAGTGCACGTCCTGAAAAATTGAAAATAATTGTATTTTTTGGTAAGCTTGTGCATTGAAATTAAGTGATTATAAATATATTTTGAAGGCCTAATCTTGTCTTAAAGGCATATTATAATAAATCGTGATCTAAAAAAATAATTTTAATACACAAAACTCTTGTAACATAGTAGTATTTAAAATATTTTACATTAAATATGGTGAATACCATACAAAAATATACAAAAATGTTATTTGGTAGATCCCAACTAAGAGCTATCCGTAAACCCACCTGCGTGGTGTCCTTGAGGTCCTGCATATGCGTGGATATCAAGAAGGTGCGCAGCTTGATGAAGTCGCTGTGCTCCGGGTCCTCCACGTTGACCACGCCCCACGGATACTGGCGACCCCGGACCTTCTTGCCGGCCACCTCCAGGATGGTGTTGCTGCCGACCACGGCGAACGGGATGGAGGCCTTCAGTTCGCGGTCCTGCTGCTTGAAGTCGTCGTCCTCGTCGGAATCGCACTCGGGGAACTGGTACAGCTGGATGTGGTTGTCCTCCAGGTCCTGCAGGATGCGCTCCTTCAGCTTGCGCACCTCCTGTTTATTGAGACAGTCGGCCTTGCCGATCACCAGCACTATGTTGACCTTGCGGTGCAGCCGTCGGATCAGGTCCAGATCCATCTGTCGCAGGCTAAAAGGATTAAGCAGGATTCAAGTTAATATTTACATTTAAACATTTCATAAATCAGATATTTTTTAAATTAAATTAAATACTTTAAAATGTATTATAAAAAACGTATATCTTAAACAAAAATCGAAATTATAAAATATATTTATATTTTATGCAGCTGTGTTTAAGATACTTCTAGCTTAAATGCATTATAATATTACCTTACCAATGAACCCAAACCATGTTCTTTTAGTTGTTACTTGTTCAAAACCTTTTAGGCAATTTAAAAAAACAAAATTGTTTAAGTATATAACAAAATAAAGATATCTTGTCAAAATTTGTTTTCGTTGAGTTTAAATAAGGTTTGTTTTGTTTTGTTGTTATATTGTTTAAAAACAGTTTACTTTACTCATAAGTCAAATTAATCTAATATTCGGCATAAAGAAATGATTGCTTAGCTTAAAATTGTATTTTTTTGACAACATTTTTTTAATAACATAAAAATTACGATTAGATTTGTTTATCCGGATGTTGAATGTTTATATTATTAATTAAATTTTTCTTGTCTTCATGATAGTCTTTCGAACTGGTCCAATTTTGAATATAAATGTAGAGTGTACCCCTCACCTGTGGCCCCATGGGGGGACGAAATAGAGACAGCAGTGCACCCGGTTGTCCTGGATGTTGCGTCGATTGAGTCCGCTCTCGTCGGTGAAGTACTGGCGGAACTGCTCGTCGATGTACTGGGTGCACACCCGCCAGCTGTCCTCGCAGTTGATGGCATCCCCGAATCCGGGGGTGTCCACCACCGTCAGCCGGAGTCGCACGCCCCGCTCCTCGATGTCCATCGTCTTCTTCTCCACTTTCGTCGTCTTCTCGATCCGCTCCTCCACATTGGGCATCTGTCGGTTCTTGTAGAGATCGCCCAGGAAGAGGCTGTTGATGAGGGTGGACTTGCCCAGGCCGGATTCGCCGACCACCATCAGGGTGAACTCGAAGCCCCGCTTCACCGACTTCCGGTGCACTTGCTCTGGAAGGGTGGCGAAGCCTATATAATCCCGATCCTTGTCGAACGATGGCGTTTTAGCTGCAAGGCAAAATGTGCACAGTGAGTTTATGCCAATTAATATACAAGATTAATGAAATTTACAATTGTGAAGAACATTTTAAAAAAGTATGCCTTATTAACATAAAAATGAGTGCTCAGCAATTATAAATATCCATTGAGATTATTTTTTTTGAAATACCACAACTAATACAAATTGAAATAGTTGAAGATCATACAATTTTTTAATTTAAGAGAAAAACATTTATTGACAAAGAAATGTTTGATGCTTTTCGATAACGATTTAAAAGTCTTAGATAACAACTTTATGTTGACATCTTTTGTATGAAACTGCAAACTTGAGCAGATGGTTGAGGAAAAGTATTCCTAATTATTGCTATATGTTAATCAAATGGAATCCTTAATCTTAGATTTTCTTTTGAGTGTAAAGTGAGGAGTGAGAACACAAAACGGGCTAATCGACTGAAGGACCTTGCACTTGGGTCTTGAATCTCGGTTCTTGAGCGACTTCATCGCCGTCTCATTAGGCAAATGAAATGCTGGAATGGCTTTCGAGTGGAGCGGTGACAGAAGTGACAGAGCGGGGCGGGGAATCCCCTCATCTGCGGCCCCTGGATCCTTACACATGTTCCTGCTGCTGGTGTGTCCTGGTCTCTCGTCCTTCCACCTCCCCTTCCCGCCGAGTTTCGTGTGTATACGGAACGCCTACTTAAAACGTAATTGGCCAAAGCCTCGCCACTTTTTTTTTGCCTTCCGGGTTTTCACAGTGTCTTCCTGTTTGTTGACTATTATTTATCAGCAAATTTGCCACATAGTTGGATTGTTTGGCCGTTATTTTATTTTGTTTAGAGTGAGTTGTTTGTTATTTGTTTGGTCGTTGAAAATATAAATCCCCGAGTTAAATGAACACTTTATTGTATTGTGGTGGAGCTGCAACTGGCGAGCGAACTGCCCTAAAACCATCCAAATTTAATGGGCTCTCGTACGCTCTCTCTCCTCCCGCTCTTTCACCACCCCCCACCTCCCTCCCGGTCTTTTTCCAAGGATGTTACATGAAGTGGCAACACCGACGTGCAACTTTCCCCTTTACTATCACCCTCTAATCGCGTTCTCTCGGCGCCTGCGCTTGAGAACCTGGCTCAAACTAGCGGAAGCCCGAAAAAAGTGGGCCAGATGTTACGGTGCTTTTTGGTCAGAAGTTGCGGAATAACGGTCGCTCTACGGGGTTGCCGGATAGTGGCGAAGAAATCCTGATTTTCAGGTAGTTTCTAAGTCCATAAAAACCATTTTAAATTTTAAATAATATCTCAAACTTTAAGGTTTAAATATGTTCAGCAAAGGAAAATAGTTCAATTTAGTCTTTTGAATACACTTGTGGTACCGTTGTTTTAATTATTAAATTATATTTTATATTTTTATTAATATGTCATTAATTCTGTTCGTCCACTAAACCATATTTGAGAACAATTGACATACAAGCGATTCGATTATATAATTTAATAGGAATTTTATCACAGAGGGTCTATAAATGGGGATAAATACCACATCATTTTAAAAGCTTCTATGGGTTCCCTCGTCTGCTTACGCAGGTTTTTTAGATTACTTCACATACGCTTTCGAGTTCTTACCCCCAAAGTAAGTACTTCCCTTTCCCGCTGCCAGAGATATGGTAGCACTGGTTGAGGGCCCACTCCCACGGATCGGTAAACCACTCACCCCTTGGGATTCCTAAGGGTGTCACCGGGGAGACAGTCAGTTCATTGTTCCCGCTCACGTTTTGCATTTAATCGAGTTTGCAACGCGCTGGGCTGGCAAGGCCAAGGGAAACTGGAGTTGGAGTGACACAGTGCAACTCGGGTGCAACTAAACCTTTAGACAGTGTCACCCCTTCTAGGGCATTACAAAATACAAAATTGGTCATAGAAAATACTTATTTCCATAGTATTTAGTAAACGTTTTATTTATTCGATCAAGCCACATTTAGAATGTGGAAAGAAAATATTAGAAAAAAATCTGTTCTCCAAATCTGAAATCCACATATAAACCTATGCCTAATAAAATTATATTTTTGTATATGCCCTACTTAAATAAAAAAACATACCGGTGCATTTTTAATAAATAAATTGCCCGATTCATTGAAAAATATAACCTCATACATTATGATTTTTTATGTGACATAGTTTTTGAATGTAAACGGAATAAAAGTGTAAGAAAGAAAACAAGACAAGAAATCAGATGAGAAACACCACATTGCTCCCTCTTTCGAACCCCGCGATCATTGTTTTGGCTCCAAATATTTTGTGTAAACTCTGTTCAATTGTTGCGAATTTTGTGTGGATGAACTTGCTGTGCCGCATTATCTTCGTGGGCCAGGCAAGATATTTGTTTGAGTCTTAGGGCGCAGATACAGTTATCTCGCCGGATCTCTGTTTGTGTGGCCATATCTTCATCTGTCGGATAAATGTGCGAAATCGGGCCCAGACCACAAGGAAGGCTAATGAGCGCAATGACTTGGCCCGACTCGAAGATTGGCTTGTTTAAACAAACGAGGGGTATGCGTGTTCTAAAGGGTGAGATGCAAAATGCACAGAGAGAAAGTGGAACTATTGGATATTAGGAGCTTAGATCTGCATTCAACTGCATTTTTTAAAAGCTATTTATTTCCGGATAAATAAATATACCTTTAATGTTGTAGTCGAATAACAAAAATGACATAAATAAATAAAACGAATATTTATTGTAGTTAGCAACTATTTGTATTCGCTCTAACGCTGTTTTTGTGTGGAAGAAGAATAACCCAATTAAGTGGAGGTTAAATTGGAAAAGAATGAAGAGTTCTTACAACGTTTTGTTCCCTCCTCCACCTGCTTTATCTGTTCCATCAGTTGAGATGTGAAAACGCCCACTGCAACACCCACTATGACACTCCAGCCCCCACCATTTTCCATTTTCCAACCCACCCACACGGCTGACAAAATCTGAGCTCTCAATTCTGTAAATCTGATAGTTTGTTCCCCCCTCCGTCGAGTTTTTCTCTCTGTGTCTGTTCTCGCTGAAGATCTTTATCGCCGCTGCTTATTGTCGTTTGTTTATCCCAAAGAGCTTTTCTGTGGGCGTTGCAGTTTTCATCTTTTCCCCACCGATTTCCCCCGGGTTTACCCCTCTTCGATGAGGTTCATTGACTAGACTTGTCGCTGTCATCGTTATTATGGCTGGGTCGGTCCAGCGTCTGTCGCTATGTGTCCTACACCCAGAAAAAATGTATGCTCTATGATAGAAAAAGTTTCCAAAATATCATTCGGATTTCAAGGATTACAGCAAGCGTAATTTTCATTAACTCAAGGTATTGTTAAATTGATAAGAAGTACAAATCCTTTTTTATGTGTTTTTTATAAGCAAATAAATTTAAAATTCTAAACATCTTGGCCCGTTAAAGATTTTTTATTTTTTCTGGTGTATCGTTATATTTCCCATAAATTGCTGCGCGAGAGGGAAAACATATCTACGAGAATTATTATATAGGTTGATGGGTGTCAAACACTTGAGCACTTATCGTTTGATCGGAATCGCTGGCAAATGGCCTGGGAAATGATTTTCCTTCGCACTCGACACACGATCTCGATAGGCATTATGACAGACCATTTAACACTTGGCGACACATCAATTTCAATCTCGGTCGCTCACTCATCCGCCTTATATTATTCCCCGCCCTCTTTCGCCCATCTCAATTTCATTTCAATTAAGTTCAATTCGAGTTCTGCTGCAAAATGCAGCTCACTTTTTATACTCTCCAGTTTATTTTTATGCTCTATATGAAAGGGTGTAGTAATTTCTTTTAGTCCAATGCAATAATCTTTACGAAATATTTATGAAATCCTTATAAAACCTGGGAATTTATCTTTTTGTTTAATCTTATGTTTATATACTTAGAGAATGTCTAAAAGTGTAAAAGAAATAATTATGAAGTTTCCATAGTCAGCAAGGTTTTCTTATGTTATTAATCTAATTTGTTTGTATTTTGTTAGGCCTTCTAACTAAATACTGAGAAAATGTATCACTGATAAGTATTTATGATAACAACTTTGAGCTTTTCGCAATATTAAAAATAAAGAAATTTATCTTTATTCAGAGAAATCAATTATGAAGTTTGACTATGCCAATATAGTTAAATATTATATCATGTCGGGAATACAATTTAACAATGCGGTCAGCTAGAGTATTTGGGATTTTGGTTTCCCCGGCTAGCCCTCCACCAATCTTGTTATATTTTCTTGGAGCTCTACGCATCTTGTTCCTCTTCTCGCCAGAGTTCGAGTGGCTTGTTGAACGCACGAGTGCCCAGACTGAGGAATAGGAATATATAGAGGGGCCTTCGGGGGTCTTGGGGTGGCTGAAGTACCTCTCCATGCAGCCATTGAACGTGCATCGGCATTGGGTTTCTTCTCCGCTTACTTTTCTGCTTTTTCCTGCCCAGCCCAGTCGGTTTCATTTCGGTCCAGCCTCAAAGGCATTTGGGTAAGTAAACAAAGGCAATGGGGCAGGAACCATAGTAAAACTTGCTCAAATATCACCACCATTTATATTAAATTGGTGAATATGATTAACTCTTTAGCAAACTATAAAATATGTGTGTAACTCAATTATAAAATTATATATAAAATTGTTCAGTGAAAGAAGCAGTCATAGTATTGTATATTTGCGTTAAGACCTAATACTAACTAGTATGCTTTTTAAGATACATATGTGTTTTGAATACCTTGAATAGTTTATGCAAAGGCTTACTATTTTTTCCCCATTGATTAAAAAAATGTGTCTTGGCCAGGTTTTACTGTACAGCTGTCCACACATCCAAGGGCATTCGTTGGGGCCTTGTTGCAATGTTCCATAAATAGCTGCATCTCCGCTCTTGGCACGCTGAAAACTTTCAAAACAATTGACGGTATTTGAAGTAGCTGCCCAGGTTTACCGCCTCCCATTTCCCCACCCATGTCCCCCCTTTCTGTCACCTTTCAGCCCCCACTCCTTTTGAATGCATTTCGAAGGAATTTCTCGCATTCAAAGATCCATTTTCAATCCGTTCGATTTTCCCTGCGATTCGATTTTAAAATTCTTCAGTTTCCACACAGATAAATGTTTATGTTAGATGAACTCGAACTGGAAGCCACACAATTGCTCCATAAAATTTAGCCTCTAAATGGAGGAATATTTCAACGTACAGATAGTGCCGAAGTTTTAAGTAATATTTCAATTTAGGTTATTATCGTAATTTTTTTTATTGATTAATAAGATTTTAAAAATCTTCAAGCATATAAAAGCTTTAACATTTTAATTTTAATATTTGTGTTGCGTTCATATTTCATATATATATTTTAATATCTATTGTTTCATCCGAAGTTGTTAATGGAATGTCGGTGTAAGACTGCAACTTTGATCTTTGAAATGGATCTGTCCCGCTTTTGACATCCCACCACTTCTAGGTTCATTCCCGCCGAAATGCACCCTGCTTGATTTACGCATTCTATTTATAATACGTGTATAACCGAAAACATACAAATCTGTGCCATTGCAGCTCCACCCCCCGCCACTTAACCCCTTTTTGGAGAACCGGGCATTTGACAGCTTTATGCACTGATTTCCCTAATTGCCATGAAAATTCCACTCCCACTGTGTGCTATATACAGATGCGGGAGAAAAAATAGAGCTGAAAGGTTTTCCTCTTCAAAACACAAACGATTCAGTACTTTTAGTTTAACAACTATGTATATGTAAAGAAGCTTTTTAACTGAGTTTCAATAATATATTTAATAAAATATTTTTTTAAAGCACTCTATATATTTAACTTCTCTAGGGTTTGTATCTTGCCTGCAGCTGTATGACTGCATGTAAACGCCCCCATATTTAAACAATGCATGAAAAACATATAGGAGAACTTATAGTAGACATCGAGAAAGGGAACGACAACCACATTAGTGGAGGAGGAGACAGCAGGAACATATGTATTCATTTGCCATAACAATGAAGTATGCTTTTAATGAGTTTTTAAACGCTAAACTGCAGCATTTTTAATTGGAACTAACGAATGAAAGACTAAAAAATGGGAACTGCAACTTGGAAATGAATGCGAACGAAAAGGCGCAATGGAAATGGATGACTAAACTTAGACAATCGATGAGCGTGATTTTTCCCCGATGCATCAACTAATTGAACACCATCTGTGGAGTGTGGCTGTAAATACAGTGAACTCCCTGAAACGGATTTTAGTTGGATATCAAAAAACAAGTTTCACAATTTTTGGTGATTTAATGTGTTTACGTAGTAACATTTTTAAGATGAATCATTTTAATAATCAACGGACTATGATGAATCAGTCAAATACAAAAGAATTGGCATAACTTAAAACACAGATTTACTCAGCTTTATTCATAAAATCTCTGGAGTTTTCTAAAGGCTTACACATCTGATGAAAGTTTGTTAACTTGTTATTACTTGCGAGAAAACACTAAAATTAACTCACACAATAAAACCCCACATTAGGTGAGCTCAGTAAAATATTTATAAATTCCAATAGCCCTCGCAAAGTGTTGTTTATCTTATCACGTTTGATTTTAGGTCTATTGACTGTAAACATGGGCTTGCCGATGACTATAAACACAGAGGAGAATTGTTTTAAGCATAGGTACTAAATAAAGAATGACAAGTAAAAATGCAATGTATGTTTTAATATTATATGTAAATTCTTTGAATATTATATATTGTTTTTATTTACTTATCTATAAATTTATATATATATTAATCTCGGCAGGATAGTAAACAACTTACTATCATATCTGCTTGAGTTTTTCTTTTATAAAAGTGCCCAAAAACGGTTTTAATTTTTGCTGCGCTACACATTAGTCCAAGTCTAAGGGCGATTGGCCCATAATTATACCCGTTACTCGTAGAGTAAAAGGGTATATTGTATTCGTGCAAAAGTATGTAACAGGTAGAAGGAAGCGTTTCCGACCCTATAAAGTATATATATTCTTGTTCAGGATCACTAGCCGAGTCGATCTAGCCATGTCCGTCTGTCCGTCTGTCTGTCCGTCTGTCCGTCTATCCGTCTCTCCGTCTGTCCGTCTGTCTGTCCGTATGAACGCTGAGATCTCGGAAACTATAAAAGCTAGAAGATTGGCATTTTGCATGTAGATTTTAGGAGTTCCTACGCAGCGCAAGTTTATTTCAAAATGGTGCCACGCCCCCTCTGACGCCCACAAGCCACAAACTGTGGCCACAGTTTTGATGTTATTATGAAAATTTTAATTGATATGTATTTGTTTCGTCAATACCTATCGATTGGCCTAATAAAAGTTTGCCACGCCCACTCTAACGCCCAAAAACCCATTAAACGCTTAAGCCTGGCTAGCGCCTACATTTCCGCCTTTCATGGCGCCATCTAACGGATGACTTTGGAACAGCTGGCCAAGGTGCTCAACAGAGTCAACGTTAATTTTCGATAAGGATTTATATTAAAGGAAATTGCGATGGTTTTCATTTGTCAATACCGAACTATATCCCAAGAACTATGCAAATCAAATCAAGTTAGCCAAATTGGAGGTCTGAGTCAAACAATGGCGTATGTGTGTATGTATGTAAGCATATACATATGTATGTATTTACATTGTACACAGTTGCAATTGTTTAGCTGAGTAACGGGTATCTAATAGTCGAGGCACTCGACTATAGCGTTCTTTCTTGTTTTTTATGAAACTATGAGTGTAGTTGTGGAACTGGAACCCCTTGTAATAGTCCATAATAAAATGGGCCGCTTGTTTAAGGCGTCCCCCGATATCGGCGACACAAATGCTCATCGAGCACTAACGACATGTCAACCAAGAGAACCGTTAGCTGCGGTCACGTTGCCACCAAGTTAAGGCCAATGCCAAATGGCCAAGACCGAAAGGCCCCAAGGCCTAGACCGATCTGCAATTGGGATTGGGTGCGGCCAACTGCAAACTTCACAAAACCAAAAATAAGAAAAAACAAGAAAGGAAAGCTAACTTCGGGCGGAGCCGAAGTTGATATACCCTTGCAGAATATTATGTACATTATATTCTCCAAAATTATTCATATGATGCATTCTTAATACTCATAAAAATCCCAACTTCCTAACTTTACAAACACCAAAGTTATGGCATTTTCGATCAATCAGTTATATGGCGGCTATAGGATATAGTCGGCCGATCCTTATGACATTTGGTAGGTCGGATTGATTGGCCAAATATAAAACCCATAGAAAATCCCAGCTTCCTAACTCTACAAACACCAAAGTTATGGCATTTCCGATCAATCAGTTATATGGCAGCTATAGGATATAGTCGTCCGATCCTTATGAAATTTGGTAGGTCGGATTAATTGGTCAAATATATAACCCATAGAAAATCCCAACTTCCTAACTTAACAAACACCAAAGTTATGGCATTTCCGATCAATCAGTTATATAGCAGCTATAGGATATAGTCGGCCGATCCTTATGAAATTTGGTACGTCGGATTGATTGGCCAAATATAATACCCATAGAGAGTCCCAACTTCCTAACTTAACAAACACCAAAGTTATGGCATTTCCGATCAATCAGTTATATGGCAGCTATAGGATATAGTCGGCCGATCCCGGCCGTTCCGACTTATATACTGCGTGCAAAGGAAAGAAGGGTGTGTGCAAAGTTTCAATTCGATATCTTTAAAACTGAGAGACTAGTTCGCGTAGAAACAGACAGACGGACAGACAGACGGACAGACGGACAGACGGACAGACGGACAGACGGACATGGCTATATCAACTCAGGAGGTGATCCTGATCAAGAATATATATACTTTATAGGGTCGGAGATGTCTCCTTCACTGCGTTGCACACTTTTGACCAAAATTATAATACCCTCTGCAAGGGTATAAAAATAGAAAACATAAAAGGGGGCAAGAAAAAAAAAACAAAGTCTACGCCTACCAAAAACGGCAGTCGCAACTTCCAGTCCAAAAGCAAAAGCCAAGTAAAAAACTAAGGCGAAAGCGAAGCCAAAACAAAACAAAGCGGGCAAAAAAGGAAAGGAAGCCGCCGTCGACTTTCCAAGCCATCGGAAAATAGTTGGCCAGCCAATTTTCTTGTCGGCGGAAAAGCAGTGGAGTGCGCCACGTAATGGGGAAGCCAATCGAGATCCCAGATCCCAGATAAGATCGATCCAGCCGAGGGCAATTGGCCCGCGGAGAACCTACACTCGAATTAAAACAATCGACTTTTACACGGAGTTGATCAGTTTCCACCCAATTAATATGGTCAGCGTAATATCATTCTACCACTCACATATGTATTTATATATTTTTTATATATTATATTGCCTAAAAATGTATGCTTACTATTTGTTTATAGAGCAATAAATGATAAAAACAAATTTCTGGACAACCTCATATCTTATTACCTGGAAAGGTCGTTTCTTGGTATTACGCTTTCCTGGTTTATTTAATAATAAAACATTATAGATAAAGATAGGAGTTATTGCGAAAATTATGTAAGCTTATTGATTTAATTGAAAAAGGCACTTCAAGAAGATAAATTGTTCAATGTTGCTTACATGAGAAGAAAATTTATATATGTACATATGTATGTACATACATACATATGTATTTATGAAATGTTTTTCATTTGACTTTTATTTGGAATAGCGGCAAATAACTTTGAATAAGTTTCTCTACCATTGTCCAAAACATCAAAAATAATAACAATAATTAACACTAATCAAGCGAGCTTTTCAAAGTAGGAGATTGATAGGAATAAAATAATGAATAAGAGCTTTGAAATATATAGACTAGAAAATTGTATGACCTTAAAAAATTACCTACTAAATTATTGGAAGATGCAAATATTTTGAACCCTTTGTAAACTGCACTAACAACCCTTTTAACCCCCTTTTAAAACTCTTGTTTTGTTTTTTCGCACCCTTCAAAAGGATTTACTCACGTTTAGGGTAAATGGGTGGACGGCATTTAACCGTCTCGATGACGTTGTTGTTGTTGTTGATGTTGCTGCTGCCGTTGATGCTGCTGATGACACTGGCCACGCCCCCAGCGAGTGGGCCGCCCATCGCCGGCGGCTGGCTGAGGGGGAGTGGCGGGGGCGGCGGCTGGTGCTTCATGGACGCCGCCGGTGGCACATTCCCGCCGCCGAAGAGGCGACGCTGCGGTAGAAACGCCGTTTTGCCGCCTGTGTTGCAAGTTTCTGGTCGCAAGTTGCTGCTGTTGCAGGTTGCCAGTAGACAGTTGCTACTGTTGCCACATTAATATTTCACTATTTATTTGCACTGCGCCTGGGGGGTTAAATGAAATTGGCATTTAGCAAAGGTTGCAACCTTGCAAGTTGCTTTTTTATATTCATTAAAAGTTTTCAAGTTTTTAAGATTCAAATAAAAATTTTTTAAAGCAGTTTCCTTGTTGCTATATTGATTGTTAAGCTTTTATTTTTAACACCGCCTAAGGGTTATCGTATGTATGCAGTTTCTTTTTTTAAAAAGTAAACCAATTTAAAACAATAATGTTTACTTTTAGTTTTTAATTGTAGGTATCTTTATTTTATGGACTGGGGTTTTTAATCCCTAGTTCAAATATTTTTTTGCCTAAGGGTTAAGCTTAACAGTAACTAACGCACACATGCTTATCTAGTGCTTATCTCACGCGGGAAGGTGCGAGAGGGGGAAGGGAGTGCGAAAGAGAGGGGCAAACTGCAATATTGACTTTTTAGGGTTTCTGCATATATAGCATACATTCGCAATTGAAAACTGCATAGTCAATGGGTGGAAAACTAACGGTGTAGCTGCTTCACCTTGACCTACACAACTACAAATACAAGTGAGATTCGCAACACACGAATACACACAAGCAAAGATACCACTTTCAGACACTTAAAACAATAATAAAAAAAGCTCACGCACTTTGTTATTAACTATTTCCGTTGCTTTGATTTTTTTTCAAGCGGAAACTTACGAAAATTCCAGAAAAAAAATATTTTAATTGAAAAATAACTTCAAATGATAATGTGAATATTTTTAACGAGAACCGAAATATTTATTTCGCGGCGATATATATATATTCTTAAATATCTTTCAATCGTAAACAACGGAGCGCGCGTGTTTATTTCCCTTTGCGAACTGAAAAACAAGTGTGACCGAGGAATCGAAATAGCAAACCAAATTTGAATGCGACGAAAAAATGAGTATAACAAAAGGGTTTTTTAGCACATTTGTATTTAACCTAGATTTGAGTATTTATCGATAGCCGATATATGTTCACAATAAACTTTTTATGTTTAAATACGGCTGACTAAACTAATATATTTGATAAATCGGGTAATCATTTTATTAAAATGTATACTTTTAGAATAATTATTAAATTATTATGTCTTGGCATTACAAAATTATTTAACTCGTTTGTTAATTTAAGTTTTCTTAATCGTGTATTCTTATTTTTAATATGTTTGTACCGCAGAGAAGGAGAAATTTTCGAGTTAATAAAAAACTCCCAATCAGATTTTGAAATGTGTATGAAGATTAAGTTCAAAAACGCTTATCATTTTTATTCTATAGCTGCTATTGCAACGATCTGATTAAATTAGTTAAATTTCCTTTTTTTCGCAGATTTGGTCTATTACAATGTTCTTTTTGCAGGAACTAAAGTAAAGTCTATTTGTACATATAAAGATTACCGTCTTTAACATACCAAATTTGTATAACTTTTGTATAAGTTATAACCAAGTTCATGAGCGCCAAATATTAAATCGTTTTTGAAATAAAATGATTTTATCGTTTTATAGATATTTTATCGGAAAAAATGTATAAAAAAGCATGACTACCAAAAAACGATTAGATATTTACTCGATTCAAAAAGCTGATTGCTGCGAAACTTCAGCGGGCACTCAAATGTGGCTGGCTGACAAAAGAAGGCTGCTTTGAAAACAGTCAGTTAAAAATATATTTTAGGGAAAATGTTTTTAAAAAACATAAATTAAGGGTACAAATCTTCAGAAAATCATTTTTAAAAGTAAAAAATGATTGTACTATCGGTTTTCAAGGGATACCTTTGGCACACAACCGGTAAGGCTGACTGGAAGTCTTGCCAATGGCAGCTTGATTTTTCTGGCCTCCATCGAGCACGCACAACGCGCCTCAAACTTAGTCGAACTCCAACGGCGCTGGCAAACGGACGCGTTTTGAAAACTTGCTCTCTCTTCGATTTCATTCTGGTTTCTTGGTGTTTGGCTTTTGGCCTGGGAAAGTGTAAGCCTGAAACGAATCCATTGAACGCGTATCTTCTTCCTTTGATTTGTCAACCCCGCGCGAGTTATTTGCTTTTTGCCCCCTTCCAAAAGTTTTTTTTAGTGCTAATTCGGACGACCGCGTAGGCGTAAAGAGAAACTACCCAAAAAAAAAAAGAATTTGTTTTGCTTTCTGTTTGTTTTGCTTTTTTTTGTGTGTGCAAAATTAAAGCCCGGCAACGGCAGCCGCCTGGAACAATGAAAGTTGATTGAATATTTTATGCAAATTTCCCATTGCAGAAGAAGGTGCGAAGAACAACGACAGCTGCAAGAATAATAGAAATTGCTGGCGAGCAGAAAACAGGAAATCGGCAGAAATCAGGTGAATACTAACTACTGGGCTGTTGTTCGTGGGAAAGTTTAAGATCAAGGCCAGGCCCCTATGGCCATGGGTGGTGGGGCGGTGGGGTGGTGCAGGCGCGGCCTTGCTGCCACTGCCAAGGTGAAGGTCATTGCAGGCGAATGTCGGCGGGCCTGCACTCGCTTTGTTGTTATATAAACACCCCACACCCCCAGCAGTTGGCTCACTAACCCAGTGCGCATGTCGCCTCCTTCGAAGGCCATCGCATGACCTCCAGCACCCCCCCATCCCCCTCCTTTCCACCAGCCACGCCCTCTGTCCTCCGCCTCCTTTTTAGACAGCAGGGGTCATGCTGATAGTTGGCAAAGGAAAAAACCAGGAGAACTTTGGCGAGGACTTTCAGGGCTGTTGAAATGGAGAAGAGATCAGAAAGTGAATTTATTCCCTAATCATCATTGAAAACAATTTTATCAATGAAATAATACCTGGGTAACCACGACCAATAAGTCAATTAGTCTAAAAATGTATGGTAAACAGGACGTCTTTAATATAGCTTGTGCTTATTATAATACACATAATTTAAAGAATTTCAAAGAAGTTAAAAGAGGGTTAGCGATAAACGTTTTTCCGGCACTTGATTATTATTCTTTTCTTTTTTATATATTATTGTGTTAAAGGACAGATAAATTTAAAGATGGTACCCTGAGTTATTTGTTGTTTTCATAAAAGATTTTTGATTTTCTCAAACAGATTGTAGAGTTTTGAATCTCAAACCAGATGTAGCTTATTTCTTTTATTAAGTTTCACATAGTTTTTCACTTATTTTACTGTAACATTTTAACTAGTATTGAAAACACAGTATTTACATTCAAACGTTATAAGTTGAAACTAAAACATATTTGGTGTTCGCAGGAATAAGTAAATTGACATTCAAACCTGTTCTATGTTTTCTCTTTCAATGCCTGTATTTTGTATCAACAATGAAAAGTTGGCCACTAATAACGTGACCATGGGTGTGCCCCCCCTTTTGGGCAAGCTTAGCATTGAACTTGACAGTGGCAGAGCGCCTTTAACCACTGGCTGTCCACTTTCAGCTAACAAGGTTAGTGGGTTAACTGGCCTGCGCCCGTGCTCCGCACACCACTCTTCAATCTCCAGTCTTCAATCTTCAGACTTCAGTCTTCAGTCTTTAGTCTTCGGTCTCCAAAGAGACTACAGTCTTTCTCCGGGCCCGGATTCGGGCAAACCCGTTACCATTAACCCGCCGATCGGCTTTGGCATTGCTCTGACCATTAAAAGCCACTTACACTCGCTCGCCGCTGACTTTCCATGCTAATCAAAATTGAAGCCCAAAATAAGAAGAAATTTGTTTGCCGCGACATGTCTCGACTTTTGAATTTGAGTTGGAATGGCGGTGGCGGTGGCGAAGTTGGTAATGTGGATGGCTTCTTGGAACTGGCACAGCCGTGGACCGGGTGAAACTGAGCCACTCCAGTGGGGCGGAGATGATAAACGCTGCGATTTCTTATCAGGTTTAAGTCACACTGACAAAAAGTAATCCGTTTTCTTATTGTACAATGTGGTTTTCTTATAGCCATTGGGAATAAAAGTACTTACAACTTGATTTCCGCTTTTTGTTATTTAAAATCATGATTTGGTAACTGTTGAATTTTAATTTATATATTTTTGATGAGATATCCTGTATTCGAAAAATGTTTGATACATATATTTATTTATGTATCCATCAAGTAATATTTTCCTTTATTTGTATAAAGTAATGCAAAGTAAAAATTGAGATAAACTAATTACTAAGATTATTTAATAACAATTATTTTTATTATGTTTATCTTACTATGCAAGAGTTGCATTTAACTGTGAAGCACTTGAATAAATGATTAGTTGGTAAATGGTTGACTTATGGGATTGTCTATTTGTAAACGAGTTATTGTTTAAATGAAACAGCTGTAAATTACTATAAACGACTCAGGTGAAAATAGGTGTCTCTGAAAAAATGATCAAAATTAGAGAAAGATGAAAAGATGATTTAATGAGACTTTATTTGGTTTCTTAAAAAGTAAAGTTAATTATATTCATTGTACAAACTTACTATCAGCTACTTTTCGCTTTAGCCAGCAATAACTTTTGATGGGTTTCGTTCTCCAATATATTGCAATATATTGTTTAAAGATATTCCAAAATTCAGAGTCCAACCTCATGAATCACTGGCAAGATCTCAGATCACGGAGTTCTTCAACTGCCTACCAAAGACTTTGAAAGGTTCGATGACTTGCGCCGTGAATTGCATTTCGTGCGGCACTTAAAATGACAAACTGACAAACTGACGAACTGAGAGACTGAGGGATTGACAGCCGGGTGGACAAACTGAAGAAACGTGCCAGTTTTCGAGTGGCAGGGGCTAGTAAAATCCACCGAGGCACGCCACGATCCCCAGCATCGCGATAATTGCGCCCAAAAGAGAGCGCACAGACACAAAAACACTGGAAAATTGAAACTCTCGAAACTGAAAAACTGAAAAACAAATAAAAAGTGCGAGACCAGTTAAATGAAAAGCAAAACAAAGTCATTAAACGGGGCGAGTTGAAAAAATAAAACTGAAAACCGAAAAAAAAGCGGAAAATTACCGAGCAATAATAGAAAGAGTTAGGCGAGCTGTTTGGAGTTGCTTTTCATTTTCACTTTCACTGGCGCGCGGGGGAAAAGCGGGGAAAAGTTGCGCTCTAATAAATCGCTAAGCAGTCAGAAAGAGACGGCACCAAGCGGGTTCTAAAAAGCGGTCACAATCCGCTGGCTCGCAAATGAGTCATGTAGAGATGCCCCAAAAAAGGGAGGAAGGGCTACTTCCTCACAGGAAACAAAAGCAGAATAATATAATTATGTCAACTATAACCCATAAGATTTTAATTTTTTTTAGCCTTATCCAAAATAGTGCATATATATGATCAACTTTTAAGAATCAGTGAGCAATTTTAAAGTTTTACTTACATATGTTCTACTTATATATGTGAGGTTATCAAATTAACACATTAAAAAAATACTAATATAATGAGACTTTTGTCATCTTTGTGAGTATATATAATTAAAAAGCGTTGATAAACTTATTTTTCTGCTCTGCATTTTTTTATTATTTATGTGCTTGGTGTAATATAGTGCATTAACAATATAGATAGGATATAAACAAGAACAAGTCATTTTGTGCGAAAATCATCACAAAATGGTATTTCTTAAGTTCTTGAAATAATATGAATAAAGTGGTTAATTTGTAACAAATCAAATCCGAATTGGCAATCAATTTTGCGATATTTTGCCAATTCAGGAGTGTGATTTCTTCGGGTTTTACAAGCTGGCCTTCTCAACGATCCAGGACCGCAACTTGGAGACCCTGGCGTAGCCATCCGGAGCATCTCGTCCGCAGCCGCCGATCACGAAACTGGCCAGGCCCACCAGCTTGCCCTGGTAGGTGGCCGGTCCGCCGGAATCCCCGTAGCAGGCCCCCTTGTCCTTGGGGTGGAGCAGGCACATCGTGGACTCCGGCAGCTGCCTGAAGTACTGCCGCTGGCAGGTTTCCCGGGACAGGGCCTTCACCTGCACGAACAGCAGGGAGTTGGAGAGCGGTCCCTTCTGCGAGATGGCCCCCCATCCGGAAATGTCCACGGTGGCATCGCTGGGCGGATCGTCGGTGGCCAGTTGGATGGCGGCGATGTTGCCGCCGAGGGGCAGGGCACTCTGCAGACGGAGCACGGCCACATCGTTGCCGCTGTTCCCGAAATTGGGATGCACGGTGACGGTGGCCACCGGAATCCTTACTCCGCCGCTCGAGAGGAGCAGGCTGCCCGCCTGGATCGCCAGCTGGTCAGCTGGAGTTCTGAAGCGACATGGAGAGCGAGTTAGTTAAGGGAAGGGGCTACTTTGGAATCCCATACTTACACATCACTTCCTTGCTTCACGCAATGGGCAGCGGTGACGACGTAGTTGCTCGACAATACGGAGCCACCGCAAATGTGACTTCCACGTCGACGGAGGGAAATCTGGTGGGGGAATTGACCCTCCCTGGCCTTGGTTCCGCCCACAATCCGTGGTTCCACATCAGAGTCGTTCTTACTTGAGTGCCCCAAAGCTCCGGACACAAAAAGCAGCAGCGGAAAAGTCCAGAAAGGTATCATGGCTGGGTGGGTTAACTTCCTAATAAGTTGTACTTGCTGAACGGTTCCCCTGGCTTTATATATGACCCAACAACTAAGAGGCTCATCATCATTAGTTCCTTCAAATGTCAAAGTCAATCGCGCTATCGAGCTTTAACCTAATTTGGTTGGTTTTTGTTCTCTTACTTTTTTCGCAAATGAAGCCCTCCTAATTACAAAAAGATTCGGATGTGGGACAATCAAACAAAAAAAAATGTCTTAAAGGGTTGTACAAACTTTGATGTGAAGGGCTTGAAATTGGACAAATTTATTGATAACATTCCGGGAACTGCAAATACATACGAAATTTAACGAAAAGTCATGAAGATAATTCCGGTTTTGTTGTACCCCATTGCAGATAATATTAACATTTTGGTCGGTATCTTATAACGTAGAAATAGACCCATAACCGACCATTTTTTATTTTTAATGTATCGATTAATAATGTTTGCGATCTGTTCTTCCAAGTAAAATAATATCCAATTGGAATATATTTTTCAAAATATTCTGGCAAACAGAGAAACATGGTTAAAATGTGGGATGTCATACTACGTTTAACTCCTAAAAAGATTCTCTACCGAGTGGTACTCAAACTCATTATTTAATTACATTTTTGGAAATTAGTTGATGTAGCCCTATTTCAAAACTGCAAAGTTTGGCTGGAACTTACTATCAACCAGCAAATATTAATGATTTGCTGCTGGTTGCCAACTGTACAAAACAATCTAATTTTATTTTGGTCACAAAAAATCATTTAGAACAAGAAAGGAAGTTTATATACCCTTGTAGTTATTACAAATCGACTACATTTCGATTTCTATGCCTATATTACTAAAATCAATGAAGCTATGTCGATTGTGCGCTGCATTTTGCCATCGTTTCTATGGCAGATATATGATATTACTGATTTTAATTTAATTAAAACCGTAATTCCATAATTCCATTCCATAGTCGCCCGATCCTCCTCGTTCCGACTTATATGGCTAGATTGACTCTCCTGGTAGTGCTGATTAAGAATATATATACTTTATAGGGTCGGAAATGACTCCTTTACTGCGTTGCAAACTTTTGCAAGGGTATAAAAATCAGGACTTCCGCAAATATTTTTCCCAGTACTTTTTGTTACAAGATTTAATTGTACAGTTTTTAATGCTCATTTTAATAGATAAAAACAAAATGTATATAGTATTTACCAGACTAACCAATAGTGGTTAGTGTTGGTTTACATGATTCCTACAAGCCCGCCTGCTCGGTGATCCATGTCCTCAGCTGGGAGATCCTTTCGTAGCCATCTGGAGCCGCTCGTCCGCAGCCTCCGCCGATCAGTAGACTGGCCAGGCCCACCACCTTGCCCCCGTAGGTGGCCGGTCCGCCGGAGTCCCCGAAACAGGCGCCCCTGTCCCTGGGATGGAGCAGGCAGATCATGGTCTCCGGCAACTGGGGGTAGTACCACCGACGACAGGTCTGCCGGGCCAGCATGGTCACCTGGACGAAGAGCAGGCTGTTGGAGAAGGGTCCGTTTTGGGAGATCTGTCCCCATCCGGAAATGTCCACGGTGGCTCCGTGGGGCGGATCCTCGCTGGCCAGTTGGATGGCGGCTATGTTGGGGTCAAAGGTCAGGGGACTCTGCAGGCGGAGCACGGCCAGATCGTGACCTCGTCGATTGTAGTTGGGATGCACGGTGACGGTGGCCACTGGAATCGATACTCCGCCGCTGGAGAGGAGTAGACTGCCCGCCTGGACCGTCCAGAGGTCAGCCGGAACTCTGGGGAGGATCTGTCTCAAAATATGCAAATATTCAAAGATAGTTCTCAAATCTTACACACTATCTCCATGCTTTACGCAATGGGCTGCGGTGATGACGTGGGTGCTCGAGATTATGACGCCACCGCAGAAATGTTCTCCACGGAGACGCAGGGAAATCTGGTGGGGAAATTGACCCTCCTTGGCCTTGGTTCCGCCCACAATCCGGGGTTCTATCTCCGATTCATTCCCATTCTCAGCATGAGCCTGACCCAGGATCCCCGTAACACAAAGCAGCAGCCAAAAAGTCCAGAAATGTGACATGACTGGACGCATTAACTTCCTAAAAAGTTATACCTGCTGAAAGGTTTCTCTAACTATATATATGACCCAAAATCAAGGAGCTCATCATCATTAGCTCCTGAAAATGTCAAAGTCAATGCCGCTATCCAGCTTTAATCAAAATATGTTTTTTTTCCTGTTCCCAATATTTTTTTTCGCAAATGAAGCCCTTCTAATTACAAGGGGTTTTATTTTGGGGAAGAAAAAAACAAAACAAGGCATTCAAATGGGATTGTGTAACCTTCCATAGAAATGGTGAGATTCCGGAAAATAAAAATGTATAGAATTGCTTTAATGTCTTACACCCTTTTTTTTTTAATTCCCAAAAGTCTGATATTTTTGTTAGCTTGCCAAAATTGATCCAAGAGTCCATTGCTTTATCGATATCTCGAGTTATGGGCCATAAAACCCGTCCCATTGAGGTCATAAATAACTGAGCATTCCACACGTACGTCGGCGGTGTTTAGTTGGCGATTATTACGTTAACCAGTGTCCAGTGGCAATCGCCGATCCTTATCCTTATCGAAATCGGGCCATTGAGTCACCGCCTTAAAAAACACCGCCTTCAGTTTGGTTTTTTTTTGTTTGGAAATTTGAAAATTATGAAATAATTATTATTTTAGGTGGGGCGGTGGTACTGGTAAGGAATATGTCTAGGCGATCTGCTCCTGAATCCAGTCGTAGAAGTTGGAGAGGCGCACAAAGACATCCGGGTAGCGGGATCCACAGGCGCCCACCACGAAGTTGGTCAGCCCGATCAGCTTGTCCCCGTAGACGGCGCCACTGCCTCCATCGCCGTGGCAGGTGCCCTCCTTGAGTTCGTGGCCCAGGCAGAAGCTGTCCGCTCCGTGGTCGCTGTAGGCATCCAGGCAGGTCGCCTCCTGGGCCACCGCCATCGACATTTCCCGGATCTTGTAGGACGCAGAGCCGTCGGTGGTGCGACCCCAGCCGGCCACACTGACCTCCGATCCCTCGGCGGGCAGCTCCTCCCCGCTGGTGGCCACCTCGATGGCCTGGATCCGCTCGGTGAAGGTCAGGGGGGAGCTCAGGGTGAGCACGGCCACGTTGTTCTTCAGCTGGTAGTAGTCCGGATGGACGGCCACCGACTCCACGGTGACAATGCGTCCTCCGGCGTACTGGTTGGTACTGCCCACGCGACACGACAGCCGACTGGCATCGATTCTGTTCAGAGGGTTGAGGTTTCAATCAATAAAGGGCTAAACATTAAAACCATTCGCCTAATAATGATTTATGTATGGAAACCGCATTGATTTTAATTTAAATTAAATCAATCGATTGATTTCCAATTGATTTTAATTTAAACTCATAATTACCTTTATATCAACTTCTAGCAGAAAGCATAATTTTCTTATTGGAATGCAATCGATCATATAATATCACTCATTCGCCTAGATGTACAGCCCAAATTAAGCTATACCATTCATCAAATTGTATTTCAAATTAAATAATGGAAAGGAAAATTGAGCAATAATTATACATTTAATTAGTGTAAAAAAATTGCTAAGGATAAAAAGAGTTTGAAGACTAAAAGATAATCGACAGACTTTTTATTTAAAAGAAAGTAATTACTGATACTTTGATAATTCTCAAATGGTAGTTACAATATAGTAATATAACAAAAAATAGATAATGGTACCTTTCAACAAAAAAAAAGTATTTACTGATAATTTTATAAGCGCGTGTTAAAAGTTAGTTACAAGAACCCTACACATTTGAAGATATTACGCATACGCCCAGTCGTACACAGTTTTTGTTATGAACTATGAATCTTAAATTGCTAATTAAAGAAGCTCTGTTCATACTCACAACTTCGAATCTCGGTGCACGCAATGGGCAGTGGTCAGGATCTTGGTCTCGGACACAATGCATCCGCCGCACACGTGGCCATTGTCCACGCGCAGGGAGGCGGCGTAGGGCGTGGCATTGGGGTCCGCCTCCTCGCCGCCCATGATCCGTCCATGGGCGTGGCAGACGCCCACCAGGGTCAGTCCGATCAAGCCCAAAATCAGGGTTCTCTGCTGCATCATTTTGTTTAGTTTAGTTTTCGCAGTTTACTTGTCGTGGTTCAGCTGTCCACGGCGGTCGGAATGGAAATGCGCAATGCCAGCGGTGACAATTTAAGTGGACGGCTCCGTCGAACTACCCAAACCTCCTCTACCCCCCCATCCCCACCCCCTCCCTACCAATCCTTATCTTCGGCTTGGACATCACAGTAAATCTAATCTTATCGCCGCCATTGCCAGCTTTATATCGCTATAGACCAATGTTACTTGTTATTCCACCGATCAATTGGCACATAAATAGAAAATTGCACAAGCAGATAGAGGGAAGTCCAACCGATCCAGCCACTATGACAAGACAATACCATCTAGACTAGATAAAGGATGAGTAAGCCATGTTCCGTGAGTCAGAAGGGCTAATTGAAACAGAATGGGAGATGATCAAAATTCAGGGGTGTTCCTGGGGAATTTAATGATTCTCGGTTTCTTGACACAATGGGTGTATACACCATTTACCTAGTAAATACAATTTGGAGATGTATCTGCATACAAAATATTAGGATCCAAATAAGTCATGGATAATTTTAGACCTTATTGATGGAAGACCCACTATAAAAGTAAGACAACATTTGTATACCTCTTGAAATATAATTTTCAAGGAAACAGTATATCACATAAAATAAATTAGCTATAATACTTGGTTTTTTTTTTAACACCGACTAAAGCTATGAAGGTGAATTGAGATCAAAAAAATACTAATCAAAATTGCCATGTTAGGTAGGAATTACCCTAGATCTATATCAATAGTTTGGCGATATCAAATCTGGATTATAAAGATTTCGCTTAGTCATTGCCGATCGATTAGCAATCGCTTTTGGCTAATTCCCCACAAAAGTTCGACCTTGTTTCCTAGGGCGATTATGGTGTTTTCCCAAGATCCCTATCTAAGTTGGCGATTATATTGCTCAGTTGAAATATATGGCTTTATAAAAAATAATTGGAAATAGTCCAATGTCATCTTAACCATTTACTTGTAAACTGCGTTAGATAATCCCTGAATACACCCCATAAACTCGAACTTGGCACATTGCGAACCTTTGATCGGCGCCAATTCGAGGTTGCTCTATCGGTTTCAGCTTTATGGCCCGCACTAAATGTCTTATGGCTTATAGTTTGCTCCATGAGCGTGAAGAAAACAATTTCCTTTTTTCTTTTTCGGGGGGGAACACACTTTATGCACAGTAAAAAAATGTATAAAAAAATAAAGGGGTAATCCTCGGGGCTCGAGGCTGCAGACTACTCCTGGGTGTTGGCCTCGATCCAGGCCAGGTAGTAGGAGACGCGGGTGGCCACGTCGGGGTACTTGCTGCCGCAGGGCCCGAAGTTGAAGCTGGTCACGGCGCGGAGCACCTGCTGGTCATCGACCACCGGTGCACCGGCATCCCCGCGGCAGATGCCCTCCTTCTCGGCCCTGGACAGGCACACGGTGCTGGCGTATCCGTATCCGGCCTCCCACTCGCACAGCGCCCGACTCAGCGTGTTGTAGTTGGCCTTCTGCAGCTTGTAGGATGCGCTTCCGTCGGACAACTCGCCCCAGCCGGCCACATAGACGGGCGTGCCGTTGGGCAGGTCCCCGTCCTGGTCCTCCGTCTCCTCCACGGCGGCGGTGGGCAGGGTGACGGCGGCAATGCGATCACTGAAGACCAGGGGCTGATCCAGCTCCAGGAGGGCCAGGTCGTGCAGGAAGTTGCCGTACGAGGGCTGGATGAGGACGCTCTTCACATTCACGATGCTCCCGCCGGCGTACTGGTTGATGGAGCCCACGCGAACGCCCAAGGTGCTGGGATCCACTCTGCAAATTAGAAACAAATGGGTTTAGTACTCCCAAAACAAAGGTAAACTTAAAGGTGTTTATCTAAATATCCCCCTGAGCATAATATATATACATACAATTCTACCAAAAATAAGTAAAAGTGTTGGGAACTTATATGTATATCTCCTTTAAGATATGTATATACATATATTCTACCAAAAGTGGGCTTAAACATTTAATTTTTAGTAATAGAAGAGCCATATAACTCTTGATCATTATTAAATAATTTAATAAAATATAAAAAAAGTAATTTAGTTAAAAATTTAAATATAACAGTACAATGTACGTTTTTTTTTTGTAATGTAAGATCACGTTGAATGATTTTCGAGTACTTAACGTACGAATTTCGAATTATAAAAGAAACTTAGATTAAGATTAAAGAATATGAAAGTATTTTAAGATCACATTGTTAACAAGTATTAGTTCTTTTTTGTTATAATCATTGATATTTTTCAAAGTGAAATTTAGCAAATTTTAATCTTAATCTCAGATAAGATATTTTTAAAGGGTCTTGTCATGACTTACGGAGTGGTGCCCACGTTGGACACCAAGTGGGCGGCGGTCAGGATGAAGTTCTGGGAGATGATGGCACCGGAGCCGACGTGGGCCTTGTTGTGGCGCACGGAGACGGACCAGGGGTGCTCGCCCTGGACGGCATCCTCGCCGCCCAGAATGCGACCTTGGGGCGATGCCTCCGCGGGGAGGAGCAGGCCGAGGATTAGCAGGCCCAGGCCCAAAAACAGAGTGGTGCGTGGATCAGCCATGGCGATGGATTGACAACTGAATGGGCCGTTGGCCAACCGATCGATGGTCACCACTCGGCGATCTAATCGTGTGTGTTTAGTGGCTGGTGTGTATTGATAAGGGGCGATTTATGGGTGGCACGACGGGGCGATAAGGTTGCTCAACCCATGGTCGTAAACGGGGAATGGGGGCTCTATAAAGGCCCGCCGGCCGGCAGGAGCCCCTTTCAGTTGAGCTCCCAGAAAGCATGAGTCCGGTTCAGTCAGTCCTCCTTCCGCTCCTGGTCATCGTGACCTTGGGCGCGGTCCAGTCCAGTCGGGTGCCGGCGGAGGTGGGCTCCCAGCCCCACACCATTTCCCTGCGGCGGAATGGCGAACATGTCTGCGGCGGATGCCTCATCGGCAACAAGTGGGCCATCACAGCGGCCCATTGCGTCAGTTTGGCAGGTGGCCAGCAAAGGTAGATGGGTTACACACAGAGAAATCGCATATACCAGCCGCACTTTAAATTGCTATCAACAAGAAACTGGGTTTAAATAGTTTCTTATCAAGTTCTCGTATTCAGAAGTATTTTTGTTCGTCAAATTGGACTTTTAAATTACAGTGCATACTTCTATAAAAATTACCAAAAAACTTTGAATCATATTTTATAATCATATTAAAAAAAATTAACAACTAAATAATAGGGTAATGAAATACAGTGAATACTCAAAAAACTTTGAAAACTAAAAAAAGATTTTGCTAAAGAAAATGTTATAAGAATTCAATTTTGAATAATAGTGTTATTAAATACAGTAAATACCAAATAATATACAAATCAATTCAATATTTAGAAAGTATATTTACGATTTAGCCGATTAATTTAAAAATAATTAAATGGAAATAATAGGGCAATAAACAACTTAATTTAGGTAATATGACTAGGTCTTTTTTTATCATGAGCAATAATTTTCAATTCAGTTTAGAAGGGATTTTATGGCTTTTTCTCTGTGTGGGATTATCTTGTGAGACAATCCAGACTACATTTGATATTCCCCCGATTAGCTACCCACCCAAGTCCTACAATATCCGAGCTGGCAGCATTCAGCGCCTGGCTGGTGGCCAACTGGTGCCCCTCACCCAGATCATAATCCACCAGAACTACTCCAGTTCGGGTGCGGCTGGAGCCAATGACTTGGCCCTGCTGGAGCTGCAGACCCCGGTGACCCTGAATGCCAACACGAAGCCCATTGACCTGGCCACCAGTCGCCCGGCGGCGGGATCCCAGATCACCTTCTCGGGATGGGGATCCAGCAAGCCGGAGGGATCGCTCAGTCATGGCCTGCAGGTGGCCAGCCGACTCAGTCTGAGTGCGTCCGACTGCCAGAAGGAGCTGTTCCTGGAGCAGGAGGATCTGCTCTGCCTGTCCCCGGCTGCCGAGGACTTCGCCGGACTCTGTTCCGGCGATGCTGGTGCTCCGGCGGTCTACCAGGACCAGCTGGTGGGCATCGCCGCCTTCTTTGTCAGCGGCTGTGGCTCCGGACAGCCCGATGGCTACGTGGATGTGACCCAGCATGTGGACTGGATCACCGAAAATTCTACTTAAATAAAACCGAGCTATCGAAAGGGGTTACAAAGATGTTTCCATGACAGTGGGTTGGCAGATTGTATTTCAACAATTACATAAATTCATAATCCTCTAAAGTGGAAAGTACCTTATTTGACCATAGTTTTAAAGAATATATTTTATTGCCAACTAACCCAAAATCCTTTAAAAGGATATATTTCATCATCATTTCGATTTAATAGGTACTATAATATCTGTGAAATATTTATTGCTTATTTATTGTTTATTTAACACCATTAGTCACAGTTAAAGGCCTCTTCAGAAAAATGCAATTGAAAATGATTTTTATGAACATTTGTAAAGTACAGGTTTCCGGTTTTGATTTACACTCAACAATCGTTGCTATTACAACACTTTACTTGGAGTACTTGTAAGATAATAAGGATCGATTCTTTCTGATACAAGCTCGGAAGAATTAATTCACGGTAGCCAATTTCGGAAGTTTATCAGTATTTTATTTTGTTGGGATATATATTATATTTACGACTAATTTACCAAACTATAATTTATAGAATTAGTATTTTGCGCTTAATCGTATACCTAATTCGATTTTGTGGTCGCCAATCTAACTCCTATAAGTATGCCAGAAAATTCTTAAACATAGTTTACATTTTTATATTTTTAGTTATATTGCAATGCGATCAATATAATAACTTATATTTGCTAGGGTTTGTTTCCCTGTTATTAATATTTTGGACAAAATCTATTGGTCTTATATAAATAACATAACTATGTATTAAACTTCAATATTTATTGACGGCAATTTATAATAATATTGCTTTTTTGCAAGCGCTGATAAATAGCATTCTTATTGGCTTAGAATATCAAATACCTTAGTGTTATTGGCTTTGAAATTGGAAGTTAGAAAATCTATAGAACTGATTTAAGATAACAGAATTATATATTTTAAACAGCAATTTTATAATTATCACATCAAATCTTAATAAAATTTAAGACCATGGCCTACAATATTTCTTAGGTGAGACTTTTATTTTTTAAGAACTTTAATAAGTTTGGGGAAATAAGTTTTTAAACTGGAAAACACCCCTAAAGAAATAACCATAGCTTTAGTCATTCTTTTGTTATCAAAACGGCTTTATTTCAACTACTGTATAATAGCATTTTATCGGCTTAAAATATCAAATTCCCCAGCGTTATTGGCTTAGAAATTGCAAGTGAGAGAATTTATTGCGAACTAGGGTGTAAATTGATTTCTATACTTTCGGAATATCATTCTTTTTTATCATTATCAAGTCAGACATCATAAATATTTATTTAAGCCAGACACCTAATCCTTATTTGGGACTTTTATATTTAAAGGATTTTAGGCTGTTTAGGAACATGTGTTCTTGTGAACTAATAAGCCCCCCTTCCCGAAGAAATGACCATAGCACTAGCTACTTTCTCATGCTTTTGTTATCGGAACTGCTTTATTGCAACTGCTGCTGGATCCACTCGTAGTTGGCCGCGATGCTGACGAACCGCTCCGGGAGCAAGCCGCCGCACTCGCCGAGGATCTGGGCGCCCAGGCCCACCAGTTGACCTTGGTAGACGGCGGGTCCGCCGATGTCCCCGCTGCAGATGCCCTGCCGGCGTCCGTGGCCCAGGCACAGCACCTGGTCGTTCTCCACCGCCACCTCCTCCGTTTTGGCCAGGGCGCACTGCCGCGGGGCCATCACCTCGGCGCCGCCGATCTGCAGGGTGCGGTGCATGTTCGCCTCGGACTCGGTGGTGCGACCCCATCCGGAGACCTCCACCTGGGCGCCCAGGGGCGGGGTGTCCTTGGAGAGGGCGATGGCGGCCACGGTCTCGCTGAATGGTACATCCTCCTGCAGGCGGAGCAGTGCGATCCCCGTCTTCAGCGTGTTGTAGTTCGGGTTGATCGTGATCTCCTCCACGCGAATCTGCTTTCCGCCGGAGTACAGGTCCACGGATCCCACGGTTACGGCGAACAGAACAGCTGGCCATCTGAAATCGGAATCAGAAACCATTTAATCTTGGGGAAATTCATGTAGTTCAATAATAAATTGTTGTTTAAAGTACGCTATGAAAACCACGTTTAATGTTTTTCTATCTTAAATGTTTAATGTTTCTGCATTGCTTTAAAATCTTTAAGCTCCAGAAATACTATATCCACAGAAACTTTTGAACAAATGGTTTTAACATTGCTAGAAATATTTGTATAAGCTTCACAAAAATAATAATAATAATAATGGGTTGAAATTCATATATTTTTGGCTTGAAGTTTAGAAAAAAGGATTAAATTTCACTTTTTATTTTTGACAATTATTTGAGTAATTATTAAATTAAATTAATTATGATCACTATATATATTTATTGAACTCTTTTGAACTGGAATTGGTTTCCAATTTTGTAAACAAAGAAATCCGGAGATGCAAAATGTTCATACTAGAATGTGAAGGAAAGGCAAGATATGCCTTAAAATGAGGAGTTATTAGTAAACCTGGCAAGGAATACTTATCTGTTACATTTAGAAAACTTATTGGTCCAAACCAATAATGTAAAAAACTAGTTTTAAGCTCTTACTTGATGTTCAATGTATTTTTTTGATATGTTTTGAACTAAAGGAATTTTTTCCGACCAAGTTTTTGGTTGGGCAACTTACGGGGTGTCCTTGCCGTCGGAGCAGACGCAGGTGAGGGCGGTGAGGGCGTACCGCTGGCCGATGATCACGGCGCCGCAGTTGTAGCTCCCGCCGACGGAGAGGGAGGCCTGGTAGGGCAGCTGGCCGGGAACGGCGTCCTCGCCCCCGGCGATCCTTCCCTGCGGCTGGGCCATGGCTCCGGCCACGAGGATCAGTCCAATGGTGAGGGTCAGCTGCATGGCTCTTCGTTTGTTTGCCTTTTGATGGGCCCGCAGCGATGGCGTGAGCTCTTATAGGGTTCCCAATCGTCCAGGTTGGGGGTGTGGGTATCTTATCGGGGTCCGAGAGATAGCCGGATAGATAGAGCCATCCGGTGACAGAGAGCCTCCTGATTAGACAAGCCCCCGGGATCGGCATGGTATCTCCGGGGATCGATTTCTGGGAACGCGATAGGGATGACAGTTAATAGGGATGGCAATAAAAAAAAAAGTAGATTGAACTAATCGATTTTTACTTTTAATAAATTCTTAAGCTCCAAGTTTCTTTGAACTTAACTTTGTTCTTACTTATACTACAGATTTTAATTCAGTTTTCATACCATAACTTAAATTGAAGTTGAACTTTCTGGTATTCACATTTATTTAAAAACCAATATTAAATCTTTATTTTTGCAATTCATTATGATAAAATATTGAGTGATTTGGTTAACTTTTTCAAAGCGATTTCTTTGCCATTTTCGAGATTTAGTGAGATATCAAAATTAAGATGCGGTTTGATGATTATATGGGTATTTCCTTTGCCATGTATCAACGAACTCTGGTCGGGTGATGGATGGCGTCAGTGTCAGGGGGGAATAATCCAGGGCGAACACGTTTGCGGCATGCCACTAACGTCGACGGGGCCAACGATCGCAGATCTCGATCTCGATCTGCACGTAGCAAAGCTCATCTCATCCCATCCCATCGCATCTCATGGCGATCCATTCGATTCGATTTGGCCAGCCGCACAACCAGTTGGCTCTCATTTCGAACCACATTTCGCACCGCCAGAGAGCTACTCTTAAATGGTCTGCCCGACCGCCAGTTTTGACCATTCGCAGACTCGCCGCCGACCGAAAAGGACCATGATCTTGCGAACGCCACTCGCCGGCCACCAGCTGCTCCTCCTGCCCTCCGTCCTGCTCCTCCCGCTGCTCCTTCCGCTGCTCCTCTTCCGGCCCTGCGATGCCAAGACGGCCAATCCCGGGGATCAGCTGCAGATGCAGCACCACCAGCTGGCGGCGGAGCAGGGACTGCCGGAGCCCAGGGCCTACATGCCGGATGCCCAGCACCTGGACTTCGTCTACCACGACCACGAGGAGCTCACCAGATTCCTCAGGTGAGTCCTTTGGGAGACATCCTTTACATATCTTAATAGTCAACCCCTGATAATCAATATATCTCCATAACAAAAAAAGATTTTAAGGGATATATATATAATATATGTTTTATCTCAAAAATTCAGACAGACATATTATTTAAGAATCAAAAATCGTGACTCAATTTTGATAGTAATTGTCTTGGAAATAAATGTACATTTAGAAAATAGTTATAAAATAAATTAAAAGTAAACGGAAAAGTGAAAAGGTAACTTAACCCTAAATTTGTATTTTTCTAAGTTAGAAAACTATTTAAAATGAAAATTGAAAATTATTTCTAATAAATTTCTTAACAATTTCTTAAATGCTTTTTAAATAAAATTATCTTTTCCAATATTTTTCCATTCTGGTTAGTGAAAATTCTTTTTAAAGTTTTTTAAATTTAAAGAAAGTAATAATCAATCTCTGTTGCATTGTTTTGCTTTTAAAGATTAAACAATCTACTTTCCAAATTCTATATTATGCGAATGGTAATAGTTTTATATGTGGGCTGTTGTATTAGTCATATCCCTAGAGATAGAAATGTATTTAATTTGTTGTAAGGAATACAGACTTCTAACCCCTTCGATTACTTAATATATTTTTGTTACAGGGCCACCAGTGCCCGGTACCCCAACCTCACGGCCCTGTACTCCATCGGGAAGTCCATCCAGGGGCGGGATCTGTGGGTGATGGTGGTCAGCTCGTCGCCGTACGAGCACATGGTGGGCAAGCCGGATGTGAAGTACGTGGGCAACATCCATGGCAACGAGCCAGTGGGCCGGGAGATGCTGCTCCACCTCATCCAGTACTTCGTGACCAGCTACAGCTCGGATCAGTATGTCAAGTGGCTGCTGGACAACACTCGCATCCACATCCTGCCCACGATGAACCCGGACGGATATGCGGTGTCCAAGGAGGGGACATGCGATGGTGGCCAGGGAAGGTGGGTCCTCCAGAGAGTTTCCCCCGTGGCATATCCCTGTAATATGTATTCCCTTTTTCAGATACAATGCCCGTGGCTTCGATCTGAATCGCAACTTCCCCGACTACTTCAAGCAGAACAACAAACGGGGTCAGCCGGAAACGGATTCGGTCAAGGACTGGATATCCAAGATCCAGTTCGTGCTCAGTGGAAGCCTCCATGGTGGTGCCCTGGTGGCCAGTTACCCCTACGACAATACACCCAACTCCAGTAAGTAGTCCCAGGAGTATATCCTCAGTTCGTAGCATCCTAGCATTCCATGTCCTTGCAGAAAGAGGTCTTTAATAAGTTTAATCAAAGCTGTGTCTGTCCGATTTTTAACTGCATTTCAAATCATAAGGCTATGTCTATCTGATTTTCAATTGACTTAAAGTTATGTCTGTCTGCTTTTCTAGTTTTCAATAGCTGATTTGAGATGGGCTAGTCGCAACCGAAACTTTGTTAGGAAGCACATTATTCTGTTTCTAGATAATAATTATCAGATGACTATTACAAAGTCCAGTGGAAACTGATTATTTCTGGTGTATTATCAAGAGATCTCAGTGAATGAAATGAATGAGCTAATATCACTTGAGTTATCGATGCTTGCGGTCAAAATAAAAGCACTGGAAAGATAATAAATGATAGTTGTCAAGTTCTAGGTTTGAATTTAAAAAGGTATATGACATAGGGGTTTTTATGTGAAAGAAAGTAAAGATGCCTAGTTGCAAGGACATCTAGAGCTTCGTCTTGCGAAGCCATATCCCCTCGGTATCCGGCTGCCAGTCGAGATCCGATTGATAAAGCTCATTCTGTACTCTCCCACCAATATGGCTGCTCAAAGGGATCTGCCGTTCGTCCGCCCTGTGCGCGAGTGAGTCCTCGAGAACCGATCCCGAACGACCCATCTAATCGTGTCTGCCTTTCTTTCCGTTCCGCCAAACATGTCCCCTGGGCGCAGTGTTCCAGACCTACTCGGCGGCGCCGTCCCTGACGCCCGACGACGATGTGTTCAAGCACCTGTCCCTGGTCTACGCCCGCAACCACGCCAAGATGTCCCGGGGCGTGGCCTGCAAGTCGGCGACGCCGGCCTTCGAGAACGGGATCACGAACGGGGCCGCCTGGTATCCTCTGACCGGCGGCATGCAGGACTACAACTACGTGTGGTACGGCTGCATGGAGATCACGCTGGAGATATCCTGCTGCAAGTTCCCGCCCGCCTACGAGCTCAAGAAGTACTGGGAGGACAATCAGCTGGTGAGTGGTCAGTCTAGGTGGCAATTGAAGAAGGCTCCATCATTTATCAGGCATTTTAATACTTTTCTTAATAAAAACAAATTATTAATATTCCCCAATTTGATTTGGATTATACAAATAGGAAAGCTTAGTTTACGAAATAGAAGGGGAGCATCCCACCAGTAAATCTTTCAAGCGATTAATTCATAAGGCTTAACAATGAACATTTAAATAATTTAAAGAACAAATTTCATAAATACCTTAATGACGAAACAATCCGACTACGTCAGATCTTATAAATATTCGATTTTCTGAAAACGTGGTGGAACTTTTTCGTGGCCAGTTTTAAAAACTGGAAACCGAAGTCTTTTGGAAAAGTACATGTTTTAGTGTCAAACAGTATTGTCAAATATATAACTCCTTTAAAAGCTTACCTCTCATGACCTCTCCTTTACCCCAATTTAGTCCCTGATCAAGTTCCTGGCGGAGGCGCATCGAGGGGTCCAGGGATTCGTGTTCGATCCGGCGGGCATGCCCATTGAGCGGGCCTCCATCAAGATCAAGGGACGCGACGTGGGCTTCCAGACCACCAAGTACGGTGAGTTCTGGCGCATTCTTCTGCCGGGATACTACAAAGTGGAGGTGAGTTTCTAAGCGGGACAAACTTATGTATGGATGATTGAACATTCCGACTCCATTCAAGGTCTTTGCCGAGGGCTTTGCTCCTCGCGAGGTGGAGTTCGTGATTGTGGAGCAGCATCCCACGCTGCTGAATGTGACGCTGCAGCCGTCGAAGGTAGGTCGATTGGGGTTACCACTCTAGGGAGACCACTACTCTAAGCAACCTCTGGTGCTGGCTAACCCCATGTGTACTTATCTCTTTAATCCTTCTCTGACCCCCGATAACCTTTAACCAATAACCGATCAGTTTCTGGTGGCAGCTTCGGGCTCATCCATCTCCACTAAAACCTCAACTGCGAAGCATCTCGTCAATGGAAAGCTGCAGGTGTCCACCGAATAGAGGAGATCCTCCAATGCCTTGGAGTGAACGGCTGTCGTGTAAATAATAGCTAAAGTGCTTGAGGCCTAGGAAGTGCTATGCAAATAACCCACTAAAACACCTATAAACACCTCACTCTTTACTCCTGCACCTTTATTTTTTATCGAATATGGAGAATACCCTTGCAGACCAACTCTTTTATTTGACAGATTTATAACCATTTTAATTTGATTGTTAGCCCTATTTGAGATAGTTTAACTTGCAGTTTTATGTAGATATATAATTTCAGCACTTCTTTGTCAGATAAAACATCAGTATAGGAAAACTGTAGCACAATGCTTAATTATAATTATTGATATACTCTTTATATACAATTAGTCAGTGAATTTTTGTCTTAGCTGCAATGGTATATCGATCCTAATCTTTGTAATACCTAAAAACCAGTTTCTAACTAACCATCAGCTGAGCTATATTTATAATTCATTCTTGAAATATTTCTTTAGTTAAATATAATTACTGCAGGAGCGAGAATAACACCCAACATTTTTAAGAACTCTCTGGTGCAAGGTTTAATTTATAATTTAATTTAAGTGTTTCTTGGTAATGATATAGTAAAGAGCAAAATCAAAGACAAATTGAAACTCTATTCGAAGAACCCTTGATCTCTCATACATACCCTCTTGTTAATTGACTTCGCAGCGCATTGAGGGCATCGGGGCAATGGGTCCCGTCGGAGTGTCGGTCGGAGGAGGGGGCGGGGTGGGTCCCGGGGGGCTGTACCGCCCGATTCCAGCGCCCCAGCACTACCGCCCACCTGTACCGCAATACGCGGGCGCCGCCTCCAGCGATAGCGGCATTTTCTCGACCATCAGCAACGGTTTGAACAGCCTCTACTCAAATATCTTCGGTTGAGGCGCAGATCTGAGGATCTTAATTAAGGATTTTTTGTTTACTTCTAAGCATGCCTAGGTTTAAAGTTGGAACTTTCGTCGTACTATTTATTGTGAAGAAGGATAGAAGGGCAAGCCCCGAATAAAGCGTTCAACCAGTGCAATCTATTCTATAAGATATTCGTGTCTTTTTGTTGGGTTGGACTAATTTTGGCTTTGTAACTCATGGATGGGTAAGTTTATATTTCATATACTGCAAATAAAATATTATTTATGGCCAAAAAAGAAAATAATTTCAATTTTTAGGGGAATTGTTTCGTATTTGTTAACAATATGTCACAATTCACAATTTTCCGCAAATCGAATTGTTTTTTGTTGTGATTATAAAACTAACCATTTATTTAAGATATTTGTTATCAGTATTAATCTTCACGTCCGACGGTGCAGACGTGTAAAATTATTTGCCGAAGTGCAACCGAAATATATTGGAAAAAATAAAAAATACAATTTAAAAACTTTTATTTAAAATTTTTCAATTGTTGACCTCGAGCCGGAAAATTCAAAAATTAAACATACATCAAAGGTCGCCAACAAACAAAATTTGTTATTAATCTAAAAAATTCGTAACAGATCAAAGAATTTTTCAAGAATTTTTGCTTGCCATTTTATAAATAATTTATACATTTTGTACAACAATTTGTACAATATTTTTAAACCTTTAATTTTAGAGGAAACTTCTTTGAAAACTTCACTTAATACTGCATCTTACACTTTCAAAAACCCATTTGACTGGTCAGGGCGACAAACGTCGTCAGTTTTGGCTAAAGTTCAATGGAAAGACAGACTAGAGACTTTGAAAAAATTCGATCGCAACACCAATGCAAAGCCTATCAACAGAAATCGACCCTCAGACTTTTTCTTATTTTTTTTTTTGGAAGTACGCCCAATACTAAATTTAATCCGGAACTATCTTAATCTTAAAATAAAAACCACTAATAAATAGTTGCAACCAGAGCGGAAAGCAAGTAAATACCAATAAACTTGGCAATTCACATTAAATCCACTCCGAAAGGGAGGAAAGTTAGAGGAACATGAGCTACCAAGATATGTTGGGCTGCACTTTTGAAACGGAGAATCGGGGCGGCAACTTTGAGTTTCGGGTGAGTACGGGAATCGGGGTATCAACGGCTGGGGATTATATATTAATGGGTGGAAAGCATATATGAATCGTAATTACCTCCTGGCTACTCAGTTTACGGGCCCGGAATCCATCCCGAATGCGGTGAAGCGGTATAACGCCCTACGAGGTGCCGAATTGGCCCAACTGAAGCGTCAACGCGAGATGGGCAGATCCCATGTGCCCAGCATGCCGCGCTTCTGCAAGGTCCGTCGTCCTGGTCAGGATGTGACCAGCATGGTGACCTCACGCGACCTGGACGTTGTCACCCAGCTGTCCCTCGACTCGGAGCCCATCTCCAATGGGGACAATGATGATGGGGGTGAGGATGAAGATGACGATGGGGGCAAACATGAGATCCACTCTCCTCTGCCTTCAATGCGAATTTCTGGTGGCGCCGAATCACCCAAAAGGGTGAAGAACAAATCCAGGGGCAGGAAGAAGACCCACACGGGCATTAGGAAAGTTCGCTACCGGGATCCCGCCCAGAATGGCCTTACCTTCGAGAGATTGGAGGAGCTGCATCGGGAAGTCTGCGCGGAGCTGGAGACCTTTGGTGAGGCCAAGTCCCTACCAAGTGCCAAGGCGACTCCGCGACCACTGGGTCCTAAGAATCTTGCCAAGCAGCGGAGGAATTGGGTCAAGAGGAGGCAGGAGACGCAGAAGAAGCCCCAGGAGGCTGAGGACTCCCCCAAGTCCCAGGATCAAGAAGGCCAGGGCGATAGTTCCCTGGCCGATGCGGGTCAGGTGTCCTTCGAGGATTACCATACTCCGCAGGCCAAGTGGGTGGACATTGTGCCGTCGGCCATGATGTCGCAGGCCATGCAGGTGAATGTCTGCCAGGCCCAGAATGCCACGCCCCTGGCCGCCTATAAATTCATGGAGCAGCATGGCAGCCTGGAGCCCGAACCCCTGGCACCCTTCTTCCTGGAGGACAGCGATCTGGAGTACGAGTATGCGGATCGCCAGGGCTACCTGCGTTACGTGGAGGCACGACCCAACTACACCTCCAGTGACTCGGACAACCCGGATCAGATGGCCCAAAGGAATGCCACCTGGCCGAATGTGGGCCAACCGTGCTTTGTGGAACTGGAAAGGCGACCAGATAGAGTCAGCTTGCTGAGGAGTCTCTCACCGATGCGGTACACCTCGCAGAGATCGGAGGAGACCTTGCGCACCCATTCGCCGGCCGAGGAGCAGGACTACATGATTGAGGAGATCGAAGTGCCACCCTTGGAGCTGCGCAAGGCCGCGAATTCCAGGAAGGCCAGTGGCCGAAAGCCGGTGGTCAGTGGCCAGAGAGCCAGCAAGTCCCGAAGGACCAATGCCAATGGCAATGCCATGGCCAAGGGCGGTCAGAGGAACCCGCCCAGTCCGAGGGCACGTCGTCCGGCCAGACAAGGCGGTGGCGATGAGGCTGCTCCACCCAATCCCACCAAGGTGCCCTCCACGACCAACAATGCACCAGTGACCTCGCCGGAAAGAGCGAACAAGCGGCGCAAACCGAAGGCCATGGTGGTGTACAGCAAGTCCCTGGAGGATCTGAAGTTCGAGAAGCTGGGCATCTACAACAAGATCACTTTGACCCAAGAGCGGATCATCAGTGCGCTGGACAAGCTGCAGACCAGTCTGCTCCAGCTGCAGGTGCCCAATTGCAGTGCGCAGGAGCGACAGAAGCGCCAGCGCAACGCCTTCGAGTTCTGCGTGCGCTTCTCGAGGAACTTCCTCTATCCACTCAAGGGCATGATCGACGATGTCCGCTTCACCACGGTGGCCAGCTTCAACAGTGCCACCTCCAACGAGGCCTGCCAACGGGTGGTCTGCGTCTACGGCCTGATGCAGCAGTCCATCCAGACGTACCAGCGCCAGCTGCGCTACTTCCTGCTGGAGAAGGTGCCCCAGAAGCTGAGCGCCCTCATCGAGATGATCTACACGATGACCAACTGCTGCCTGGACAAGGGCATGCTGGACCGGCACGATCCGGTGGTGGAGTGCCTGCAGGAGCGGTGCACCCGCTTCCTCAGCTTCATCGAGGACATGCAAGAGGAGCGCTTCAAGCTGGCCAGGGAGGCGATGCGGCGCCTGCACAAGCATCAGGGTCACCAGGGCCATCAGGGTCACCAGTCAACCGGTGGCAGTCACTCGCATCGTCGCAAGAAGAAGTCGGTGAAGGCGGTGAAGTCGGTGAAGTCCCCGAAGGCACCCACCCAGCCCAGGCAGGAGAAGTTGCGCTCCCACGAACGGTACGATCTCAAGATGTGTCTCAACGACCTCAAGCTGTACGAACCGCGTCTGGTGCCCAAGGAGCGTCAGCAGGCGGAAAAGCGGAATCATCGGGTGCGTCGTCCCAGGACCAGTGTCAATCCCAATGTGACCGCCACTTCGGCAGTGATTGCCGGTGCCACTGGGGCACTGGGGGAACTGCCCTCCGATCTGGAAATGCAATCCGTTGCGGGGAACGAGGTGCAGACCCAGATGCAGTTGGCCGGCGATGGTGGCACCACCAGTTCGCTGAGCATGCTGCCCACTTTTGGGCCCATGGGTCAGTGGCAAAATCGAGGAAACGGGGAATCGGAGACGCGGGAGGAGCAACTGCATCGGGCGATGCTGGATGCATTGCAGCTGGTGTCCCGGTCGCAGGTGCAACAGGTGCTCGATCCACTGATGCGTTCGCTGGGCGTCTACCTGGGCGAGAAACTCCCCCAGAATCAAAAGCAGTAGGCTTTAAGCCTACTCCACATTGTTGATTTTCCAAATTGTTAAAATCAGTATTTCCTCCAATCGTCACCAGCGCCACTTCCTTTGGTGAAAGTGCGAAGCCATTAAACTAAATTGTTAAGTAGTGGTAGTGCAAATAAAATGCTAGTTTTGAACAAGTGCAATTTATGGGTGAACTCTCAAAGGATTACTAAAAAACAAATAGGATAAAATTAATGTAACGTGCTTGTTAATTTTTGGAATGCGTTATATTATGCAGAACCAGCTTAATAAAGGTGGCATTCCTCGTTAAACTCCTAACAAAAATTTCCATTTTCACATGTGATTTTCAACCATTTTTCGCTCAAAAAAATATCAGTATTTTTACGATAACAATGCAAATAATGCCCCAATAATGGATTGCCCTACCTCGTTAAACTTGTTACAAAATTTCTAATCAATGTCATTCACAGCTTTGTTTGTAAAATTTTGGAAAAAATTCTTATATAAAATGTGAAATGCAAAAATGGATTTTGAAATATTTCGCGCTCAAAAATATCATTATTTTTATAATAGCAATGCAATTAATGGTCCCATAATAGAATGCCATACCTTGTTGAATTTGTTATACAATTTCCAATCGACTGGCATTCACAGATTATGTTGTAAAATTTTCAAAAAATGTAAAATGTTAAAAATGCGATTTTCAATGCACGAAAACAATGCAACTAATGGCCCAATAATGGAATGCCATACCTCCTTGAACTCGGTGATATGATCAATGTACACATATGTATATAACCGATATATGATATAGTCATCCGATTTTTATTTTAGCATTGATTTCTAAGAAATGTGCTAACCTACATTACTATCATAAAATTGTCTTAGCTTCCCACTAAAAACCACTAACAATTCCCAGAAAAAATTAGATCATCGCTTGATTGTATTTTGTTTATTTGTAAGAGATATCAACAATGATTCAAGATTAATTTTTATTTATATACCATTTATCAGATACTTTGTGCAGTTCGAAAACGATCAAGAGAATATCAAGAGAGGATCGTTGTGGGTGGGTTGGGTGTTGCTTGGGGGAAGGGGGTTGGTGTGAGTGAGAGTGAGAGGGACAGACGGCATATATATATATCAACTAAGGAGAATTACAATTATTTTAAGCATTAACATCCCCCTGCCCCGCGAATCACCACCCACCGCCATCGAATGCACATTTCGTGTTTCCTGTCCATCAAATATTAAGATTTTTTTTGTCCCTCCTCAAGTGGATTGGAATTGCCATTTTCACGACCTTGCTTTCCGTTCGGCTCTGTTCTTGCGTTCTCGGGGATGGGTTCAACAATTTGGATTACTACAAATACCATAATAATAGATAATATACATAGATATCGAAGTGAATGGTAGGGGTACGTGTCCGGGTTTCTAGCCGGAGCAGGCCGTGCACAATGGCTTGTTATCCTCCACGGCGAAGGTGCTGGCCGTGATGGGAGTGCCGCATTTCTGCAATTAATAAACGGGGTCAAAGATTTGACTAAGATTACTAAAAATTACTGACCTTGCACTTGAAGCAGTCGCGATGCCACTTGGCGTTGAGGGCCACGATCGCGTTCTCCGTGATCGGCTGACCACATCCGGTGCAGCGGGCGGCGAAAAGCTGCTCGAAGTCCTCCCGGCAGTAGGGATGTCCGTCCCGCTCGTAGAAGGAGGTGCCCACCAGCGGCTTCTTGCAGAGGCCGTTGCACACGAAGCACTCCTCGTGCCACGACTGCTCCATGGCCTTGATGGTGCGCTATTTAAATATTTTTAAATGCATTTTAAGTCATACGATTTCAGCTAAATATATGCCAAATTAAAAGCAAGTATACACAGAATAAAGAAACTACTCAAACTACAACGCTATTTATGGCGAAACAAAATAACTTGTCTGATGATTTTAAGCTATTTAAAAAATGCAACTTATCTCATTAACTTCTTGCTTTAAATAGGCTACTAATTAATTTTTGTAAAATTATATATTTTATTTCGTTTTCTCCTTCATCAATGTATGTGACTAATCATTTCAGATTTGATTATTTTTCTTAGTGTAGGGAAGTTTCTCACTAAAAAAATTAAAAAATAATAAAACAATCGTAAATCTTATAACAAAATTATATTTAAAAAATATATGATAGAATTTGGTATGCAATAAATATATTTGAAAACAGAAAAACTTTATTTTTAAGTTTCCCTAAAAATTACTCATACGACACGTAATTCCAGTAAGAATACATTTTTTGACCAACAGCAACGGAACGTATAAAAGATTAACTTTAAAGATAATGCACAGACATTCATAAAATATCTTCCTAAATAAACCAAAGCGCAAGTCAAAGTAGGACCTAATGTTCAAACCAATTTCCACTGCTCTAAGGTTTATATATTGAAGACAATTTTATTATTTGCATACTTTCGCGCTTTAGAATAAACTGGGCCAAAGGCCAATCCGTAGCCAATAACCAATAACCAATAGTGCACACAAAGTGCATATATAGAAATATTTATAATCATAATCAAAGCCAATCAATCGCGTACACACCCACGATGAGTTCAGAGCGACCTTGTTGCAGATTAAAAAAGCAGAAGTGGAATAATAAATGCTCTTAAAAAAACTGCAAAGGAAAATGATGGAAAAAGTGTTTGAGCATTCCACAAAATGTAGTCATGTTTCACGAGAAATATTTAATAAATATTTGTTCGCTCTGAATTGACAATCTTTAAATGCAAAAAAAAATACAGTTGGTAAGTGATTTTTGATTTGATTTTTAAATAATTGCAAAGCAATTGCGCAATCAGCATTACTCATTCTCATTTCATTTAATATGCTTTTAAAATATTGTTTTGCTATGGTATATGAAAAGGTTTAAGCATCGCCAACAGTTTTGGCATGAAATTCTCAGGAGCAATTAAAATGTATTATAATGGTGTATTTCGTATTTTTATTAGTTTTTAAAGCGCTTGACTGCAGTTTCGCTTTATAGGTTCAGTAATATAGACATAAAAAGTGAAAATTTGAATGCTTTTGAAAACGTTTTCTGCTGCCCGAAAATATAAATAGAACGGATACTTTCTTGCATGTTTCTATTAGAAAATGTCTAAAAATACGAATCGCAATTACTTCCTTAATTAAATCGTCACTAAGCATATACGACCAGATATCCAAGTGGTTTTATGGCGCAGCGTATCTAGGTAAATGTTGACAGTATTCATTACACCGATGCTCATAAAGCGCCATAGTTTATGGCAAACATACGATGCCAATCGAGGAGGAAAAAAGATAGCCAGCACCACTGATGGGAAGTACCTAGGTATTTGCACACCCAGAAATATATAAGTCTGTTCCTAATCACACTGACCACATATTCCCGGAAACAAACAATGTTGGCTTCTACGAAAACAAAACGCAAAGCGAAAGTAAATAAAATAAATAAAGATTTTTAAAATCATATTCAATCATCTTGATAACTTGATGATGGGACCTTTGTAATTGTAGTTCACTCTTTGTTCTTAACATATTTACAATATTAACTTTTATACTTTTTGTACTTTTATCTCATGATAATTGTCAGATAGATTTTATATATTTTTTTTTTATTGTGAAATAATAACGAAATGGTAACAAAGATAGGCGCTCAACTTAAACAAATCAGAAATTATTTGTTTTTTTTTTTATTTTATTTTTTTTTGATGAGAAAAACAATATATACAGAAGTGGCTTAAATATCTCAACTAATTTATTGGAATTACAAATACTATTGCATACTTTTGACAGCCTTTAAATGAATTCGAAAAAACCTAATGGAATTTTGATTAAATTATTAAATACATTTTCCTTTATCCGTATATATGCAGAGTGCTTTTGTATAAATTATACTACAACCCATGGGGCTAACTCACCTCCAGGATGGGCTGCTTGCAGCCGAAGCAGGTGCCCGAGTAGTTCTTCACGAAGCAGTCGGAGCAGACGGGCTCCTCGGCCTGGATGTTGAAGGTGGCCTCCGAGATGGGCCGGTGGCAGTCCTTGCAGGCGAAGTGCTCCGGATGCCAGGTCTTTCCCAGCGCCGTGATGATGCGCTGCTCGATGACCTCATTGCACTTGTGACAAACGGACGCCGGCTCCGACTAATGAAAACAAAAAGAATAAGGAAAAAAAGCAGCGGATAGAAGCCATTAATTTCGCAAATTTCAAATGGAAATCACGTACATCAAATATTTCATAATACACCATAATTCTGGACAATTTTTCTGGGAGCGGGCGAATGAGATTCATCTGAGATTCAACTCATCAGCGGGTTCAAAAACCGCAGAGACAGCGGCTGGCGCGATTTTACGTAACCCAATACCAAATGCCAAAGGCCCCAGCACAAAGAACCCCCGGCACATGAATATCAAAATATATATATACCACAATATACTACAATAAACGATGAGCATCAGCGTAAAATCATTTACAAAGCAGCAGCAATAATAACATTAACATATTATACAATAATGAGTTAGCCAAGTGGGTTGCCACCAAAGTTGTGGAAGACCAAAATTCATTTTAGGACAAAAATAATAATTACCTATATTTGAGTTTAAATAATAATAAATAATATTATTAAATAATTTAAAATATTTAATTGTCATTGCAAACTTAAGCTACCTTTGCCAAATTGTTTTTCTTTTACCAAAAATGTATTGTTCCAGATTTTCCAAGTTTTCGAAATAAACATAACTATTTACAACCTGCAAAATATGACTCAATTTATGAGAAAGTTGACCCAAAAAGTATGCAGTTGTTAAATAGCTAACCATGAAGCCGTTTTTTGGGCAGCAAACACCTGCCAAAACTACCTGCAATTAGATTTTTTAGGGCTAACACCTTGGGCCATGTTGAGCTATTAGCTTTTAGTATGGCCAACATTATGCTTAACTATGGCCAACCATGATATTAACTAGCCCATCACGTTTGGGCCATTATCACCTGGTGGCAACACCTTCGCCGAAGGGGAGCCACCCAGGAAGTCAGTTAAGACAGGTGTGCTGGCCAAGTTGCCACCCGCTTCAAATGGCTTATAAATCCGCAACAATTGCTCATAAAAATGCAGCAATAGGCGGCCATAAATAAGGCAAATAAAGAGAAATATCCGAAAATCGCAAGAGGGGATTCTTCGGTGATTTTTCGCGGTTTTAATTACATTTTGGTTTGCGGGCTGTGGAGCGGTGATTTTCAAAAATTTAATTGGCACAAATTAAACGCACATTTCCTTCGGTTTTCTTTTCATTTCGATTTACTTTTTTTTTTTTTTTGTTCTTGTTTAAAGTTTTGCGCCAGATGTAGCAACAACAAGCATTTCTTTCTGCATTAGACGACGTCTCACTTAGATCATCGCTAGAGTTAGAATCGAATTAAACAAACACGCACGAGAAAGAGAGGGGGCTAGGCGAAAAGAAAGAGAGGGGGCTACGGGAAAGGAAAGAGTGGGGGCACTCTTAGGGGGCCAAGGGCAGCAGCTCTCGCACACTTCAAATGAGTTTGCTTGGATAAGGAAAACAATAACAAAAGGCCACACAACCAGAATACAAACAAAAAACCAAGCAGCAAAAATTAAGCAAAATTTTCAGCGCTTAATGGGCAGCAAACAAACAAACAAAATAAAACAAAAAATTATAAAGAAATAAAGCACTAAATAAATAACCCGATGAGTTGATGCCCTTTAAGTCTGGAAATCCCATCCTTCGTATCCTAAATACACAAAAAAAACATAATAGTTGTCAACACAAAGTAAGCAATGAATCAACTACAATCTAAACTTTAATTTTATACCGCAGCATAAATACAATCTCATAAGTATAAATATATATATTTAATACTATAATTATTAATGTTGAAATTATACAAATTTTAATTATTATTAGCTTTAAGTACTTTTCTAATATCAAAATAAATTTGAAAGTATATGTAACTAAAGTTCAATGACCTTTTCCTTGAAGCTTAACCCAGAAGAATCTATGAATTGGACTAATTAAAAATCGAAGTTGCCTGTTTAACCCATTTAACTGCAAATTCCGTCCGCATTGAACCCGCCATTTAACCCACTGTCTCCCATCTTCTGCTTACTCAGTTCAGCTCGAATTGCAATTTTCACGTTCATTACGTTTTTGTTGACGATTTGCATTTCTTATCAGTTAATTGCCGCAATATTGCAAGCGATTTCAATTTTGTTTTCCTCGAAAGCACCAAGAACAATACAAGCAGATGCAACAACAAAAAAAGAAGAAAAGTAACAATTACACAAGGAAAAAAAAGAGAAAATACACATATAAATAAAACCAATACATCAGAGGCCACCGCAACAAGTCGAAAAACAATTTTACAGTTTTTTTGTATTTGGTTTATTCATAGGCGATAATTAAAATATTGAATGCATGAATCATTGGAGGCAGAGAAAATTTACAGGGGCTTGGGTGGCAATTCGAGGGGGTGGCGTCAAGTGCCCTCTATTGTTGTTATTGTTTGTTCTGCGGCCATCAATCAGAGTTGTCAATCAGCGAGGAGCAGGGGAATACTTATGTATACGGGGTATATACGTATACAAGGCCTGTTGCCTTGGATCAGATAATTCGTAGCAGACGCCTCCAATAAGCAGAAGATCCCCCACACACTCTAAACATTGTGTGGCACACAGTGCGTATACCTAATGGCCATTAAACCATTTAAACTGTGAGAGAAATGCCGAAATGGCTTTGTAATATACGGCAAATTGTATATAAATAAGATAATCTGCAGGAAAACTTTGCGGAAGATCGATGAAGCAGATTAGCGAAGACTTTTGTGTGAGGAAAACATTTCAAATTCGGAAAAGGAAACTCAGCCAAGGTTTAAAAATTGATTTAAAGATCTCATAAAATACATGCAAGCTAAGGAAGCTCAACATAAACTTAGCTAATTTATAGAACATTTAATTTATTATCGAAAATTTGACCAGGGACTTATGGGAGGTAAAGAAATTGTAGACGGGTATTTATTTAAACACTGAAATTATTTAATAGCCTACAGATGGGATAAATTTGAAGTACTTTTAACTATAGTAACATAGCAAAAAACAGATATATAAATAATTTTAAAACATACGGAAGCAAACACCAGTTGTTTAATATTATAGTATATTTTATATGTATGAGAACATATAGAACATCAGAAAAGTACATAAGTGAGCCGAAAGAAAAGTAAAGTATGCATATTATTTTTAAGATGAAATATATAAAAAATCTTTAAGCAAAATAATTTGCATATTATAGAAAACCAAACCCTAGTTTCCACAGAAGAATACATGACCTAAAGAATAGAGTTGTTAAGAATATAAAAGCAAACCTTTTTCATTGAAGTATTAAAGAAACTTTTTAAAGATCACAAAGCCAAAGTCTAACAACTTAGAGAGCTTAGAAAAAGTGCCAAGCCCAAAACTATCATTTATTTCCGCGCTGTTAGTCGGGTGAATAAACCAATTCCATTTATCAGTCAGCGAGACTCTGACCAGACCATCACTCTCTCCCCGATTACGATTATTATATAGTGATGATGACGATAATGATGATCGCGATGATGACTCTTCAAAACCTTCTGGTTAAGCAGGCTCGCCAAAGTGGCTGATTTATATGGCTCATTTTATTAAGCGGACAACGAATAAATCGCTTTGTAAATTGATGATATTTTTGTGTAAAAAGCGAGGGATGATATCATCGGGACAGAGATATTCTGGGCTTAGCTTAACCTTAGGTCGGTATACCATATAATAAAATAAAATATACACGTGTATATGGAAAGCGAGGCCCTTAATCCGCACTTTTGCTATCGCCCACTGATAAACACTGTTATGTGTTCAAAACTCGAATATTTTCGAAAAACACAACTTGGAACGCCCACTTGGCAAACACTTGGTAACTCTTGAAAATCGTTTTTTCGCGGGCTTACAATTTGTGTTTTTTTATTTTTAGTATGGTAATTAACATAAAGTCTAATAAGGCAAGGCAAACCATATTCGAGTGTGCGTGAATTTTATATTTGTTTGTTTTTTTGTTTTCTTTTTTTGGGTAGCCAAAAGCCAGATGGATGACAATTTCAGTTGGTTTTAGTTGATTTCGTTGGCAGTTGACACTCTAAAAATTCCGCTCACACACTTGTGCCATGAATCTTGCACATGGAAAGCAGAAAACACAGCTAACAGAAAACTGAAAACTGAAAACTGAAAACTTACAAGCCGACAACAGAAAGCGGAAAATCCAAGCAGACACTGTGAATGGGCCAACGCGGCGTATGAGCAATCTCCAACCTGTTTGAAAAACGCCCACGCCGGAGATTTGGGATTCGGATTCGGCATGGGACTGGGTTTAGGTTTGAGTTTGCATTTGCGTCTGGGACAGCCAGCTGGGCGACCAGTTGGAAAGTGATTTGAATTTGGAGCACCCTGCCTCCCACTACCCACTCTTTTTTCCCGAAATGGTTAATATATTTCACTTACCATTTTGTTTGCTGTTTTTGTTGCCGTTGGTTGAGTGCTTTGTTGTTGAGTTTTGAACTTCAAAAAAAATATAAAAAAATACAGTTGACATTAGTTTCAAGTAAGCTGATGTTTGGGGAAAAAATAAAACACTAACGTTGAATGGAAAACATAAAAAAAAACAAAAAACATCGTTATCACTGCCTTATCAATAAATGGAAATTATAAAAAACTTGCCTGTTTCCTTAACATAATATTAAAATATTCAAAATTATGATAACTTGCTGGACAACTTAATTCAAAGTAAACAAGAAAAATCATCATCAATAAACAAGCAAATGGTTTTATTAAACAAAAGATATTTATTTATTTAGTTTTTATAATTGGCTTTAGTTTCCTATACATATTTTTATATTTGGAAATTTTAATGATGTATCTAAAAAGGGTAGTTATACATATATTCATATTGGTAGCTGTTATGATTTTTAAATACTTCATTAAATATTTAAAAACTTATAATACATAATGTAAAAACATTTTAAGGTATGCCATTTTTAAGCAAATATAATTTTTTCTCAGTATTTAATAAATGCTACATTGCTTATTTTGGTTTACGAACTGACCAATCGCACCTCGTCAAAACAAAGTAACCCTCTTAGCAAAAACTGTCAATAAAAGGCAACTTCGGAACAAAAAAAAACAGTCGGCATCAAACAATTTAAGTAATTGCAGCAAATGTTAATAAGTTTCCCCCTCAATTTTTGCGTATATATTTTTTGTTTGTTTATTTCTTTTGTGTACCGTACAAATTTCAGTTGAAAACCGGGATAGAAAGGGCAGCGGCGGTAATAAAACACGCGAAACGTTGGTAGAGCGCGAATAAGAAGTCGAAAAAACAGCGCGAGTTGTATATCGTACGGGCTGTATAGCTATATAGTGTTGAATCGGATCGGATCGAATCGAACCGAACCGGCGAGCGTCGACCAAGAAACTGAAACTGAACCGCCGACCGTCGGCGTGCGAGGCAGCGCAGCAGCAGCGGCGCAGCAGAGGGGCGGCAGCGGAGGAGCAGCGGGAATATGGAATTGGAATTGGAATTGGTGGGGCCGTCGCAGCCGGCGTCGTCGTCGCGTCAGTTGGTGCGCAGGCGCACTGGCCGCGATGCGGTGACCTCCAGGATCCAGCGGTGCAGGAGCCCCGCCCCCGTCCACTTCCCCAAGCGGAGCCGGCTACCACCTCCCCTCCCCGGAAATATCGCCGTGGTGCGACCCACAGGCAACAACGCCACTGCAAGGATGCGGCGGGATTGGGAGGCCCAGCGGGAGCCACTAGTGAAACCACCGCGGCAGATACTGTCTACAAAGGTATGTTTATAAAAGATAAAATAGATACAAAAGTGGATAAAGGAATCGTTACATTTATGAAATCGATTGAAGGATATTTTCTCTGATCTTAACTTTTATTAACCTAATTACTTTTGAATATTATTTCAGTCAAATAATTATATGAATATAACATATTCGAAAAGTATTTATTACTAACATCATATCATATAAAGGTTATTCGTTTTTAATTGGACTTAATTAAAAGTAATATGCAAATTATTCTGAATTTTCCCAAGAAATTAAACTTATTTTCATGATCTCCTATCGGAAATATATTTCCACACTTCTTGATGTTTAACATATATTCCAGAAATTAAATAAGGTTATGGAAGATGACTATTCCAAATATTCTTAACACAATAATATATTACTTATCGAAACGTATGCCTAAGTAAAAATCATTTTAGTCATTATAAAAATATATTTATAGTTAAAAACAAGATCGTATGATTTAGGAACTGCAAATTTTAAAACCGCAAAATAATCATTATCAACAGCTTACTAGTATTTAATTGATGACAACGCTTTTATGACTAATATATGTGCTACTTATAGATGAATTCTTAAATACTAGTACTATTACTAAACCTTACAGTGTAGCAAATGCTGTAATATTTAATAAATTTATATTCAATGTTTCCAGGCCCTTGGCCAATCCAATCCCTATCTGGATGATCATCCCGTAAGGGAGCGCCGCTCTGTGACCCAGCGTAGCCGTCATCCGGATTTCAAGACCCGGAACCAGCAGAACCGAATCCCTGTGCCGGCCACCTCGCGATCGGCCTTTGGTGGGCAGTACACCGTGCCTCAGCCGCCATCCGTCTTTCGGTCTCCTGCTCCGCCGCCGTCCGGCACCAAGATCCGCCCCAGCCTGCGCTCCGTCCGCGCCAAGGTCGACTCGCACCTGTGTCCCCGCCTCTCCGGCCACCCGTGCCCCTCGTCCGCCCAGCCAGCGGCCCGGCGACCTTGTCGCCCCGTGAAGAACAATTCCCTGGCGGAGGCCCACGAACAGCTGGAGCAGCTGCTTTCGCGCATCGAGCAGGCCAGCGACTTTCAGCCACCACCACTCCCACCACCATCGCCTGCCGTCCACGCCAAGAGGCGTGGCCAGGCGACGGCGAGGGGCGGGACAAAGGTCGCCAAGGGGGCGCGCCGCCAGATGGCGCAACATCCTCCTGTGCCAGCCGGTTCGCCAATGCTCAGTGCCCGGCAAAACAATACCACGTCCCAGACTTACTTGAGGCTCGATGGCGAAGGGGGTGGTGCTGAATCGGAAGGGGATCATCGGGGTCACCTGACCCATGTCGTACCGCTCGTCCAGAATCCGCAGCGCCTGCCGCCGGCGAAGCGGAATGCACTGCTGGAGCTTCTCCAGCGGGCCGAGCAGCACGACAAGGGCATTGCGGATATTGTGGCCAGCTCCACCGGAGATCCCTCCCGGGACACCATGCTCATGATGCTCCAGATGTTGTGAGTACTTGTAATCCTTTATATTTGGTAGTATAGACTATCAATTAATTAAGTTTTAAGCACTAGTGTCATCTAAGAAAGGGGGTTTTTAAATAAGACATTTTAAATATGTTGTTACCCTAGGAACATTTTATATTTTTACCCCTTTTATATCCAAAACTTAATAAATACAGGTAAAGGTATGTAAAATAGTTGCTTGTAGCTGTGCAAAAATGTAATTTAAAACCAATATAAGTTTCGCTCATTTTTGAAGTTACCATTTTCGGTTACGGTTATAAAAATGATTCTGTTATTCCGGTTAAAACGGTACAATGGTTACGGTTTCGGTTGGCTACCCTGGTGGCAGCAACAGCTAAAAATAATAATCAAATAATGTTTCTCCAGATGCTGTAAGTGCCGCAAACAACTGAGGTACAAAGAGTAGCATATAGGATTGAATAACTAAAATTAAATTGTTATAAATTTCCCTTGAACTAATAATAATTTGGGTTTTAAATTAGTAGTTCTTGCTTATTAATTAATTTATTGTCTTCGTACAGTACTAGTTTGATATATATATATATATATATATAAATACGTTACGATTATATTTAATCAAGCGCTTATCACACTTGGTATGTACAAAATATAGTCAAATAAACAGTAACAGTTTATGTGCTGAATTGTAGCGTGAAAACCATTCTTACCCACTGTGATTTGCACTCCTAATTTGTTTACCGCCGCTGTTGGCGAAGTCGCGACGTTGGGGCGCTGCGGCTGCGCCGCGGCAGAGGCAACGGCAGCGCCAAAATGATGTCATCGCCGGTCGTCAGCTGAGAGAGTGTGGGGGAGACAGGGAGAGAGAGCGAGAGTGGGAGAGTGGGAGTCAGCTGGCAATGCTCCTCCGCTGACGCCATCGCCGCTGCCGGCGTCTCTGCGGCTTAGCTGCCATCGTGGAGTTACTGTTACTCATACTCATTTACATTAGCCGGCGTTTAAAGCAACAACAAAAACGCTGGCAAGAACAACTAAAACAGGAGCAACAACAGCAACAAGGGCCACTGGTTGTTTTGGTTTTTGTTTTCCTTTGTTGTTGGTTTTCGAACCCTCTCTTTTTTTCGCACTCTCTCGTTTTGACCCTTTTTTTTTGGCCGCAGGTTGGAGTTTATTCGACAGTCAGCATACCCTCGTAGTAAATAATAACAAATCAACTATTAAAACAGAAGCTTGATTCTAAAACCTGATATTGACGCAAATAAAATTTTGCCTGAATCTTGATATTTGAATGCTTTTAAATTAATATAAGCACTGGACCAAATGACTTTTTATACCCGTTACTCGTAGAGTAAAAGGGTATATTGTATTCGTGCAAAAGTATGTAACAGCTAGAAGGAAGCGTTTCCGACCCTATAAAGTATATATATTCTTGATCAGGGTCACTAGCCGAGTCGATATAGCCATGTCCGTCTGTCCGTCTGTCCGTCTGTCCGTCTGTCTGTCCGTCTGTCTGTCTGTCCGTATGAACGCTGAGATCTCGGAAACTATAAAAGCTAGAAGATTGGCATTTTGCATGCAGATTCTAGGAGTTCCTACGCAGCGCAAGTTTGTTTCAAAAAGGTGCCACGCCCCCTTTAACGCCCACAATCGCTTATATACGATTTTAAAAATTTAAATATTTCGGAAAAGTAAAAATGCAGTTTTATTGTGTTTATCAATACCTATCGAAATGTAGAAGAAATTTTTCAAATCGGACCATTTGTTAAAAAGTTATGCGTGATCAAAGTTTCTATCTCCATCTCCCTCGCACTCCCTTTACCTGAGTAACGGGTATCTGATAGTCGGGGCACCCGACTATAGCGTTCTCTCTTGTTTTGACATAAACTCAACCAACAAAGAAATAAAACAGTAACATGACGTATACATTATCTTAGACATAGGGAAATTACCAAAATTTCATATCGATTAAGACATGCCAACGTGTTTGCCTATGGAACCAACGTGAGGGATGAGTACTATTATTTTTGACTTATTTAACAACATTTAAATAAATCCAAGTAATTGTAAAATTAAATTTACAACAAATAGTTCAAGACAATATTAAATGTTGAACATAAAGAAACGATCAAAACCGGTCAAAAATATTAGTTTTTTAGTTTTGAACCTTTAGTTATTAGTTCGAATTAAGCGAAACCTTGTTTTAACTTTACAATAAACAGAATTTGATAGAAACAAATAAAGTATATTTAAAACGGGCTTACTTGTATTAACTTGAAATTGGTTTCCATTTTTACAAAAAAAACGCTTACATGGTGTCGCAACAACAGAGCCGCAAAGTAGAGTTAAAGTTTTCATCGAATTTACATAACAAACGACTATTCAATCATCTGTCTTTAATAGCTTAGAAAAACTCAGGTGCTGGATCTAAAATTTGTTTATTTCTCTATTCAACAAACCTCTTACATAATTGAAAAGGCATGCTTGCAAATGTGTAATTACAAGTATTAAAGACCTTTTTTTTCTAAGCCTCTACATTACTTGGAAGATATTTGAAAACAAATTAAATAAAATTAAATTAAATAGTGAATGCTCAAATACCACCTTTAAAAATATTTTGTAGGTTTTATTACTCGGCTGTATTTCATACAGGTTTATTGGTATTCTCCACTTAGAAATTTTATTGCAGTCAATATAGCGTCATAAACTTAAAATTGGTAACACCCTTTATAAGCATAATTGTCCATTGTTTATTATATTATTAAAAAATAAAAAGAATTGATGTACTCTAAACGGTTAAAGCCATTTATTGGGGAGCTAATTATAAATATTTCAATTTTAGCCTCAAACTGTGTGTAAAATCAGTTATTACTATTGATTAATAATTATCATTATTACGTGGGTTCGAATATTATGTGAGCAACATGTTATCATGGGCTTTGTGCATGTGAACATGTTTTATAACTTTATCAGTACCATGAAACCCCCTTTATTATTATCAGTAGCTTTTCCCCGTCAAGTGTCTAAATTGAAGTGTCAAAGCTACATAGATCGAAACACTAATTTCAATTTAATTATAATCATCTTTTCATAAGAATAATGTGTCGTAGCATTTCACTGGTATTAGTATAGTTATTTGAATGGCACATCAAATTTGTATTTAATGTCTAATTTACCCGCCAGCGTTTTATCTGCCGGAGAGGCTTAGTTGTATCTAACTGTTTAGATAGTCAAAGTCGGTGACTAATGGCAAGTTCAGGGTCGCTTCGCCAAGTTCTCCCTCTGATATTTTGGATTACTGGCTTTATATGGTTCTGGTTTTTGGGTCATTAGTGGCTCCGCTAATGTCTCATGTCTCGCATTTTTTTTTTTGTTAATATTTAGTGTGCAAATTTAGCAGTTGTTGTATTTATTTTTTTGCAATTTGGTCTTTGCTGATATGAAGAACGCACGTAATCAAATACTACGATCGCCGGGCGCTAATCGACAACTGTTTGCAGTTGGAATTTGCGTTATATGGGCGTCTATATAGTGTGCATATATAGGGACATGCTGTATCGGCTATGTGGCTATATATTTACCAAGCCAAACTCCGGCAATCGCCCGATTTCGGTGGTACTATAAATAGCGGTGGGCTAAGTTGATGTGCTCCACCACCTTAACCTTTTTGGCCTTTCAATATCACCAATAAATCCAAACCCCTTATGTTCCCCACTCTGGATTTTACTAGCCGAGTTCTTTGTTGTTGTCGGTGATGCGCTTTATTTGTTTGATCAATAAATTTGGCTTTGCCATTTAGCGTAAACCCCGCCCCCTCTCACTCGCTCCGCTACCTCCATCTCTTTCTTTCAGAGGGTTGCCTCATCGGGCGGTGTTTATTAATTAATTCTTCCACGGTTTTTGGCTTCTCCATTTCCAAGTTTGATTGTGTCATATTATTTACGTGCGCTATCACTGCGATTGGGGGTTTCCATAAACAAAAAAAGGGGGAAGGGTGGGTGGTGTGCAGCGCAACCTTAACCCCAGTGACCCAGGCTGTGAATAAAGGAACAAATGAATGAATGAGTGAATGAATAGCGTAATCATACTCTATTCGACAAATACCTTAGCTATGACATGTGGCATGTACTTTTTGAAAAAAAAATCGATTATATTGTAATTTATTAAAGCAAATATACAACCTAACATAGTTTTCCATACTCAAAATTCTTATGTTTTATTAACATTGGCTTTTTAAATAACTATTTATGTTTATCCACTTCCTTTAAAGTTAAATATTTGAAGCAAACTTAAGAATTTAACGTCTTTCTACCATAACGTAGAATTATGATTTATGATTTAAATTAAATATCTATTACAATGTTTTCCACGAATCTTTTACTAATGATTTATAAACTGGTAAATGTTTTCACACATTAAGAGGGTATTTAAAAACGCCATTGCGATTTACTTAAGTTTTCCTATTTTTGGCATTGGCCTTGAGGCCTCTGCCTTCCACTATCACTGCGGAAAAGAAAGTGGAGTGGGTGGCTGGGAGGCTTGGGACAGGGACTTCGTGCGAGGGCCGCGTGTGCAGTTCCCGGAGGGGTAAGAAAACTTGCGTGACGGCAGCCCATATGAAAGCTAATGCCAACAGCTCCCCTGTCACCTCTTTCCCGGGCAAAACCCCAAGCTGATGCAATAACTAAACTTTATCTATACTGCGGATACAAGACTAGCTTGTGTTAGGGTGTTGTTAAGAGCCTTTTCAAATAGTCTTAAACATGTCTATCAAAATTATTTTAGTCATAGACAATAATATAAAATGATCACCTTCTCTTCCAAAAAAAATTAATAAACAAACTATTGCAGACAAATGCTATTATGACAGCACAGAATCTATTCAATTTGTTTCTTTTAATTTAAAAAGTGATTTTGCGGATTGAAATTGTTGATAGAAATTGTTTAATCGTATTGAACAAATTAAAAAGTATTGAAGTATTTTATATTTTATACAACTTTAGAGCACTTCAAATGTTAAATAAAGAATATTATAACAAGAAAGGAAAGCTAACTTCGGGCGGAGCCGAAGTTGAAATACCCTTGCAGAATATTCTGCAAATTATATTCTCCAAAATTATTCATATGATGCATTTTTAATACTCATAAAAAATCCCACCTTCCTAACTTTAAAAACACCAAAGTTATTTCATTTCCGATCAATCAGTTATATGGCAGCTATAGGATATAGTCGGCCGATCCTTATGAAATTTAATATGTCGAATTGATTGGGCAAAAATAAAACCCATAGAAAATCCCAACTTCCTAACTTTACAAACACCAAAGTTATGGCATTTCCGATCAATCAGTTATATGGCAGCTATAAGATATAGTCGGCCGATCCTTATGAAATTTGGTAGGTCGGATTGATTGGCCAAATATAAAACCCATAGAAAATCCAAACTTCCTAACTTTACAAACACCAAAGTTATTGCATTTCCGATCAATCAGTTATATGGCAGCTATAGGATATAGTCGGCCGATCCTTATGAAATTTGGTAGGTCGGATTGATTAGCCAAATATAAAACACATAGAAAATCCCAGCTTCCTAACTTTACAAACACCAAAGTTATTGCATTTCCGATCGTTCAGTTATATGGCAGCTATAGGATATAGTCGGCCGATCCCGGCCGTTCCGACTTATATACTGCGTGCAAAGGAAAGAAGGGTGTGTGCAAAGTTTCAACTCGATAGCTTTAAAACTGAGAGACTAGTTTGCGTAGAAACAGACAGACGGACAGACGGACAGACGGACAGACGGACAGACGGACATGGCTATATCAACTCAGGAGGTGATCCTGATCAAGAATATATATACTTTATAGGGTCGGAGATGCCTCCTTCACTGCGTTGCACACTTTTGACCAAAATTATAATACCCTCTGCAAGGGTATAAAAACTTTAACGAAGGCCTAGTTTTATTTGTTGTCCCATCTCCATAGACCCCTTAGTCCTAACGAATCCCCGTATGCGGAGAAGTTCTGGGAGGGACATCGGTACCTGAAGGAGCGCCAGAAGCTGCACCAGACATTGCGGCCTGGCGACGAGCGCTTCAAGGAGGTGAAGGTCCTGCGGAGTCCCGACGGCGAGGACTTCCTCTCACGCACCCTGGAGGAGGAGCTGGAGGACGAGAAGAGGGTGCTGGACTATATGGAGGCACAGCTTCGAATACAGGGTCAGCAGAAACAAGGGAATCTCCAGGGGCCTTCCGGCGATCATCATCCGCTGAACGAACGCCAAGAGCAGGCGATGCGCGAGCGGGAGGAGCTAGAGCAGCACAAGCAGCAGGTGTCCAACTGCCGGGAACAGCGACGCCAGCGGGAGCACCAAAAGGAGCAGGCCCAGGTCCAAAAAATGGAGCAGAAGAGTTCGTGGGGCGGAGGTGGAGCTCCCCCAATGGAGGAAGCCTCCCCCCGAGAAATCCTCTCCAAGAATCCACCTTCTCCCAGGCCCACTGATCCCTTGAAGCAGCTCCTCCAGGATCGGGACCGCTTTCAGGCCCACTGCCGGCGAAGCTGTTTCTACAACAATTCGCAAAGCTCTGCACCCTGGAAAATATATGCCAAGTGAGTATAGCAAGTAGTATGCTGAACATTAATAGTTTGAGGTCACCAAAGCTTACCTTCGTATCCTGCCCAAATAGAGTTTGATCATAGAATGGTAACCCTCCGAATTATGCCATTAATAACATTTAACAACTTGCTAAACGCTTTTTTTTTATATTTATGTATTTTACGCTATCATGTAATATGCCCTTGTCTTTTCAGAGTGGCCAGTAAGCTTAGTTCCCAGCTAATGGATAATTTGGATATCGAATTCCATCGCAGCGTGGCCAATTATATCAACGACTTTAAAGGCAAAAAATTGGCCTAATAGAGCAACGTCTGTGACTTTTGTTCGCTGCCAACTTTTTTAGGTTTTACAGAACTGAACACACGGAGATTTTTACGATTTATTACTCTTCTATTTTATCTTTTATGGTGTATTTGTTTTGCGACAAGTTGAAAAATTGCAAGTGTAGTACAAATTATGAGACCTACAAAATCATATGGAAGAAATTACTAATAAAAAATTATTGTATGTAGAGCAACTTTGTTATTATTAATTTCAAGAGCATCCCAAAAGTAGGCAAACTTTTTATTATATTGAAATGTTATTATTTTTATTTGTTCTGTGCAATTCAGCAATTCTGTAAGAATGTTGGATGGCTCAAACCGGTCGTAAGCTAAAATAGTTCAACATTTGCTTCTTGATCGCAGCTAAACAATCAATCGATGTACTTTAAAAATATGGAAATTTTTAAGAGGAACAAATCTCTTATAGAGAATTATTTGTGCATATATTTATTTCTGGTTTTTTGGCCAATTTTACGGTTAGACCCACTCCTTAGCAAAATGACTTTACCCAAAACAATATTTGTTTGCTTATCGAGTTCTGTGAAAAGTTACTCTCATTTAATTGTTCTTCAAAAATCAAATTCATCAATTTATACATGGTGGTCGACGGCGCTTAGCAACTAACTAAGTTTAGGTTACCAAACTAGACTAAACTAGGCGTAGGGTTCGAACTTAAGCCGACTTACTGCTTAACTTGGTTACTTCGTGTCAAGTTGGAGCAGAGTGCAAGTGTGTGGCGTGATGTCAACAGTGGCTAGTCAATGTTAAGTCATATCCTTCATGGTTAATCTACGTGCTAGGCTTAATCGCTAAACTACAACTAAGGCGATGTGTGTGGGGTATTCTTGTCTGTATTCTGAATCGGTGTCTCTGGCAATGTGTGGGAGTAAAAAAAAGTACAATAAATAGGTTGATCCATCATGCAACTGAGCATATTATCCTCCTGTTCATCCACAGGCCTCTGGCGGAGGTGGAGGTCCTTGTGGATGGACAATCGCATCTCATAGCAGGTTGGAGCAACTTGCCTCCGCGGCGGCACAGTTTGTGGAGCGGGGCAGGAACTGGATGTGCTGCCAGGTGGCATTGAAGCTGAAACAATACGACATATTAGTGTTAAAGAAATGCAGCTAGAAACGCAACCACTTACAGATAACTCTCGGCCAGCTGGCTCTCCACATGCGGCTTGATCCTGGCGTAGTCCTTGTCCGCAATTGTGGTGCTGCAGTGCTGCTGCATGTAGGCCAGCGTAAACAGCTCGTTCTCGTTGAAAGACCTCAGGCCCGGGACCCGCAGACGCCTGGTCAGTCCCAGGGCCTCATAGGTGTTGACCTGATCGATTCCCGATCCCTGGATGGCACTGCCCGCATCGATGGCACCCACAAAGCTACTCAACGCCCTGGCCGCCGTTCGGGCAGCACTCAGTGTCACATGGAAGCTTTTCAGGGCACTGCTCGACAGATCGTTCAGTTCGTGGACCAATCGAGGCGGCTGTCCCGCCGCCAGACAATTCACATCCGGCTGGGCATACCGGATCTCCGGTATGCCATCACTAATGTCCACGCTCTGGGTGTTGAACTGCAGCAGGAACGTGGAGAAGTTATCGATCAGGGCCTCCAGTATATCGGTGCCTATGCGGGCAAAGTTTACAGCTCTGCACGAAATGGAAAAGGAGAAACAATCATTAAAAATATACACCTTTGGGTTTGTTTAATTTAATGCTCAATCTACTTCTTAAATTCCAATAAGAAACTATTATTAATTTAGTTAGGCAATGAATAATTTTCCTTTTTTAAATTTTAATGGGATATATGAAAATAAAAATAAGCTTAACCCTGATTTGTATATTATAATATAAATCATTGATTTACATTTTTTGGTGCACGCTCAATAGTTTTATGTAATAGGCTTCATACAACATTATTCATACATACACAGGATATCGGTAGTCGTAGTAATTTGAGCTAATCAACACTCTAGACACGAGCAGCATGTTCAGTTTGTTGGAGTAGGCAATGGGCTCTGGATTGTCCCTTGTGTACATCTCGGAAACAATGCTGCCAAACAGAGCGGGATGGATGGAACGAGGAGAAAGTGTTAGAAAGTTTTCGGATCACAAGATGCACATTGCGCAAGACTTACACATCCACCATGCCCAGCGTGCCCAGCTTCTTCTCCATCCGTGTGCGACGGAATGTCCAAATCGACTCCAAGTGTTCCACAAAATACAGATTGGTCAGCATCAGTTCGGTGTAGTACTGCTTGAGATAGTTGGGCTGCCCCAAGACCTCATCGGGTATGCCAAACTGCAGCCGCATCTCGTTTAGTTTCTTCTGGATAAACTGCCTGGCCGCCGGGTCCAGCCATTTGGCCTGGTCAAGAGAATCCTTCAGCTGATTCCGCAGACTGTAGAACATTAGCCGGAGCAGCTCTTCGTTGCCTTGCGTCTTGTTCAATCCCTTGCTATTCGAGGTCGCCGTGTCAAACTGCTGCCTTGGCGGCTGTTGCTGCAGTGCATCCACCGCAAAGGGCAGCCAGTCTCGCACCACCTTGCTGCAGATGAGCCACCTGGGATAGCTGGCGGTGCGTCCATACACGGCATGGTCAAAGTTCTCCGCCAGGGTGCGATACTCCTTGGACAAGTGCGGTAGCATTTGACGGGCCAGCGACCAAATAATAAAGTTGTTAATTGGTCTAAAAATATAATGATTTGATTAACAATTTTACCAAATTTACTCTTCATTCTACCCTATATACCCATAAGAGTTTTTAGCTCGTTATACCCTTGCAGAGGGTATTATAATTTCAGTCAAAAGTTTGCAACGCAGTGAAGGAGACATTTCCGACCCTATAAAGTATATATATTCTTGATCAGGATCACCTCCTGAGTTGATATAGCCATGTCCGTCTGTCCGTCTGTCCGTCCGTCCGTTTCTACGCAAACTAGTCTCTCAGTTTTAAAGCTATCTGCTTGAAACTTTCCCAAAAGTTGTCTTTCTATTGCAGGTAGTATATAAGTCGGAACGAGCCGGATCGGGCGACTATATCATATAGCTGCCATATAACTGAACGATCGGAAAAGCCATAACGTTGGTGTTTTTAAAGTTAGGAAGTTGGGATTTTCTATAAGTTTTATTTTTGGCCAATTAATCCGACCTACCAAATTTCATAAGGATCGGACGAATATATCCTATAGCCGCCATATAACTGATTGATCGGAAATGCCATAACTTGGGTGTTTGTAAGGTTAGGAAGTTGGGATTTTCTATGGGTTTTATTTTTGGCCAATCAATCCGACCCACCAAATTTCATAGGGATCGGCCGACTATATCCTATAGCGGCCATATAACTGAACGATTGGAAATGCCATAACTTTGTTGTTTTTAAAGTTAGGAAGTTGGGATTTTTTATTAGTATTAAGAATGCATCATATGAATAATTTTGGAGAATATAATTTACAGAATATTCTGCAAGGGTATTTCAACTTCGGCTCCGCCCGAAGTTAGCTTTCCTTTCTTGTTAATTAATAAAGCGAGGTGAACAAAAATGATAAAACCGTTTACTTAAATGCCAAAAAAATTGCAAGAATATATACATATGTGATGGCCTAATATGTTTATGTGAAAGGGAAACTACTTAGTTAACTAAGCTAAAGAATGCACATTAATATTCTTTAACATTAAGAAAGCTTAAACAAACTTTAACATTTAGTTGAAAACACAATTTAAATAACAACACAGCTTTATTTAAGCAATAGCATAAAAAACAAAACTATCCAAAAATGCGGCCTTTATTGCAATTTAAGGTCCAGCCAACAAATATCTCTAGTATATTAGTAGATATCCACTTGAACATAATGTTCAACTTACTTTTTATCCGAGGTGGAGAGTAAAACAGACAAAGCATTCATAACCTCTACATCGCGTACCAAAATCTCGGTGTCTTCAGTAATTTTAGTTTTTGGAAAAAGTGCCTGCAGGGACTCCAAGATGGGCAACTAAAGGGAAAGAATAATAATAAATATAATTGATATACATTTTTAACGAATCCTCAATTAAATGCACTTACCGAAGGAGCTTTAGTTTTCAGTTCGGCCAGACTCATTAGTTTATTCAGCTGGCGATCTCCGCTAGCCTTGGCATCCGCAATGTGATTCACAATACGACGTTCGTAGTGGAAAATGTCATCCGCAAATAGATCAGCCTCCCGGGAAACGATTCCTTAAATAGTAAATCAAATAAATATAGTACAAGGTTCAAAGGTTTTTGGGGAATAGCTCACCCATATTGATTGCGAAGTCCCGTAGGAGCAGCTTATAACCCCGGACCACTTCCTCGTCGGCATCGTTGCCATAGAAGTACTTGTCCGGCAGTCCAATTTCGCCCTCGTCCAGGGTGATCACATAGTCGTGGGGATTGCTGTAGCCGTTCTCCACGCTCACGCGGTAATACGGAAATATCCCGTACTTGGCCTGGATGAGTACGATAATCCGCTTGTGGTCCCAGGATTGCAGTCGATTGGACTCGCGAAATGCCTGCCAGCCATCTGGAAATTAATTAGGAGACAGAAATTAGTGGAATCATGCGAATAGTTCTGGTTCTTGGCGACTGTTCTCTGTGGAAATCCCCTAGAGTTGACTATGCGCTAATAGAAATTCCCCAGAATCAAACACCCTTAAAATCAGTAATGAACAAATCGGTTGCATGCACACATTATAGCATAGATCCGCATACACATACAATCAAGTTTATATAGCCGAATATCGGTGGTTTATGGCAATTAAAGACGCTAAAATGTTTGGCTGCTTGAAATTTTCAGGGCGCTCAGTCCCGTCTTCTCTTGCAATCATAAAATATTTAACCAAAAATGAAATAAAACAAAAAACAAATGGAGAATTTGAGAAGTTAAAAAGGGAATCATATATACTCTTTCCAAAGATATAAATGCCGTATTTTCAAGTATATTTCTGATATTCAGTGTAAAAATGGAAGATAATTGAAAGCAGCTTTAAAATAAGGCAAAGTTAAGCCTAAATAATAATTTAAAATTTTTTTAATATCTACTTTTAATTTAATTAATTGTAAAGCTTGTTGCCAATCAATATATCAGTATTAAAAAATGCTCTAAATAATTGTTGTTTTATTTGATATTAAGAGTAAAACAACCTTATTGGAAACTATAATATTTAAGAACTTGA